AAATTATTTGACAAAATATTCAACTATCCGAGATATTTAATCTTGATCTTGCCCGTTAAATCACAAATTCCAACTAAAAAGAGGGAAAAAAGGCATTTAAAGTCTCAAGCAAAATCAATTTCCAACAAACAAAATTCCGAAATAAAAAAACGATAGATCCATTCAGTTGAAACACAAGCCAGAGCGATCGATTCAAGTGAAACATATTCAATTAATTCGCCTGTCAATCGAAAGAGCATAGAATAATACAACTCGAGCGAGCGAGAGAGAGAGAGAGAGAGAGAGAGAGTGAGAGAAAGAGAAAACACACAGAATTCTGATCGTCCGAGGCAATTTTCATCGAGGCACGTGTCTGCCCGAAGCCAGACCGTTACTACTGTGACGCACGGGTAATTGGCCGGCGGATCGGTATGGTTGTACGTGGCTGGATATGTACGACGCTTGACTTTATAATTTTCAATCCAGTCTGACACCGCACTCTCGATGAAAATATTGAAAAACGGTTTAATCTGTTGGTACTTCTTTTTTCCAATAAATACGATTTTTTTCATGTGCTTTTTAATGATTATTCAAGATATTTTTTTTCGTTCTTACTTTTAGTTTTGCTTCTAAGAGATTCATGAATATGACTGTAATTAGCAGCAGATACCATAGCATCTAATTTGTTGATAGAATTAGCATTAAATTTGAACCTATTACTAATGTTCAGTGATTAATAATCTAATTATCGAGATGTGGTTTAATGAACTTATCCACTTAGATAGCTTTGGGACAATGAGCATATAGTTTATATGATTAAATTTGATCCCATGCAAGAGAAAAGGTTTATATAAAAATTAATAATAAAAAAATTATTCTTAAAAACAAATTCATGAAAATTCATTAAAAATAAATAATATAGAGAATAATTGATTATTAACATTGGAAAATCATTACTTTCAATAATTTATAACGCAATTATATAACAAAGGTACTAAACATACCTGTGCTTCAAAACGTATAGATCTATATGAGCCAATTAATATTATTGAATAGCTCATTTGTCAAACATTTAGATGGAAATTCTATAAGTTCGATTTAAAATTAATTGAAAAAGAAATATATAAATTTCAACCAGTTTCGTAACTGTGTATAACCACTGTTAGTCTAAAATGTTTATTTGTATCACCAACACCTAAAAATTTTCACAATATTTTATTTTTGGCAATATTTTACTAAAATTACTGAAGGAGTAAATTTATGAAATACAACGAACATAAAGTAAATACGGATTTTTTTTAACTATGTGTGTATGTGTAGGTGTTAAACATTTCTTTGCCAAAATTTATGACAAAACCTTCGGTGCTCTTGAAATATTGATTCGACGGGGCGTATCTACCTGGAAGAAATACGCGACTAAGGCAGCAATGCATGTGAAACTCGAGCGATTTATACACAATAACCCGGGGTTATTGGAAAAATGCAGCAAGATGTACTCTTTCTCTCTCCGAGCGACTATGCGTTCGATACCGATAGGAAGAATAGTCAAAAAATGCACGAAACAGAGTAAGAGAGAAAAAATAGCCAAGGGCGCTAAGGATGAGGTAGAAGAGAAAAAACTTCCGACAAATTTTTATTGCTAGGAGAGCAGCTTATAGTCTGTTCGACTTTGCGTTGTAATTGCCAAACCAACTGCTACTTTTTAGACAATTTTAACTGATAGGTTTGGAAAATGAAGTTCAGTTTTGATAACGTCGAGGAGTACAAAAAGAAATTTCTAGATGAAATTATTATCTTAAACGTAATATTCGTTGATTTCTAAAATCTAAAAAGATTGTAAGACGTTAAATTCTAACTTTTATGCAATATTCATGATTTCAGATTGAATTTTTACAGTGCTTGATTTTTTAAAATAACAGTTCAGCAGAATGAGATGTAATCAGACTTTAAAATCACAAATTAATTCTACTTTCAATAAAATTTAAATAAATATCTACATTATTGTATATTAGGTAGATATTAAGATAACTATATACAGCAGAGTTGCGCTGGAAAAATATTTACAGAACCCCGACAAATTAATTTACTTAATACAGTACAATAAGTTCTACAGGAACCCAGAAATTTTTTCTGGGTTCCTGTATATATATATATATATATATATATATATATATATATATATATATATATATATATATATATATATATATATATATATATATATATATATATATATATATCATATATATATATATATATATAATAGTTAATTATATTACAGTTAAAAAATGCAATTATATATATATATATAATTGCATTTTTTTATTTGATTTCATTTATCCAGTCGCATTTTACTATAAAAAAATCACCTCAAATATGCATATTTAACGGTTTTCAAAATAAAATTATAAGATAATTTTTCAAATTTTACATCTATATACCATTTATCCTCAAAAAATAATATTACCACTAAAAAACTAGTTATTAATAAAATACAAAAACATGATATAAAATTCATTTCGCAATAATACGAAATAAAATAATCATGTATTTTCAATAAAACTTGTAAGCTTTATCATTCTTAAGTAAGATCAATTAATTTCTTGTCCTGAACGATTATTTTGCGTGTGTAATCTGTAATTGTACTTTACTTAACTAGTGCAGGAATCTACTATACACGCCATCGCTTGTCGCGTATCATACAGCGTGTCAGTGGTTTTATAATACAGTTACACATGCTACGTGTGCACTGTACAGTCGATGTTGCCGATGTGCTAAGTTAAGGCACCCCCCTTACCCCAGCCAGCAAAGTGTAGAAAAAAATACCATTCGAAATATCTTTAATTAAATCCTCCAAAAATGCTCATTATTTTAATTGAACCCCTTCAGTTGTCTCAAAAAAAATTAAAAACTATGATAATTTTTTCGTTTTTTGCAATTGCGATATCTTTAGTAATACTTAATATTTTTGCAAAGAAACAAGGCAAAAAAATTGAACCCTTGCTCGTTTTAATTGCACCCCTCTTATTTTTTCAAAATTATTAATATATATGTCAAAAACAACAATCTAATTTTATTGTATGTTCTTTCCAAATAGATGGGTTATTGGGTTATTTAGAAGAATTATTCACCATATATTAAGCAATTGCAATTAAAGATATTCTATAGATTAATATATTTCGATGTTATAAACAGAGAGATTGATTTTAAATTTATATTACTTATCAAAAATAATCAGAAAAAGATAACACTACAAAATAAAAAAAAAAATTGACATAACTTAAATTCAACAACTGAACTGGAGAATGTCAATATTGTCAATGAAGTAACTAATCAATGTTAATTAGTTTTGTGACGAACACAATCGACGCACAATACAATATATTGCGCAATGTTCAAGTGCACATGACCGTCATCGCAAAAAGGCCCGGCTCCTGCTTTGTATACGGTCTGTTCGCCACGTTTATTTCATATTCAATAAATTGATTGCATAGATCTTAGATCTACATAATGTAATTGAAATTTAAACGTGAAAACTATTTGGCTTTGGCCAATTAATATAATGTAAAATATTAACGACCTAGTTATATATTTCAAATATACCGTTTGTAACAAAAAACAATGACTATTTTATTCAGATTAGACATCTAAAAATGTTATAGAAAAACAAAACTACTGTTAAAATTAATAAATTATATAAGTCACGCGTGTGAGGGTGTTTTAGCTTTAAACTATAATAAAAACAATTGAAAAAAAAAATAATTAAACTTAAATAAATTTAAAAGTCTCGATTACACGTATATGTAATATATATATTTTTTATTTCGAACAATCTAGCTCTTTTTTTTTATTATTACATTCCATTAGATAATTGATTAAATCACATTATTAATAAATATTGTCACTAATAAATCAAAATATTATTTGCTTATAGATGTGGACTACTTATACTAAATATATATTTGACTATATATAGATTATAAGTCTAATATAGTGATTCGATTATGTAACTTTTCACGGTGTCAGTGTACAAGAAATATAAAATTCGTTTAATGCATGTCGATAGTTTGTCGACGTTGTAATGCTTTTATTTCTTACAAGAAGGCTTTGACAAAATAATGAAAGTTATTCATTTAAAAATTATGATTTATGTTTTAAAATTTTTTGAGATAATCGCACGGCAATAAAATGTATAGTTTCTCAAATGTATATGGTCATAAAAAATCACATAAACTATTTAGTAACTTTTTCTAGTTTGAAATGTTTCTGTTTATAATAAAGGGGGGATGAATGAATATTATTAAAAACATACATAATTCATTGTTAGAAAATATTTTAGACGTAAATAACGACTGATCATTCAATGCTGCTACTGAAACTTTTAGCTTTTAATTTTCTGAATCAATTTATATTATATGTCATTTTTAGATAGATTTTGTTACTTTTGAAAGTTTGAAAAAACTATATGAAAGAAAATAATTAAATTAATTTGAGAAATATCGCATTTGAAAAAGAGTAATACAGGTAATATAAATTTATTTAGTTTCTCTAATTAAATATTAGCATATCCACCGTGCCTTTTATTGGATAGATTAGATTTCAATAATTAAATTCACTATTTTCAATTATGTAGAAATAATTTCGATAAAATATTTAATTATTAAAAAACAGAAACTATTTTCATCATTAAAATAATGAATAATGTGATAATTTAGGTAACCCGCATAAAATTAACATGTGTATAGTTTTAGATTTTTTCCCAATAATTTCTCAACTATTGAAATTAAGTAGTAAAATCAATCTAAAACTACGCGAATACTACGAATAATAATTTCAAGTGGGTTACCTAAATTATCACGTTATCAATCTACTTTCAATAGTTTCTCAACTTCAATAGTAGAGAAGCAATAATATAAATATTATTAATCCTCGCTCTTGCTGTGTCAATTAAGTTAAGTAATCGAGATTTCAAAATTGCCCTTTGGGCTAAAGTATCTATATAATAGTTTTGTTCAACTGTTTATACATAATATCGTTTATTTCCGAACAAATAAAATAGTTTAATACTACATTGATATTAAAATTAGTTGATCATGATCAATCGTTGAACTCGAGTGGATGTGGCGAACAGACCTCTTGCGGAGGGGAATGAAAATTGAACGACTTGAAGTATACTATTCTGTATCTGTTCAACCCAACTCGCCTAACGTTGGTATAGAAATAAGTTTCCATAGTGAGGTTATATTTTCAACGACGTTCCAGTGACTTTTATTGAGATAAAGTTATTTTGCGGTAATTTTCTATTATTTTGCATTGTTGTTGACACAATCAAAATGAATTTTCGCCAAAGATTGTATTGATATAAAGTAAATGGAAAATTATTATATTAATTCACAAGAGAAAACGTTACTTTTGTAGTTTGTTGAAACTACATTAATAGCAGTATATTATTTATTAATAAAATTTAATTTATACTACAGATACTTATTTTATTATCATTCCTTCAGACTTTATAGCAAATTATTTTGGATACTACACATTTCATTAGGGTATTTTTATTCACTCTTAAATTGATGTCTGCAAAGTAATCTTTTGAAAACTATTTCCTATCTTTTGCAGACGAGATAAATGAATATGAACATCCCAGGCATGCAACAGCCAGGACCCATGGGCATGAACCAGATGGTTCAACCAAATACAGTACCAATGGGACCAGCTCAGCATGGAATGCATCCACAAGCACAGATGCAACAACCTCAGCAGCCTCAAGAAAAAGGTGACAGTATATCTAAAGTTAAAGGATTAGTTAGTCAACTCAGAGATTCTTTATCAGTTGCTCTGAAGACTGCTGGTCACACTTTGCTCACAAATAGTTTGATTGACACATCAAAAAGCACTGAACCTCCTGACCAACGTTTCAACAAAAGTATTGAAGAATTTTATTCAATTTGCGATCAAATGGAATTGCATTTAAGAACATCAATCGAGTGTATTGGTCAGAATGTGAGTTCTACGAGATATATGCCTATAGGTGTAACAACTAGGACTGAAAACGTTGGAGTTCAAGATGCTTTAACTTATCCTCAATATTTATTGATTGTTCGTTCACAAGTGCAATATGTGAAGTTAATTTCTGATATGTTAACTTCAGTTGCAAATAAAATTACCAATCCTGATCAACAACAGTAAACTGCTATCAAATAATTCTGTAAATAATTAGTTTTACTTGTAAATGCTGTCTGATAAAATGTTTGTGAGATTTGCTAAGTTATTTTGTGAATAATTGATTAATTTTCAAAAACATAATTAAAACATTAATATGATGATAAATTCCTCGTAACTTTCTTTTTACTTCAATAATCATAAGTTTTGTAATAATCCATACATTTTTTGTAATAATAATATGTAATTTATCAAATAAAACAATTCAATATAGTAAATTTAAAAAATAGTTATTTTATTACTGATTTTGCTAAAAACTTTAAATGCAATATTGTAATGTGTATAGTAATACAATTTCAAATGTACATTCTGTTTTTAACGAATGTACATTTGAATGTAATATTTATTCAATTCAAAAAGTTTTCTTCATTTTGAGAAAGCAAATTTGCACATGATTTTAAATTTTCAATTTGTAAATCATAAATCTTTTCTTCAACCCTAAAAATAAGAAAGTAGAGATTTGTTACATCATTAAAGAATATGAAAGAACTTGATAGATATAATCACTATTGCATACTTACATTTTTTTAATGCTGGATATCTCTTTGCACATTAGTAAAAACTCTCTATAATAAGCAGCAATAGTTTCCATTTCATTACTGTTAAAAAATCTGTTTATTTCAGTCAAAAGATCAGAGCAATTATTTAAAGTCTTTTTAAATTGTTTCAATTCTTCCGGACCACTAGGTAAAATAATATTTTCACAGCGCAATATACTAAATCTATCGAGTAACTCTCTAAGATGTTTCAATATGTCAAGAGTTTTGTGTTTTTGCTCTTTCTCTACAAACATATAAAATGTTTAAATCATTCATAAATACTCAAGTTCATCTAATCAAATTCATTTAAAAAGTAAATCACTACCTTTACAGTCATTAAAAGTTGATTGAACACTATCTAAATAATCATTTATACAAGTAAGAGCTTTGATATCATTGATTCTTGTTTCAATTGATTTTTTATTTTCCAATAAAGATTTAGTTTCTTTGTGAGCTTTCTTCAATGATATTTCAAAAGAATCTTCATCTTCTTTGAGGCTTTTTTGTTCAAGAAACAATTCAGCATATGATGATACATATTCGCTATAAATAAGTTCAAGTTCTAAATTATTATTTTCCAATTCTATTTTTCTCAAATTTACAGAACTATTTCCAGATGAAGGCATCATAGACATTCGAGATGTATGAACACTTCTCTTAGGAGAAGATACTGTGTATAAATTAATTTTATATTTAGTATTATAACAATAGTTAAAAAGTACAACAAATTGTAAGAATTATATTTACAGCTCATTGTGCTAATATCCACATTACGCACATCAACTCTGTCTGGTGTGCGAGCTCCTCGTTTCCTAGATATGCATTGATTGTAGAATATTATTAATTTTTTATTATTATTTATTTTATATTATTATTAATTGTTTTCAAAATTTTTCTTTATCATATTTTACCAAAATTATTTCAAAAAATAACATATGAAGTTAAAGAATAATCTACATAGAAATGCGACAAGCAAACACAGTTTATTAATCTAATAACAATAAAACAATCGAAATACCCATTAGTATTATTAATATTAATGTTACTTCAAATTCAAAAAAACACGAATGAGCATTTAAATCTAACCTTTCATTTTTCCGAAGCGCTGTAATTTTCGATTGTTCGCGCTGCATGGCTGTTTCACGTTTGAATAATAATCTGAAGCTAAATCAATATTTTGTTAAAAAAACGAGAAATCTCAACAATAACTTTTTGCATGATAGCGACAGTTGTTAACCAATCAAAACGAAATCGGAAACTATCTTTACATCATAAGCGGTAGTCAAAGGACGATTATGATATGTTGGATTCCGTCGTAATGCATTCGTTTTTGTAACTATATAAAAATTTATTGATAAAATATAAACGCGAAGAAAAAATTATTCAACTATTTTAATTATATTAAATATAGTAATTAACAAAAATAAAATAAAACTTGTACTGCACGCATTGCAACAATATCAAAACATCGCGCTAAACCTAACACTACACTAACCACTGACATCAAAACAATGTTAATAAGTCGAATGGTGGCTACATGCAGCTGACGAGTGAGATGACCGCGTGCGCGGTGAGAGTAGATCTTGATTCTAGCATGGTCGAGTTGACCTGTTTGAAATAAATACGGTTGTCGACGTTTGTTTTTTTTTAATTGACAATAATGGCTTCGACAGTTTTTGACTGTTTTTCGAAATTGCTAAAGGACAACACTAACGAGAGGCTTAATGGTGGATATAGATTGTTACAGCATCTAGATGCGGAGATTCAGGTGATTTTAATATTGATAACCTCAAAGAAAGACACATTTGGCATGAATAAAAGATATTTCATACGTGTATAATTTGTTATTCAATGAGTTTAAGATTTGTTTCATTTTTCTCTTCATTTTTACTTCTGTCAAGTGGTTTCTGATTATCTGAATCAAGTTACAACACTATTAATACATTACTACCTTGACATAGCTTCCAAAAGCACATTTCATTTTGATTATAATTTGCTTACAGTTTAATTAATTATAACGTTTTAGAAAAATGGAGAAAGCAAAGAATTTAATCATACTCTTCAAAGACTTATACGAGGTTTGGGATCATCCAAAATTGCTTCTAGAAAGGGATTCTACACAACATTTACAGTTTATTTGTCCCTAAACCCTGATACAAGTGTGGATAAAATTTTTAATATAATGGATATTGAATTAAAAACAAGTTCTAGCAGTACTAAAAGTGTAAGAATATTGTTATCAACCTTATTTAGATTTTTTTTTGTAATTTTGAAAGTTTAATAATTATATTACTTATGATTTTCTTTTAAATATAGGAAGTAGCTGATGTAAATAATGGGCGTATTTTGGCTTGTGGAGCAATAATTCGATCAGGAATACTGAAAAATTTATCTCTTAAAGATCAAAAAAAAGTTTTAGAATGTTTGTTTAACTCTGGAAAGATCAGAAGCTATCTCAGTTTTGAATCAGTTTCTTTTATTGTTGAATTTTTAAAGCAACTAGAAGATGAAAATTCTTTAACACCACTATGGCCTATATTTGAAAAAGAAATTTGCACCCCATTTAAAGAACAAAATTTAGATTCATTTTATGTATTGCTTGTAATTCAAGATAAATTTCCACAAACTTTGACAAAGAAAGTTTTACAAACACACCTAGGCTATGAAACTATTGTAAATAAAGAATCTATTGAAGATATTGTGAAAATTCTAACAGTAAGTTTTTATAGCATTGTACAAAATATTGTTTGCTGTGAAATTTTGACAATTATTTATGAATGAATTTTTACAGAATATTCCAAGAGTAATGTGCTATAAGCATCCAGTTTACGAATTATTCTGTGAAAAATTGGTAGCATCAGATTGTGTTGAACAATTTTGGTCAAATATTGACCAGTGCTTTATCAAACCTTCGAAGACAGATGAGTTCTTGGGAGTAGAATTGTTCAATATTCTCTTAAATACTACAAAGGATGAATCAATAATAGTTAATCTGCTATCTCCACACTTTTTAAGGCACATCTTGAAAAGATTTTCATACAGTGCAATTCACAGAAATGATGATGTATCAATTGGTTTCAGAAAAGCTTTAACTCAACTAGTTACAGTACTTTCTGAAAATACAAAGTCAAAAGTGCACTTTAATGTTATCAAAAAATTAATTCTCTATCCAGGCGATCTTATGATTGAAAAAATTACCAATACAAAAGTTCTTCAAATGATAACAAGTCAAATGGGTTCTGATGGATTAAAAAAGTTGGCAAATCTGTACAAAGAGATTGCAGCAAATACTAAATTTAAAGAGAAAGCAAATGGTGTTAAGGAGTCTTGGACAAATAATGAAAGAACTTATGTTACACAGTTACTTGCTACCAAGTAAGTTTTAAAAACAGCTATCTATCAAATTTTTAATAATTATTTATATTTAAATACACGTCTGTATTGTAGATTAATAAGCCATAAAGCTATGATTTCTGATCATGAATGGAGACTGGAACAACTAAAATTTTTGTTCAACAATGGCTTGTGTGACATGTCTAATGTTGGTATTGAACTAGCTCGTAAGTATTCCTCATTGTATGTGTGTGGTAATATATGTATATATAGCGTAATAAAAAACTGATGTGCAATCATATTTACAGCTTACATAAAAGAAAGTTTCTATCGAGCTCTCGATACCAAACTTGAATCACTTACTGATTTAAGAACAGTACTAAGTACTCTTGTTACCTATATCAATGAAACAATTTTTGAAAACTCGGAAGTTAAGTTGAGAGTTTCATTGGATCAAACAGCAAAAGAAGCTTGGGTAAAGATGTTGAAACTTGTGGAAAAATTGGATAAAGGTTCTAAATTTGATCACAATATCAACGCAGTTTTCCACATGATGATCCTTCACATGGGTTTACAGCTATTCTCTGATCCTAAAATGGCTATTTCATCTATCAATGAATTGCATAGTTGCTACGAACACCTGAAAGAAAAAAAAAAGTCTAAAAAACACAATAGCAGCAAAGTTATTGATGATGATCTCGAATGGGTGGAAGTTGTAGTTGACTTATTATTGTCTCTGCTATCTCGACAAAGTCACCTTCTACGCTCACTGGTTGGGTGTGTGTTCCCTCACATCTGTCCACATTTGACTGCCAACGCAATACATCAGATTTTAGCTATCCTCGACATTAAGAGTGGTAAGAATCCTTTATCATGCTCGAAAAACGAAGATGATGAATCTGAATCCGATAACGAAGATGAAGAGGAAGATGACGACGATAAAAATGAGAGCGAAAGTGACGAAGAGGAAAATAGTGAGGATGATGAGAGCGATGAGGAAAACGATATTGATATTGAGGAATCGGACGCTGAAAACGAAACCGTCACCGATCGTCTCAGGCTAGCTGTAAGTCAAGCTCTTGGTGACGTCGCAATGCAAACCGACGACGAAGACATTGATGTAGATAACATTGATGAGGAAGAAGGCAAACGTCTTGATGAATCACTTGCCGCTGCTTTTAAGATTCTTAAGGAGAATCATGCAAAAACACAGTCGAAGAAACAAGAGAAAGATGCACAAGCTCTCACCCATTTCAGGATAAGAGTCATTGATTTACTTGAGTGCTATCTTGATAATAGTCCTTCAATGGCCTTGGCGTTAGATATGCTTGTACCGCTTTTTGCTTTACTGGAGTTTACCATTAAAGATCAACATCAGAAACCTTTGCAAAACAGAGTTCGAACCTGCTTGAAGAAATTGTCGCTAGTGAAAAAATTTCAGAGCATTGAGGATGTTAATGGCGAGCTTTTGACTATAGTTTTAAAGGTAATATTATTTATAGTTGATATTGAAATAGTGCTTATTATTTATTGTACAATAATGTTATTCTGTAATTCAGACGCTCATAGTAAAAGGTGAAAGGTCAGCAGCTGTATGTCAAGAAATGGGCGACAAATTGGCACAATGCTGCGTATTTCTTGTAAGATGTTCACAACAAGTTGAAGGATCAACTGACTCGTTCATCAAAATATTTGGCGAAAATTTGTCAGCTTATTTCAAAAAGCGAGATTGTATTCTTCCGGCTATCTTATTCAAAAGTTTGTTACAGCTTTGTTGGGTCGGCAATTGGCATCTTGTACCTCTTTTAGTAAGTTCCTTTATTTTAATAGATAAATCAAGTATTTTATCCGATTGTATTTCTTTTGTAAATGCAACTTTATTAATTTCTAGGTGGACTTTGCTTTCGACGAATCAGTCAGATCATATAAAAGAGGACAAGCTCTCGACTTTTTAAAAACATTTTATTCAAATACAAGAATAATCAATGCGGACGATCATAAAAACACAAGACTCAAGATGGAAAAAAGGCTGTGTCAATCAAGCATAAGCATCCTTGTTGAATTAAGTGCTACACAAGAAACTGAAAACGGAAAACAAATATCAAAAGTTGTTAAAGACTTGAAGCAAAAATTTATTTGTAATCTCTTGTTATTGTTATTCACTATTGAAACACATCACATACCCGAAGCTTGGGATTGGACAAAAATAGGCGAATGTATGGCGGCGTACAGATCTTCTAATTCACTGTCGAATGACGCTAAAAGTGCATACAACAAATTAGCTAATCGAATCCATGCTCCTGTTACGTAAGTTTTATATTTTATTTTCCGGAAATTTGACTTTCATAAAAATAACAATTAATTTACTTATGTAATTTTCAGATCAAAGCAACAAGTCAAAATACCTAGACTCAGCAGCGAAAATCATGATTCCGATTCGAGCGAGGATGAAATACAAAACAGTGATAGCCACAATGACAGTCAAATAGAAACAACGAAAGAATCACAAAAGAAAAATGACAAAAAGAGGAAAAAGAATAGTAGTAAGAAGAAGAATAAACAAAAGTTAAAAAAAGAAGCACGAGAATTAAGAGCGAAAGCTATGTCGGAAGGTTTGGAATCTCTTGATTTCAGTAACGTGTATATACCTAATGGAATTAGCTCATTGGACGAACCTGTGACAAATGGAGTACCAGAGGAAATGAATAGCAAAAAAGAAAAAAATAAAAAATACAAAAGGTCACATGGAAATTCAACAGATATTCCTAGTAAAAAGAAGAAAAAAGATTCTCAGAACGGAGACTGATAGAGAAATTGTATAAGTTTATATTTATGGGAGAAAAAGCAACAGTGGAACAATGATTGTTATTTTTATATACATTTATGTATCAATGCTGTGTGTAAATAATACATACAAATAAATATCAATTAACGATTTTCGAATTACAAATGTTACATTAATCGATTTTTTATCCTCTATGTATACAAGTTTTATTGATACTTGAATTTGTAATACTTTGAAGTGACGCGAATATAATACAATTATTATGAATAATTATCAGGTTTTTATCTTTTTATTAACCTTCATGGTGGGTGGAGTCATACCAATCAGCATCACCTCGAGCCATATTATTCATTTGAAACTTTTTTAGGGAAAAAAAATTCAAAGTACGACTTGAACAAATTCACAAATGCCAACCATCTGGAGAATGGATATTAAAGTGAGCCGCGTTCGCTGGGACGCTGGCGCTGGATATTACGATTAGTTGGTAAAATAGATTTCTGTCGATCAAACACGTGTAGTATATACGCCTAGTTTACTTTTTCCCACGTGAATATGTTCTGGTACATAAGAGTCGATTTTTTATTGATTACAATTACAATAATTCAAAAATGAAAAAAATCGAACCGAATTTTATTTGTAATATTGAATAATTTATAAAATATATCACAAACAACGTATTTTTGGAGTATATAAGTTTACTCATAAATCAAACAAGGTCTGTATATAACCTAAATTATTATGTTTATGTATGTACATATTGCTTTAAAAATTTGTGAATAAAACTGATGAATATAATATTATTTTTCCCTGAATATAATAAATAATGTAATTATGAAATAAAAAATTCTAGTTCATTAATTTTTTTATTTTTTTATTTGTAGATGAAGAAAAATATATCTTTCGATAAAAATCCATTGGATAAAAGCACAAAATTAAAAAAATGGTATGAAGAATACCCAAAAACAGAAGAGCCATGTAAACACAGCAAAAGTGAAATGGATGTTATGAATTTGAAAGATGAAGCCAAAAAATGTTTAAATTCAGAAAGTACTGCATATCATATGAAAGAATCAAAGGCAAGAAATTCAGATTATTCTTGGTGGAAAAGTGCATTTTTCAAAGGCACAATAAAAGATAAAGTAGCTGCTGGAATAATTTTAGTTCAGAGCAATCCAAAATATAACTTAAATTATCTCCTGTCTCTAGTTTCTCAAGTAAAAGTAGCTAAACATAATAAGTGTGGAGAGGTGATAACCAATTTGAAGGAACTTTTTTTGACTGAATTACTTCACCCAAATTTCAAATTGATAAAATTTGAAGAACAAAATTTAGATCAATTAGACAGTTACAACAAATCTTTTGATGTAGCTAATTTGGATAATTTAAACAATAAACCAGTTTTATCAAAAAACAAATTATTAACTCTTTGGTATTTTGAAGATCAATTAAAAGAAATCTATGAAAAGTTCATTACAGCATTATCTGCAATTGCTAATGACACTGTGGACACAAATAGAGAAAAGGCAGTAGGAGTTATGAATGATCTGCTCATGGGAAATCCAGAGCAAGAGCAAAAATTACTTGACTTTTTAATCAATAAAATTGGTGATCCAAGCAGCAAAATTGCATCGAAGACAGTTTTTTGCCTTACAAAGCTATTATACAAACATCCAAATATGAAACTCATTGTTTTAAAAGAAGTGGAAAAGTTTTTGTTTAGAGCTAATATTTCTTCTAAAGCTCAATATTTTGCAATCTGTTTGTTAACACAATTTGTACTATCAATAGAAGACACAGAAGTGGCAACAACTCTTATAGAAGTATATTTTGCATTCTTCAAAGCATGTTTGAAAAAAGGTGAACCTGATAGTAGAATGATGGCTGCTATTTTGATTGGTGTGAACAGAGCATATCGCTTTTCTGACACTAGCTCTATAAAATTGAACAGTCACATTGAATCAGTCTACAGAGTAGTTCATGTTGGGTCATTTAATGTATCATTGAATGCTTTGAGTTTGTTATTCCAGGTAAAAATTATTAATGTTAAAAATATTCAATAAAATTTATATTGATTCTAAATATTTAAATAATTTTGTTTTTTAGGTTGTTAGTAAAAATCCTGATCAATCTAACAGGTTTTATTCTGCATTTTATCGTAAACTTTTGGATCCGCAAATTGGAGTAGCAAATAAAAGAGCAGTTTTTTTGAATTTATTATTCAGAGTAATGAAGAACGATCCAAGTATTCTTAGACTTCATGCATACATTAAAAGAGTTCTTCAAATTTCAGCTTTTTTTCCTGCAAATATGACTTGTGCTATTTTATATACAATTTCGCAAGTATTACGTTTCAAAAAAATTTCAAATAAAATTTTAGTCAGATGTGTAGGAAGCGAAGATAAAAAAAATGATTATCATAACAGTGCAAAAGAGCTTGATGAGGATGAAGAGCTAAAAGAAAAAACATCAAGAAAGAGGAAAGTTGAAAATTCCATTATATTATCAAATGTAATTATTGATACCATTAGAGAGGAAAATAATTTAAAAAATGACCAAGTTCAGACTGAAAATATTGCTGAAGTCAAACCAGAGTATAAAGCAACATGTTATAATGCTTTTGCAAGAAATCCACTATTTGCTGGAGCAAACTTAAGTATTTACACAGAATTAGTAGCTCTTGCAAATCACTTTCATCCCAGTGTTGCTTTATTTGCTAGTACAATTCTAGAAGGTAGATATTTTTTTTCATTTTCAGTATACATGGTATTAATGCTAACGTTAATCAAGTTAAATTTCTCTTGCAGGTAAACCTATTGAATACACTGGAGATCCTCTTCAAGATTTAGCTTTAATTCGCTTTTTAGACAGATATGTATTTAAAAATCCTAAAAAGTTAGAAAGTAAAAAAGTTGTGAAGAAGAATGATCCATTAGCTCACAGAGTAGCTTACACCCCTAAGGGAATTCGTACGCTTCCTGTTGACAGCATGGCGTATTTGAATGAACGAGAAGATAAAATACCAGTTGATGAATTGTTCCTTTATCGATATCTTCGAAAGCGTAAAGAACAGAAAAGTATCAGAAGCCATGACGACGATGATGATATTGAGAGTGTAAATAGTGAAGATTTTAATGATATGTTGGATCAATTAAGTAAGACTAAACATATTGATAAATTAGATGTTGCTAGTGATTTCAGTAGCAAACCCAAAAAATCAAAAGGTATATTTTTGAAGTAGAAGTTATTATCAAATGACTTTATATTAACTTATTGTTGATATAAAATTATTATTGTTCTATTCTTAACTATTATTGTTTTATTTCAGGTAAAGAGGATGATATGGATGAAATGTCTGATGAAGGTGAAGACAGTGATATAGAAAATGTTGAAGTTGATGATGATGAAGATCAAGAAGAATTAGAGACGGACGACGATGACGGCATCGACTTCCAAGATTTGGACGACCTGGATCTGGAAGATATCGACGATGATGCTAGCGATATGGAATTCAACGATAATGACAGTGATGATTTAAAAGAAAGGCCTCTAAAGAAAAGAAAACTAAACAAAAGTGACAGAAAACACAAACCCCAAGTTAAAGGTCTACCCAAAAATACATTTGTCTCGTCCGAAGAGTTTGCAGAAATGTTGGAAAACCAGGGACGTTCGAAGTTTAAATATGGAGCAAGTAAGTCGTTAAGCGACCGCGACGGAGCCAGTGTGAAACAGTTGGATTGGGAAACTAACCGTAATCAACGAATTAGCGGTTATCGCAAGGACAAGAAAGAAAAAAAACTGTTTAATAATTTCAAAAGTAAAAAGCATTTTTCAAAGGCACAAAAACTAGCAAAACGTAAACAGTAAATTATTTGATTATAGATTTGAAGTATTGTATAGTTTAATTTCTTAAATGTTTAATAAAAATATTTGTCCAAAAAGACTAACAGAAATCCATTTTTTAAAAGTTTATTACTATTTACTTTATCTATAAAAAATTAAAAATTTGTATTTCTTCACTTTATTCTTACACATTGAACATTTTTTCAAATTGAAAATAAAAACCATTAGTATAAGGTTGAAACAATTAAAAAAAAATACTTCAAGATTACCATATACTAAAATAAAAAAATGAAAGTGTTCTTGACAAAAAACAATTTTTAGGCGACGAAATACTTTAATATATATGTACTACTGTTCATTTACAGTGGTGTGTATGTGTGTATTAGCATCATGGTCCATATGAAATGTACTTATTATAAGTCAAGACTCTGCAAGTCACAGTTTGTTTTTCATATATACTTTATGAGGTTTCCATCGCAGTCATATAACTTACAAAATTATAGAATACACTCTTATGCACTGGAGAGGTAAAAGAAAAGTTTATATATTTGCAGATCACATTGCTCATTCTTCCAAGTAACCTTGTGCATCTTTGACGAACCTTTCAAACTATATTATACATTAATTCTGCATTACTTTAAGAATAACTACGATCAAACTTATTTGTTCACTTCACATAACTACAAATGCCAAAAAACTTAAATTTCAGGCATACAAAATGTATTTTAGATAAACATGCTTTCATATTTAAATGTCAACGCAATAAAATTTTGATGACTGAAATTAAACTTTGAAATTCAAAAAACATTTTTTTTCTCAAAAACTTCACGATTTTTTGATCTATCGATCTAAGGAAAAGGAATTATCAATTACTGACACTGTAAGTTATGCTACGCAAATATTAAAAGAAAAGTGTTATACGCATAAATAATTAAACGCAACATAATTCTGATGATTTTTAGTAATCATGTCAAAGACACTACTCTGTGTCTGCCTTTGCTGAGCCATCCTCATCGTGAGTTGGACTGTGCCATGTTAGCCGTTCCTCATAGAACTTGATCACGATTTGAGGGCACCTTTCATTGGCGGTTTTAGACAGTACAAGATCAGCATCGTCAGTTCCCTTCCACTTCATCAGGAACATGAGTTCTCCGCTGGAGTCAGTGGCACCAATAATACGCTCTGGTTCCAAGTTTCTATCGAAACCTGAAAAACAAACATTTCATCAGTATTTGCAAGAATATAAATTAAAAAAATCAACAATAATTAATTTTAATGATGACCAACAAAAATAAATTAACAGTTATTTAACAAATTGCCAATAAATTACCTTCAGCTTTCTTGTCTTCCACAACTTTCTTCTTTGATTGTGTAGGTGTTGGTGTACTGGAACTCTTTCTCTTCTTAGCTTCTTTTTCCTCGGTACGCTTGCTGGCAGCAGCAGCTTCTTTTTTCTTCCTTTGCTCCTCGAATTGAGCAATCAGATCTGGACAATCAAGATTCTCTTCAGGCTCCCAGGTGTTTTCATCATTAGAATAGCCCTTCCACTTCAAGAAGTATTCAACCTATACAAACAATTATATAAATATCATGTAGGTAATAATACACATATTAAGTTTAATAACAATAATAAGTAGATAAAAGTAAATTCACCAGTATTAGTAAATAAATAAAAGTTTTTAAATAACAATCGCAATAAATGAGTAATAAGCTATAAGAAAACAACAAAACAAATGATTACAAGATGGAGCGTTTCCATTACTTTAAAGTGCAAAGCGCGTAATCGATAACGAAACGCCGAATATATTTACCTTTCCTTTGACTACTCTCCTATCCAGAACTTTCTCCACACTATATTCCTCCTCAGTCTCACCGTCGGTTGCTGGAGAATCCTTGGATTTGCTCATATTTGATTGAGGTTGCTTGTTTGTAATGACTTTGCTCACTCGGAAGCTCACCCAATCTGGCAACTAGTTAAAACAGAGAAAGACAGACGACCGTTAAAATTCAAGGCGTCGTTATGTATGTGCAAAAAAGAAATGCGCGCGGCAGCGGCGTGAACACAATGCCGCGCGGGGGGAGGAGGCGGGAAAACGCCGCCGCGTGACATTTTTTATTCGGCAAAGTTTCGTGCATTGTGTACACTACAATTCTATAAAATAACCACGTAAAACAACGTTGAGAGGCTCGCAATAGTAAAATTCATTAGACTAAAGTGAGAAAAACACGTAAATTAAGCAAAGCGAGTACAGAAATAAGGAGCGTGGCTCGTTGGACGTGAGCCAAAAATGGCGGCAAAACGCAGCGAGCCGGCGAAATCTTATGTGGCTAGTCGCTAGTTAAAAAGATTTGATAAAGTTGGGAAAAAAATGAATGCTCACCTCGTATTTATCAACTCACGTAGCTGTAACAGCCAAATCAACCCAGGTGACGACGTCGGATTGTATACAAAGCGCAGGTATCTCGAGATAACCGAGCCGGAGGAGAGACGTTGCTACGGAAAGGAAGAGCTCAACGGACCAAGAGACAATGCGCTTTGCGGCGGCGTCTGAGAATACTTGTCGCGGCTTGGTTTTGCCCGCGCGCGACTATCGACCCAGTGTTGCCATACTTCCGCGCTTCACCCCCCCCCCCCCCCCCACCACTACTTCTATGCTCGAATATCGGTTAATAATCTAATTTTTCGTGCATGTATACATATATATTTGTACATATATGTATGTATTCATGTATACATATATATATATGCATATATGTATGTATTTGTATGTATGCATGCATGCATGCATGTATGTATGTATGTATGTATGTATGTATGTATGTATGTATGCATGTATGTATGTATATATGCGACGACGAAACCATTAGAATTTATGCGTATGTGTAGATGGAGAATTTGCACGAGTATATGCGATTGAATCAATCAAAATATGACGCTCAGGAGAGTGTGACCGTCACGTAGACGAAGAGAAAAAGCATTGAAAAATGAAATCGGTTTCATTTTTGGGTTGGTAGTAGGTAAAAAAGTATGTACGTGTGATAAACATTCCCAGGAAAACTATATGCGAAAAAATCTAATATTTTTTACATGAATAATTGATAGCCGGTACAATGATCTTGTAACGGTAGATGTTTTTTTATAGGACCGTCATTTGACGCTCAAACACTTGCTTAGCTAATAACTATATGCGTGTGCATTTGTAGTTGTAAGCGTATTTTTTGTTATTTCCGTTATAATTATAATATACGCGCGTACAATACAATGCATATTGCTTGTTTATTTTCGATTGTCAAAGCATTTATACTTTTAAATATTTTAACGAGAAAATTATTTATCATATCTTGTTGAAACCCTATTAACTATTTTAAAAAGTTTAAGTTAGGGTTAGAAATTATCTGACTCATCATATGTTTATTCTAAAATATAACACACAAAATATATATTAAGCGCAAACAATGTTAATGTATGGGCACATATTGTACAAATATTTGCCTACTTACATATATACACACCCTAAACTCTTACGGTATACATAAATTATGACATATGGAATCAAAATAATAACGAGCTGCGGAGTCGTGACACTTATCTTTTTTATCCTTTTTTCGGATTCATTTTTTGTAATGCTCAAAACTTCCTGGTGAAATTAAAAATTAGAAAATTCAACAAGTATTTAATATTTCCTTAATTTGATATGCGTTATAGCCGACAGTATTATTTATTGGTAAATAAATATGCAGTTACGTTGATATTCATAATTCATGATTTTTATAAATTTTATAAATGAAATTTTAAGTTTTTAGTTGTCCGAAATTCTATGTTAAAAAATCATCAACGGTCATAAGTATCAAAAACATAATAAAAAATGTAACATAAATTCTAGAAATAGTTTTTTATTATATCTTTCATAATGTAAATATAACATACTTCGGTAGACGTTGACGATTGTGATTAGAGCATTTTCAAAACAATTTTCTAATCGAAGTTTATTTTTATTTTAAGGCTAGTATAATTGAATTAGTCAATTCATATTAAATTCATGTTAACTATATCGATACACTTTTCGAACATTTATTCATCTACGAAAATTGAAGTAATCTTTCATAAGCATATACAACATATATAGATATATTATCACACAACGACTAATCACGTGACTCTTTCAGCCAATTAGATGACGAAGAAACTTGTTTCACCTTCACAGGTTCTCTTTTATAAGAGAGAAACAAGATAGAAAAGAGAAAGAAAAAAGTATGTGTGTATGAGTGCGTCTGACTTATCTAAGTTATCTCCCAAATAAGATCGAAACAAATGCTGATTAAAACTCAATGCTTTTCTAAACGTAATACATCAGTAGCTACGTCATTACGATTACGAAAAATTGTTTGTAATTGCTTAAAGTCAGCGTTTTATTTCAAACAGCGTTAATTAAAAACAAACTCTTTTTATCAGCATTTTATTCTAAAAAGAAATATGGCAAATATATTTACTGGCAAAGCGTTCTTACTTGTAACTGGAGCAAGTCGTGGTATTGGCAAACAAATTGCAGAAACGTTTGGTGGATTATTGAATGAGGATTCAACGATTTTATTACTGTCGAGAAATGCTGAAAATCTACAGCAAACTGTCAATGCATTGCCTAAAGGCTTGAATGCAACGTACAAAAGCATCGACTTCAGTACAACAAGTGCAGAAGAACTTCAAGGTATGAAAAAAGATAAAACAATAATTTTATTCTTTCTTACACGCAGCAGCATAATCAACCACAAACGCTAGATGTTCGTAAATGCAAGCTGTATCATGTGTAATATAAAAAAAATCGTTATTGCATTTTTTATTAAAAATTGGACTTTTGAACAATTTTCAGACGTAGTAAAAGCATCGTTGAAAAATGAAAAACCCGAAAGTTTCGATGAAGCAATCATTGTGCATGTCGCGGCTATGGCAACGTTCAACCAATCTACAATCGATATGACTAATTTTGAAAAATGGCACAGTTGCTTTAATTTGAATATGATTTCTGCGGCTGTTCTTAATGGTATTTTCATAAAAACATTTAATGATAAAAATGTTAAAAAACATGTGATAAATGTGAGCTCTTATTGGGGTTTGAAACCGGACGTCTATGTTGGATCTTATTGTTCAGCGAAAGCTGCGAAAGATATATTTTTCAAGGTTCGTCTCAAATAATTATATTTAAATGTAACTGTAAAAAAACATTTCTTCATCATCGTCTGATTTTTAATTTATAAAAAAACTAACGTATGTTTAAGGTATTCGCTTTAGAAAATCCAGATGTCAACGTTCTCCTTTACTTGCCGGGTCACGTCGAGACAGAAATGTTCTACGATGCCTTGGAAAAAGGAAAAAACGATGAATTGAAAGCTAAGCTAAAAGAGTTGATTGAAAATAAAAAATTCGTGACGCCGGCGCAGACGGCTGATTACCTCGTTAAAGTGTTGCAAAAACGCAATTATAAATCTGGCGATTATGTTGATTATTATAATAAGATAAATTAGTTATACGAGTTGTGTATTAATAGATTTTTATTCAAAGATAAATGTAAAGTTTTCTAAACAATTCAAAAATACGTGATTTTTTACCTGTTCCTAGTTTTTTTGATTACAAAAAAATGTGATTTCGTCAATATCAAATAAACCCGCCAGAGAAGCTCGACTATTTTCAACGGGTCGTATATAAATCCACCACTCACGTTCTGTTACTCGTTACAGTCAACTTGTCGACCTTCACACCAACAACAATTTAACAAATTTCTCTCTCCGCACTTGATCGAGTAAAGCACAATCTCTCGCATAAAAAAAATCTGCGAGAGACGTAAGGCGATATTGACGCAGCAGAAGGGGGATTAAATCAAGTGAAACATGAAGACAACGGTCGCTGATCCATGGTCGAGTGTCGATTCATGTGGGAATAGCGAGGAGGTGGTGGTTAACAACGTCAATAAACGACCTGACGACGATTGCTTTGAGGATTCCTTTGTCCTGCAATCCTTTCGCGAGGAACTAGAAAAGTTGCCTGACTCCGAAGAATACTTAGCCCGGCTTCGTAAGTGTTTTCTACTCGGTGTGCTTACTTTCTAATTTGTGTTAAGGCCAGTGACGCTTACGTGATTGTTGATGATACATGTTACATATTAGAAAATTCTACGCCTATTTTTTCACATATAGTTATATTAAAGCTAAACAAAAATTATGTACAGTGAACTTGAATATTTTTAAAAAATGTTTAAAGAAACTTATTTACGAATGAAAAAATCATTACAGAGTCCCGACTGGAAGCTCTCAAAGGAGGGACATCAAAGCGTGATCTTATTAACTCCCTGTCCATTGCAAAAGAGGAGTGCATTGCAAGATTGATAACAGGTGGACATAATCTTGAGATTTCTGAAGAACAAGAACTTGCAGCAAATCCAGTCATTAGGCATATTGCGCCACACTTGCAAGTATATAACAATTTATCTTTCATTGATTCTTGATTATAAAAAAGTATTATATAATTTATATTCTACAGGCTCTCACAGCAAACGAATTGGTACATTTGCTGAAAGCTGATGTGCTCCAAGCTGTGGTAGACGAGCAGAATAAAGATTCAGAAAGTCAAGACTCCGAAAGCAAATTGTCAGACAATCTGTTGGACATTCAAATACAAGATAGCAAAGAAAATTAATTAGTCAATAATGGCTAGCAAACCATTTTCTGGTAAAGTTTATTTTTTAATTACTGGGGCCAGTCAAGGTATTGGCAAAAAAATTGCTGAAGTACTTGGTTCGTCTTTAGACAATGGTTCCCAAGTTTTGTTGTTAGCTAGAAATACTGTCAAGTTGGAAGAAACTGTATGTATGTTACCTAAAACTGTAACTGTTAATTTTGAGAGTGTAGATTTAAGTTCAGCTACAGCAGCAGAACTTAAAGGTAATATATTTTTCAATGCTATAAAACAGAATAATAATAATTGTAACTATTATTCTTATCATGATTTGTATTTCAGAAATCATTTTAAAATCATTAAATTTATCTGCACCAACTCAGTTTGATCAAGCAGTCATTGTACACAATGCTGGATCAGTAGGAGATGTTACAAAATCTACTATTCAGATGACTGATTTCATTGAGTGGAGAAAATACTACGATCTCAATGTATTTTCTCCAGCTGTTCTCAATGGAGTTTTTATGGAACTGTTTGGAGATAAAATAATTAAAAAGCATGTGATTAATATTACATCATTATGTGGAATTCAGCCAATGAAGTCAATTGGATTTTATTGTAGCGGCAAAGCGGCCAGAGAAATGTACTTTAAGGTCAGTATTAGAATTGTGCAAAAGATTTCATGATGAATGACATTACATTCTATCAGATTATTTATACTGCTATATTTTACTATGCAATGTAACATATGAAAAAAAATTATTATTTAATCAGGTTTTTGCTGAAGAAAATCGTGATGTTAATGTTTTGAACTATTCTCCTGGGCCAGTCGAAACCGATATGCTACAGACAATATCAGACAATGTTGGCGATAAAGAAGTACAAGCTAGTTTCCAAACCATGAGAAAGAATAATAAAGTTTTGACCACAGATCAAACAGTTACACGACTAACAGAAGTTCTTTTGAAAAGAAAATATAAATCTGGAGATCACGTGGATTACTTTGATCAATTATGAACATTAATCACGTTCGGTTCAAACACATTCTATAACTCATGGAACATTATTCTTTATTTTTAAAGCATCTATAAGCTCTTGTTTAAAACTTTACTTACGCAAGCAAATTGAACGAAATAATTTAAAACCACTTATCAATAATAAACATCATAGTTAAAAAAATAATAGTTTGTTATTGCTTTGTAGAAGTATAGGCCTCTTAATATATTAAATTTGTATGATAAAAAATCAAAATTTCTTTATTTTATTAAAACCATCCATTAATTTATTGAATGTTTACAATACTCAAATAATTTAAAAATTAAAAGCCAAAATTGTTTTGAAATTCAATATCACTATTTAGTTTAAAATATTCATTTTTATTGATTTAGTACTCTATAATCAATTAATGTATCGAAAGAATTTTTTTTTTTTAATATTTACATTTTTTTTGTAAACTATACATATAAATTTATTCATCGAAAATATTTATATATATTTTTATCAAATACTAGGAATTTCATATTGGTTACTAGTTTGAGTTGCACTACCCTGTATGACAAAAAATTCTAATCTATCACTTTCATCTAAATTTAAAACAATTTCCAAATTTTGTAGGCTTAAAAAATGCATATTTGTTTATTGTATATAAGTTATTATATTTAAGTTTGCCTAGCTACACAAATTGTGATGTAAATTGTATAAAAATCATATTCTCAATGAATTGCAGCTATCACAAGTAAAATTATTATTACAATATTGTTTTTGTTTTATCACAGGGAATTTTAGTCATCTAATTCTTAATTTATATTTTACCTAAATTTTTAGTTTTTCTTTCACATAGTGCAAAAATATCAAGAAAAATAAAATTTGTAAAGTAAAACTTAACAACTAATATGTAAAATTCTTATAAATTTTTAAGAATTATACAACAAATTTTAAGACACATTTAAATTAAAATAAAAAAATAATCCATGATCATTTCATTCAGATATAAATGGCTAATGCATTTATAATGTATTTGATTATGGTGTATACAAATGTATACAATAAACTTTGAAAAATATCAAATATACTAATATTAAACTTAATATTAACTAATAAGTTAAAAAAATATATATAAAAAGTATTTAAGAACTGTCAACTGATACAAAAGGACTGTATAAAGTCTTTTTAAATGTGCTCCATCTTTTGTTGATAATAATTGCAAGTATTAACAAGATTACAGGGAGACCTCCGGATAAAAACCAAACTGGAGATGGATATACATCCAAAGTATGTGTATAAACATATAAATATAGTGGTGTTGTTGCAAATGGAAGTAACATTTCCAATATTGTTGTCACAGAGAAAGCTTTTCCTGTTTGAAATAAAATTATCATTTATATTCTATAAACAATTTTCTGAGATAAAAACTTTTGTAGCAAACTGACCAATATCTTTTTGAGGAATTGCTTTCGATATGATAGATCTTATCACTGGTATTGCAGATGCACCAAACATTCCAATGCTTGCACATAAATACATTTGCCATGGTTTTTTAACGAAAGCTTTTAACATATTACTTCCACCATATGATAGACAAGATATAGTGAGAACAACTACATCTGGTAATTCTGAAAAAAATTTGTTTAATAAATTAATTTAATGAATAATTTGTGTAAGTATACTAAATAATTATTATTATGAAGTGAATTAATTACTTAAAACTGATCCAACAAATTTTATTAGAAGTAGCATGCCACTAATAGTTATGAAAATACCAGTAGCTGCATATATTGAATAATCAATGACACTCCATTGTAAGTGTAAATTAGTGAATAAAAATGTAATAGATGCATTTCCTTCCATTACAATCACATGAATTGCAATGTAAGCAATACAACTCCACACTAAGCCTCTGTCAAATCCATCTCTTTGCTTTGTCACACTAGTGAATAACTCTTTGACCAAAGGAAAGTTAAATACACTTGTTAATGTTCTCTGTAACAGTAAAATGTTGTATAAAGAAGTACTTTAAAATTCTAAAATATTTGAATATTGCATATGTAAAACATACTTTTCTATCTGTTACTACTGTTTCTTTTACATAGAATAACACATGCAACAAGGCCAAAAATGTTATCCCTGATGATATGCTAAATACTGTGATGTAACCACATTTTTTAAATATTAAAGGTCCCACAAGAAATCCTACAAGAATTCCTGAAGATAACGCTGTATCCAAACATGCCAAATGCCAGGATCTATTGTCTTTGTTAGTGAAGTCAGTTATATAGCAAAAGAATGTCAATAGAATTGGAGAGAATCCTCCTAAAAGAGATATTGGAACAGATGGTAATAAAAACCAATATGGGTTGACGTTGAATGTGCTCAAAATTGCATATCCAGCATAGTAGAGAACATGTCCTGTGAAAGATAAAATTCTAGTACATTTTTATAAAGATAAAAATTAGCTGCTGCTATGAGTAAGCTTATATCAAAACAATAACACTTACCTATAAATGGAAAAATGAGCAATGGTTTCCTGCCATTTTTATCACTCCAAGGACCCAGAAAAAGAGCTAACAGTGTTGGAAATATTAATTCTATGCATGATTTGGATGTCAGAATTGGTCCTATGTGCTGCTGCACTTGTCTTATCAAATCTGCTGTTTCATTTACAAAACTTTTATTAGAGTGGTGAAGAATTTCACATAAACTGGCATTTACCCCTTTTAATATTTTGCATGTCTGGTACTCAATCAGGTCTGTCATCAAACTGTCTGAAGATTTTAAAATAAAATATAAATTCTTATGGTAATAATTACTTTCTTATAAATTTAATGTCAATAAGTCATTAATTTTGAACTATAGACTCAAAAAAATTAATTAATAGTTAATATTAATAATAATAAAAAAATTAATAGTAGGTATGATAATATAACTATAAGACAAGAAGATAAACCACTTGACTTTAACATTGCAACAAAAGTCTAAGATAAAATAATAGCAGCAATTAAAAATGTCCGCTCACCTGATATAGAGTAGGCGAACATAAGGGCAAAGGCCAGAGGTTCCATTGACAAAAATCGTCTCCATCCTGTTATAGATGAATTAGCCATGATGTGAGTACGTATATAAAACAAACTAAAACAACAACAAAAGCGGACAGCGAACAACGGAGATATGTCAAACCTCCAAATGCGGTCAAATTATTGGCACGGCATAATTATTCTGCGCATTATCCGTGGCAAAAAGGCCTTACTTTGTTCGGAATGCGTTCACGTCACGTCACACGCACTGCATAAGCTTTATCCTCGTCCCCAGAGCTTTTCAGCTTATCGCGAGATTCGCGAGTTAACTATAGTTTACGATTTTAAGTTATATGGGTTGCGCTTTTAATATTCTTCGCAATCGGATTTGAGATTTGCCCCTCTTCTCACGCTTCTCGCGCAGCTACTACGTATCTTTGTTTATAGTCGTTATGGAGACAATAGCAGACGACAGAGGTTAAAAGAGTACAGGTGACTGATGATAGTATACGTATACATTTGTTGCATTGTATGCGTATGTATGCTTGTGAATTATGAATTGTGATATTATGATGATTAAAGTATATTTTTCTTGTTACAAATTTCTCATTGTTTATAACCAAAACAGAGGATTCACAATGTGTAATCCCATCGTATCAAGATCACTGAGTCAGAGGTTAACAGCTGATCCATTTTGATATATATAAGCAAAAAATAATTTCCATTGTATTTATAGATAGATAGATAAACAGGAATTTTACCTTTCATAGTTATTATCCAATTAAACTTCCGATATGAATTAGAATTTTCGGTCAATCGATCGTATGATTGCATAAAAATTCTTGAAAAATATAATTGTTGAAATTACTAATATGCATGGACATTGAATAACTGCTGTGTCATAATGACATTATTTTTATCACCACTTGATAATTTATACTAATTTCCACAAATATATTAGCTGAATTACTAAATAATCTATATTATGAGAATTATCTCAAAATAAATAGATTCATTTGTTAAGAAATAGAATATATATAAAAAGATAAATAGATATAGAAAGGTAAATAAAATTAATTCAAATGAAGTTGAATTTTATGTTAGTAACAGAAACTATTAACTGGAGAATAATGTTTTTCATTTTTGTTATTTTTATAGTTGACTCAAATACAGTATTCTAAAATTTATCTTAAAATACAGTAATATGATAGAGTCAAGTAGTAAAGAAAATGATCATCGACCAGTCACTCCATCAGAGGAGGATTGTTGTGGCAATTCTTGTAATCCATGCATTTTTGATGTACATAAGAAATTAGTTGAAGAATGGGAAAAAAGAAAATTAGATAAAATAAAAAGAGTTTACAATGAAAACTGTTTGTCTCTTTTGCAGTATAAGAGATTTATTGTTAGAGCTATAAAAAGATCATCAGAAGATTGCATTATTATTGATATTGAATGTGGTTCAGGTACTCTTTTAAATTGCCTCTCATTTTATGTAAAAATAATTTTTTTTCAACAATTAATATTTCATAGAAAATAAAAATGAACTTGTGTTTATGTCTCCTGGCCAACACATTATGATGAGATTAACTTCTACTTCTAAACCATATACTCCTATTTCATGGAACAAGCAATCAATAAAGCTGTTAATAAAACTGTATGAAAATGGTGTTGCCAGTAATTGTATAAAACAATTAAAACTTAGAGATGATATATTTATCAGAGGACCATATGGTGATTTTAAATATACAAGAAACAGGTGTTTATTTGTTAAAGCATTAATAAAACTATATATTTTTTTACTACATTGCTTAGTTTCTTCAAATATTTTTCAGTTATAAAAACGTAGTAATGTTGAGTATAGGAAGTGGAATAGCAGCTCTGTACCCAATAGCTGTCTCAATAGTCAAAGATGATTTAGAGGATACAAAAATCAAATGGATCTCAGGATTTCGATCTTTATCACATGTGGCTCTGAAAGATGAATTGAGAGCGTTAACAGACTATTGGAATTTTGAATGTTTATTATGTTTATCTCAAGAAAGTAAGTCTACTTATTATACATTTATCAAATATGTAATAAAGATTGTGTTTCTAAGCAAACATAATTTTTTAGAGGATGCAAATATCACTGGAATACAGACTATAAATAGCCGCCTAAATGATAAAATAATTAACAACGTTCTCGACTCTTACGATTCAGAATCGGTTTTAATTTTAATTTGTGGAACTCCCGAATTTAATGCGTCAATGGAAAAACTCGTTGTTAAAAAAAATTTTTCCAATCATTATTCATTCAGGTGACATTTCAATAAATATTTTGTTCATCGTTTGATAACAAACAAAGCGTCTTTTGTGATTCGTTTAATTAATATTCATCCACAAGTTATAGCTTTTTGTCATAAGTTGAAAATTGACATTTTTTTAATAAATCTTATAGTGTCTATTGTTTTACTTTAACACATCTTTAATATAACTATAAATTTATTTGGTATTTTTCAAGTGCAAAATTATGCATATATTTTAAAAGAACGCATTGATTCTTTAAATATTATTTAACGTGTTTTTATATCGTAATGTTTCGATTGTAATGAATAAGTTTGAAAAACGAAAAATCGAAAAAAATTCTGTATTTGGTCTGAAGTTTTTGTCGTCTAAAATGCTAAAATTGATTGGAGGTAGTTTCGCTCAAAATGTTCCAATTACAATTTATATCCAAATTAGTACTTGGTAACAAAACTGATAGAGATCACATGAGTTATATGCCAGTTTATCAAAAATATTTGTTGATTGCCTGTACATTAAAATATTGTAACGACTCTTCATGAAAATAATATTTTTCGCACCTTTGAAAATCGCACTTTTCACACGTCGTATCAAAAAATATAGTACGGCACATGTTCGGGTAAGAATTTCTCGTCTCGTGTATCTTTCTACCCCACTTTTATCATAATGTACTATTAATGTTTCAGAGAGTTGCGTTTACGTAGAGTAAACAAGCATTTAATGTCGTAGTTTTAAGACGAAGCTAGATAGTGTTGCCATCACGAGTAATTTTACCCGAGAAAAGGACCGATTTTAACTTTATTTTTTCTCAAAGTTATATGACATTCCATCAAGCTAATAATAAAATGAGACAGATGCGCGAATATACTTAAAAACAATAATAATTTATTCATGTCTCCAATATAGATTATCCTCCTTTTTTAAAGTCAGCAAAAAATTGATGAAATTCATTAAGTCACAAACCAGGAAAAGTCCGATTATACTAAACTACGACCTAATCCACTACTCTAAATGGTTATTTCGACTATTTTGAATCCACTACACTTCAACTATTTTGAAAGTAGAGATTTGACAAACTGGTTTCTCATTTTATTAATTAGTATTTAATTTTGTTATAGATTTTTAAGGTAAAATTACTATTGATCTGTAATAAAATTATTGATTTACAGGTTGATGTTAGAACTCATTACATAAAAGGTTTGAGAAATTTATTGTGCCATGTATTATGACGCACTTCCGCATAAAATCATTAAAGCTACAATATATACGTCAGAATGTACAACGTTATACACCCCCCCTCCACACATACAAGATTGATATAGATAGAATAGACTAGAGAAAATTATCGTATTTTTCAAAAACGAATACCAACATTATATTTTGAATAATTGTAATACCCGTAATATCGGGATCGAAATATCTCGAGTAGAAATTGTAAAAAAGTCTCGTGGGTATAGTTTTTTATAAAAATGAGTCAACATTTGGAACTCTAGTGTTGCGCGGCTTCGATCAATTGCGTGCCCATCCACTTTGAAACAAACAGTAACCGTTGGAAGGCTGAAAGCGCTTCGAATTGTAGAACAAATTATAATTGAAAATGTTACAAAAGCAACAGATAGAATCATCTGCATACGTTATAACGTTAATGGTAGTCAAGAGCAAAAAACCGATAACAAAAAGCTTGCGAACTTGTCAAAAAAATTGCCGATTCACCTGGCCGCGACTGACAATCCGATCCATAATTGGTCAGAGCAATAAGTTATGTCCAATGGGACTGCACCACATCATAGCAATGCGTTACCAAATTTATAGGTAGGGCAGGACGAAGCGCCTTTGATATCTAGAAGCTGGGCTTATTGCGAAGAAGTAGCGGAGTGCAGTCCGACTCCTTGAATAAACCTTAGCAACCGAAGTTAAATGATGAAAGGTCACAGAATTCGATAGATCGCCACCCTGCCATACCAGGATGGACACAATGGAAACGCCTTCACCTATGCAGGCTCGAACCCACGGCCCATGGCGCTTTGACGGAATATCAGACTGACGCCTTTGCCCACTCGACCATCCCCGGCGATGTGTGAATAGATCGCGATTTGGAGATTTAACGAATTGCGTTGATACGAAACAAAATAAGACCCAAGATACACCTGGAACGTCTACGGCATAGGTACGATGCTCCAACGTAAACAGTAAACAGAGCAGCGCGTCCCTCGACCCTCCGATCTCACATTTTATTTCAACATTGTTTTATTTATCCATTTTTTAATTTGTATTTTAACACGTTATATTTCATTTAGAAATAAATAATAAGCAGGTGTAAAATAATAGTACATTACGATACAAGTGCGGGAAAATAGATTCTTGTCTCGTGTGGCGATTACGCCCGAGCGAAGCGAGGGTGGAATAGTACACGAGATGAGAAACTTTTTCCCGAACATGTGCCGTACCGTATTTTTTGATACGACGTGTGGAAAGTGCGATTTTTAACGCACGTTTTTTGCCGAACGTGCGGGAAAAACGCACTTTCCGCACGGAGTGTCGAAAGCAAAATTTTTAAATTTACTGTTCTTTCTATTTACGTATGAGTACACTGTCATTTTTATTATAGGACTTACAAAATTCTTTACAAAACAATATGAGAAACGTGGAGTTTGTTACTGTAACTTGTTTTGAAAACAAACTGCAGACAATTGAAGAACAGATTGATATTGACAAAACTGCAAAACTTTTGTACACTTATATAAAAATGTATTGTAAATATCAATAAAAAATTAATGGCTTTGTCAGGTAGCAGTTAAAATTCAATGAATAATAAAAAAATTGCAATGTATTACATTCTCTAAAAAAATACTCATAAACTTTCGTTGAATGCTATTATACATTGAGGAACACGAAGTTGAATATTTAATTTTTACTAACAAATACACGTCATGCCCATCGTGTATTTGTTAGTAAAAATCTCTCTAACATATTAGTATGCTTACACTTTACTAGTTATAATATTTAAAAAACAAAGTTCCAAGAAAGAGCCGATTCAGCTTCAATTTTTCACAATTACTCGCACAGTCGTGCTTCGATCAAACAAATAATAAAATATAACTAATTGTCTGGCATATCCTTTCTGATAAACCGACCTCCATCGAAATCGGTGGAATATATGTACGAACGCACAAAAGAGAGCCATTCACGTTGAACACAGTTCCTCCTTCTTTGAATTCTTTGAAATCAAAAGCCGAATTAAAATGTAAATGTATACCTTGTTTTGTAAATGATAGACTTGAGATTACGCAAAAGTCGGATATCCAAGCTACAATTTCGCAACAAAGTTGGCGTTTTCTATGAATGAAAATAAAGAATCAAATGTGTTAATGTTATTTGTTAAACTAATAAACATCCAACGTATTTTAGATACGAAAATCAAATGGACTGAAGGATAATCGTGAGTACTTTTTGCGTCTGCTATCGGATTAACCGAAGAGATAACAAAATGAAGATAATAACTAAGTTATGAATTATCATTCATCAAACGTGAAAAAATTCCATTTTTTAAGTTGAATATCCGTACATTCTTAACAAAGTCACATTTTTGTTTATCACCGTATATAAAGTCATAACAGCCTGCAATTGTGCACTGTTTTATTATAGGCACAAATTATCGTGGACAGCAACACAGCGTAAGAATTGATGCACGCTGATTCATGCCGTGTTATTGTGCAGAATTGTTTGTGTGTACAATAAACCCGAGCGTAACTGTCCGCACGCCCAAAACGTTTGCAATCAAGTCCACGTTTATGTGGCATTCATTCGCTTTGTGTTATAAAGCATTAGTCCGGTAAATACCAATACATATGCTCGAGCAGAGTTTAGCTACTTTCCAACACTTGAAAGACGCGCTGACATTGCAACCTGACGATGTATTAAATTCAATCACTCGTGTACTCGGTGCCAGAGCCGAGTTTAGGCATGGGCCTACCTGGGCCCAGGCCGGGGCCCCGCCGTGGAAACCAGGCCTCGCGAACATGAAAAATATCAGCTAAGTAGGCCCCGCCGTCTTTTTGGCCCAGGGGTCGGGAAAGGTCTAAACTCGGCTCTGCTCGGTGCACCGGCACGTGTTTAAATCAACGATATTCTATATTGACGTGCACCGAAATGGGCATAAAAATCACTAGACTTGCATTTTTTTCTTGAAAAAACAAAATTAAAAGCATGCGTTATGATGTAATAAGTCATTGAAAAGTCAGGATTTATCTCGTGGAAGATATTTTTCAGTAAACAGGTTCTAATACATATCGCTCTTAATAACGACAAAACCTCAAAATACTATGTGTTTAAATATTAACGTTTAGAACGTATTTTTTATGGGTCACGTCATATTAAACGTTTAAATTTAAACGCATGGGTTTACCGTGAAATTACTATTAAATTTGAATAATTGAGTGTATTAAAATAAACATCTACGTCATCATCATTATTATAACATTAAAATAACATTATAAATACATACATTGAAGTGCAGTGTCATCTTGCTTTAATTTTTAAATTAAAATACTGGTTGCAATAAATGGCAGTTTTCAATAATACATTAACTTATCTGATAAAATGGATTTTTCTTTCAGTTAAACTTATAAAGTTAAAAATTACTCATTAAACTACAAATTAAAATACTATTCATCCATTGCACGTCTATCTGACGTACTCAATCTTCTCCATCGTCGTTCGACGACAATTGCAAGTACCACAATTAGAAGACTCAGTGCTGCCGGTAAAAACCAAACTATACAAGGATACGACTTTATGTATTTCGTATGCAATACGACGAACAGTGGGGTCGCTGCGAGAGGTCCGATCTTTTCCATAGCCGTTGTCACCGCAAAAGCTTTGCCTGTTTTTCAAGCAAAAACATATAGTTTTCATCGATATTTTAGGCGTTAAAAACTGCTCGTCAAACGTAAACTCGACTGACCAATTTGTCTTTCAGAAACTGTCTTCGATATTATACTACGAACTAAGGACGCAGGAGCCAAGCAGAAAGCTCCGATCATCGTGGACAGGTAGAGGTGCTGCCATTCCTTGGCGAATGCTTTCATGAGTGCACCACTGCAATTCGAAATGCTGGCAATTGCGATTCCCACTGTTTCCGGCAACTCTGAAATGCAACACGAGCAGATATGCAGTTCGAGGAACCTTTGGCTTAATTGTAGCTAAAAATAGAAACGCCTGCGTACGGAACATCGTCATGATCCACTTGATAAGCAGCAGCATGCCCGTCATAGTGACGATCAATTGAGTCATCGCGTACGTGGAAAAGTCCTGCAGGTTCCAGCCGAACCTTTTCGTATACAAGTAGAGAATCGTTGCGGCGCCCTGCATGTTGTCGTCGTGAATCGCGATGATGCACAGGCAGCACCAGAACAGTACTCTGTCGAATCCGTCGCGTCTTTTGCTCACGAACGCAAACAACTTCCGCAACACTGTAGGGTCAAAGACGTCTCTCAAGGAACGCTGCTAGGTGAAAAGTGTTGAAGATGAGGATCGACATCACCAAGAATAAAAATCAATTGCCGTCGACGATTGCAGACTTACGCCTATGTTGACGTAAATAGTTTCCATGAGGAAGAAATACTCGTAGACGAGTCCTAGCAGGCAAACGAATGCCGAAGTCGCGAATACGACGCAATAGCCGAAACTTTTGTAAAGTATCGGGTTGACTAGGTATCCGACGAGCTGTCCTCCGAATATAACGAAATCCAAAACACCCAGGCGCGCAGCTCGATTGTTGCTGTCCGTGATATCGGCAATGTAACAGAAGCTAATCATCAAGATCGTCGGGAAACCACCCATCACGGAAGAAATGAGAGAGGGTAAGAGGAACCAGTATATGTCGAGATTCGTATAACTCAGGACGGCGTATAACGTGTAGTAAATTATCGAGCCTGGACAAAATCAGAAGCTTCAATGTGGAAAAGACGATGGTGCAATTTTTTGAAAAATTAAAAATAATAGACTCTCACCTACAAAAGGAATCGTCAATATAGGCTTCCGTCCGTTGGCGTCGCTCCAAGGTCCAGTGAAGAGAATGATTATCATGGGAAAGAACGTTTCTATCAACGATTTCAGTACCAGAAACGTAGCTATCTGCGGCTGCACGATTTCTTGCAGAGACTTGGCAGACTCGCTGCTGCTGTTTTCGTGTAAGACAGAACACTCGCTGTCGTTCTCTATGATTCTTTGGCATTTTTTGAGTACTATGACATCATTTATCACGCTATCTGCGGACCCAAAAATCAATCAATACGAGAAGTGTGAGAAAGTTTCAAATAAAATAAAAGATTTATTAAAAGAAATGCCTCATGTGTCAGCCAACAAAACGATTCGTAATTATCGTAGATAATAAAATATTGATTCTTATGTTGACTTTGCGTGGATGCAATGAAAATATGCTGCAAATAACTTTTAAAGAATCGCACGTTATTTGTTATCAGCATAACCAACAAATAAGGAATCTTAACAATAAAGAAAGATCTATCTCAACGAGATATATACAAGAAGGATCCATACTTATTGATAATTCAGAAAGATGATATATATCTCAGCGTTCGATTTGAAATTTCGATTGTTCAAAAAATACGTATTTCTATGCCTTATTATTATTATGAATCTATGCGCCAGATATCAAATAATACGAATCTACCTGACAATGTAAACGCAAACATGATAAAGAACGTCACTGGATCGATGAATGTAATTCGCTTCCAAACAGATACTTCTAGGTTTTCCATCGTAACACTGATAAAAAGAAACACTTAAAATCTTGATAAGCTACGGAAAGAACAACTAACTTGTTGCTCATTCACGCGTATAAGGATTATATTTTTATAGCGACGTTCGAAAGACAAATGCAAGTCTTCGAATACCGTGTACAACGTTTTAGCGGGAAATTATTCGAGACCACTGCAGTTACTGCCAAGTTACGACAGAATAACTTCAGTACGACTGACGCTCACTAGGTGATTCACTCTGCCGTTCGCTCGATTATCGCCACATACACACGTCATTTTTAAAAGAAATATTTACATTCTGATTGCACGGTTCCTTATTAATAAACCTCGTTGTAAGTTTTCAAAATACCGAATTTTTATGCGTGCATAACCCAACCCAAGCAAAAGCTAGACCGGATATAGGGATATAGTACCAAACTAATTTTTTTTTTTAAATGATAGACAGAATTTCGTTGCCGATATCCACGTCGTAAGACCCCGGTCCCATAGCTACCTGTGAATGCGGACGGATACGGACGCGAATTGCAACTCTAGTAACATCACTAAAAATATCTAGTTCGATTATTTAGTACCAATACTACCGGTAGTGAGCAAAAGTAACTGTTGTTTAAAACTATAGCGCCGAACGTACCACATTTAATGTTCAAATGTCAGGTCTACAATTTACTTTTCAAATTCTCATAAATATTGCTTATTGATGAGTATGCTAATGTAAAAAAAGCTTTTGGGATGATTAATACATATCATTTATATATATTTTCTTCTTCTCATATATTCAAGTACTTCCATAAAATTAAGGCCTAATTCCACTAGTTGAAAGTCTATCAATTCTCTATCATTTGCCATCTTATAGACTGCAATAATGTAAAGGTTAGATAAGCGTTCATTAAATGTGGTACGTTCGGCGCTAAAGTTTTAAACAACAGTTACTTTTGCTCACTACCGGTAGTGTTGGTACTAAATAATCGAACTAGATATTTTTAGTGATGTTACTAGAGTTGCGATTCGCGTCCGTATCCGTCCGCATCCGTACTTATCTATAGGACCGGGGCCTAATTGGTCGAGCGTTCAAAATCGCGAAAGTCAAGTGGTTTTTATTTTAGTTTATGAATAATCAAATTTTTTTAAATAAAAAAAAATATATCATTAAAATGGATAATGTATGAAGTAGGAATGAAAGTATAACATGAATTCGATGTAATTTATTTTTATTTTATTTATTTTAAAAAAATGATGAGCCGACATCCAGCGTTGTGATTGATTGATGCTAAAAAAGAGCGTAAAATTCCGTATTTTCCTATACTTTGAAATATTATTATTATATATTTAGGAGTGTGAGATTTATATTTCACCAGTAAATTCAATTTTTAAATAATTAACATGACTAATAAACTGCAAGAATGGAAATGTGCCGTTAATAAATAGGTTTGAGAACATAGTACGTTATGTTTTGAAATTATCAGTACAAATCGTTAATTTTATAACCATCTGTATTACTGAAATTAATATCGTTGTGTTAAAATTTGGTAGAAAGTGAAAGAAAATTGAGATGTGTTTTCGAGTAGATACACACGTCGTTAGTGTACTTTTAGCAAACGAGTGACACTACAACTCGTGGTGAATTGCTGCATGTATGAGACCCCGCTCACTTAACGCTCGCAAGTTATTCAATAAATATAATTTATATATAAGTATATTTATGGGACATAAATAGTAATTAAATAAAATCAAATAAATAAAATATATTTATATAGGGGTCCTTCTATTACTAGCGCAAATATAGGCACAATTATTCATATATATAATAAAATAATGATATGGATCGAAACTCTTATTATTCTCGACTCCACTGGTTAACGACAAAGATATAAAAGGTAGTAATGGGATTGTGATTTAAACTATAGAAAAATTATTTGTAACAATAAATAAATTACTGAATTTATCTATATTTCCGAATTACGGGTAATAACCTATTCGTTAAAGAAATTATTCTTGAAACTAATTTATCGTTGGTTTAATTATAATTATTTCAAAGTATTCTCTTTATCATATTTTGTCATTTCCTCTCTTTAACAAACTCGAAAAATTATGTTTATTTATGTTTTCTTTTTTATACTTCCATAGTAAATCGACTCTTTGATGTTGACATTATTATTATTTCTTGTATAGTTTAATGGTTTTTTTTATAGAGATAAAATTTTTTTATAGATACTTCACAGGGTATTATGGTGAATTTGGTAATATAATATATCTGTAAAACAAATTATAGCATGTGATTACTCAATATCAATACATTTACATAACTCTTCAAAAATAAAATTATTTTCCATACAATATTCGTGGCTGCGTTTGACGAGCAATTTGAAATTAAGTTCTTTTAAATATAATCAAAATATTGCAGACGTACTATTCATCCTATACACATGCATATCATATTATCTGGCAACGTGCTTAATTGTTAAACACTTCGTCAGCGTAGGCTATCATACGGGACCGGGGCCTAAAGATCGGTTAAAAAAAATTATGTCTAAATGTCTCGTGCAATTGGTTAGAATTTCAATGTGTTTTTTCTTATACAACCAATTGGCATTATTAAATTTTTAAAATCGAAAAATTAAAAAAGTACATTACGATGCAAGTGCGGAAAAGTATATTCTTGTCTCGTGTACCGTTTGCGCCCGAGCGAAGCGAAAATACGGTACGGCACATGTTCGGGAAAGAGTTTTCGACACTCCGTGCGCAAAGTGCGTCTTTCCCGCACGCTCGGCAGAAAACGTGCGTTGAAAATCGCACTTTCCACACGTCGTATCAAAAAATACGGTACGGCACATGTTCGGGAAAGAGTTTCTCGTCTCGTGTCCCCTTCCACCCTCGCTTCGCTCGGGTGTAAACGCCACACGAGACCAGAATCTACTTTCCCGCACTTGTATCGTAATGTACTATTCTCGTCTCGTGTGGCCTTTACGCCCGAGCGGGAATCTCATTTCCCGTACTTGTATCGTAATGGACTATTAAAATAATTTCGCATAAACAATTAAAACCGCAAAAAGAAAAAATATATGTAAATTTGTTTTCCCTTTTAACAGTACTAGTGTTAATTAGCGCACTTCGCGCGCTCTTTCTTCCGTGTTTTTCTGTTATTTATTACATTATTTGAATCTTTTACATGCCAACTTGGAGATTCTAAGGGGTACGAATAATTCATGCTGTTTAAAATAGACTACATATATTAATATTCATTGTTGAATAAAAATAGAACTTGCACCCATTTTTTCACAAAAACTGATGAACTTATACTTATTTCAAGGTATATCCGAAAAACTATTCAAAAGATTAATTCAACCTAAAATCAATAAAGCTATTATACTATACTATACAATGCCAAACTTACATATTCAACAGTATTGATTATGGCTGCAATTTGATATCAATATGAGTAATACATTTAACACCGTGCACTTTTTGTTGTCTCTATGAAAATATCCGTGAATATTTTTCCTGGTTTAATATTGTAATAATTAGTTTCCATTATTTGCACACGACTTAATCTACTATCTAAGGATAAATATGTATTCTCTATTTTTTTCTATTCATTTTTGTTAAGTGACAACTTTTAAATTCACTTAATCCTGATTAATATTATGTATTAGTATTATGTATAATTGCGCCGCGCGTATTAGTTGTACGCGTTAAGCGCGCGTGGGCGGTTCAGTGGCCGCGTAGTAAAGCAGTAACCGCGTAGTAACACTTCCACGCTCGCGTGCCACAGAAGATCACGTACAGTGATACAGCTTGGTTCTCTTCAGAATTACGTCATACAGTTTATATTCAATTCTTTTGTAAATTTGTCTTTCTTGTTTATAATCAGTTTTCATCTGATATATATATATATATATATATATATATATATATATATATATATATATATATATATATATATATATATATTTATAAGCTATACAAGAAATGACAAAAACTGATTGACAAGAAAACTGAGATGAAAACTGATTATAAACAAGAAAGACAAATTTACAAAAGAATTGAATATAAACTGTATGACGTAATTCTGAAGAGAACCAAGCTGTATCACTGTACGTGATCTGTGGCATGTTCTCGCGATTCCTTTTATTTTATTATTATAAATACCGCTCGCGCCGACCGGTCGGACTAGCATCATACGATCTCTACGATTACATCGTATGATAGCCTACGCTGACGAAGTGTTTAACAATTAAGCACGTTGCCAGATAATATGATATGCATGTGTATAGGATGAATAGTACGTCTGCAATATTTTGATTATATTTAAAAGAACTTAATTTCAAATTGCTCGTCAAACGCAGCCACGAATATTGCATGGAAAATAATTTTATTTTTGAAGAGTTATGTAAATGTATTGATATTGAGTAATCACATGCTATAATTTGTTTTACAGATATATTATATTACCAAATTCACCATAATACCCTGTGAAGTAATTATCTCTATAAAAAAAAACCATTAAACTATACAAGAAATAATAATAATGTCAACATCAAAGAGTCGATTTACTATGGAAGTATAAAAAAGAAAACATAAATAAACATAATTTTTCGAGTTTGTTAAAGAGAGGAAATGACAAAATATGATAAAGAGAATACTTTGAAATAATTATAATTAAACCAACGATAAATTAGTTTCAAGAATAATTTCTTTAACGAATAGGTTATTACCCGTAATTCGGAAATATAGATAAATTCAGTAATTTATTTATTGTTACAAATAATTTTTCTATAGTTTAAATCACAATCCCATTACTACCTTTTATATCTTTGTCGTTAACCAGTGGAGTCGAGAATAATAAGAGTTTCGATCCATATCATTATTTTATTATATATATGAATAATTGTGCCTATATTTGCGCTAGTAATAGAAGGACCCCTATATAAATATATGTTATTTATTTGATTTTATTTAATTACTATTTATGTCCCATAAATATACTTATATATAAATTACACTGCCCGCCAATCACTTTTGCCATGCTTACCTCAAAATTAGACAAACTTGAAAGTTTTGTATCTCGGTCGGAAATCATCGTATCACAAAAAAACGCAGGGCATTTTAAAAGTAATTGCAAAAGCATATCCATTTAAGACGTGCAGAGACTTAAAAATGAAAATATGTGTTTTGTACAGTAAAAAAACTGATTAAAAAAATTTCAGTTTTTTTAACCTCGACTTAAATCAATGCCAATTTAGAACCAGGCGGTGGAGGGCAAATCGACCGGAGGGGTTCGGAGGGTAATGTCTTTCCCTTTAAAATTAGCCCGCGCGGGGTTCTATCCGATGTTTTTTAACCGTGTTACGGCGTTTTTTGTAAAAAAATAACCTTTTTTTTCAATCCTCAATTACTTCGACTTGCGTACGTTTTGGAAAAAAATGCCAAGGAGAAAAAAGTTTCATTTTGTGCCCAAGAATACGAAAATAAAGTCAAAATAAAGATATAGAGGAAAAATTTTTTTTCGGTTTTTTTAGCGCATTAAAAAAATAAAGGAATTTAATTTTTTTTTACGCTTAGTTTTAGTTTTTTTGTGATTTACTACGTCCCTAGACATTTTAAAACGAAGCGTAAAAAAAAAGTTAAATTCCTTTATTTTTTTAATGCGCTAAAAAACCGAAAAAAAATTTTTTCTCTATTTCTTTATTTTGACTTTATTTTCGTATTCTTGGGCACAAAATGAAACTTTTTTCTCCTTGGCATTTTTTTCCAAAACGTACGCAAGTCGAAGTAATTGAGGATTGAAAAAAAAGGTTATTTTTTTACAAAAAACGTCGTAACATCGGATAGAACCCCGCGGGGGCTAATTTTAAAGGGAAAGACATTACCCTCCGAACCCCTCTGGTCGATTTGCCGCATTCACAGGTAGCTATGGGACCGGGGTCTAATAGCAGGCACTTGATTTTCTCAACGGTTTCTTATGTAAAAAATGACAAGGAACACGATGGTGTAAAAATTAAAAAAAAAATATCGTTTTCTGAGATATCGTCGATTTAAAAGAACATTGTTTATAACAAAGACATAAATAAATGATTTGGTATTTTACTATTTACATTTTAAAAGTGAAACTCTTTCCGCGTCTTTTAAAAAAGAATCATGTCCATATCTTTATTAGTCTCCGAGAAATCGAATTAATAAAAAAAAGTCTGATATTTTTTCAACAGTTGATAAGTCGGCCCCTTATCAATATTTTGATCTAAAACTCTGCACAGATGTTGACCTCTGTATAGGTAACAAGTCTATTAACTTTGAACAAAATTGGTGATTTGATGTTTTAAATTGTTTGAAATAGCTAAGAATTGCCAAAAAAGCAATAGCTGCATTTTTATGTGTATGTATTTCCCTTATAATATATCTTTATAATATTTATTAAAAGTTTAAATCAATTGTACATTAATCGAAAAGCCGGCATTAGATTTGTTGTTCAATTATAAAAATGCTTTAATACTGATTTAGGTATTCAATGGAATATTGCACGATTTCAGTTCTCCACAATTGGGACAAGGACCAGATATTTTGTTGAAGATTATTTTATTTGCGGCTGTTTCTTGTAACCACTGAAAAAAATTGTTAATAAATATGCAATTACTTCATAAAACTTGAAGATCATTATTTTTTAATGCAAACCTGGAATAAACAAATAGTATGGAAACGACGTCTACATTTTTGATTCTCACATATTTCATCAGGTATTTCACCATTGTCCAATTCCATTGAAAAACAAATACAACACTCTTCATCATCTATAATACCTTGTTTCTCTACTGGTTTAAAATTTATTGGAACTTGTGGGAACTCATCAATATTCAATAATGTCAACAGATTTTCATGAACAGAATATTCGTCATCCCATTTCTGTAATATATACATATGTTATAATGGGTTAGTATTAAAAAAACACTGATTAGATGAGTTCAAAGTGGTTACATCACTGAAGTCTTCTTCAGCTATTTTATCTTTATATTTTTCAACTTCAACATCAGCCCCAACAAATTTCATTATTGGATATCCGGAAGGATCTAATGGATTAAGTTTTATATATAGTGAAAGTGATGGTGATAGATGAATTCTTCTGTATAAATGATATGGTTTGGGATATATTGGATCTATCACCCAACAATAACTAAAAATGATAAATTTTACAGCTAATATAAAATATAAAAGTTTACAAAAAGGATATACCTGTCAATTTTTCTGAGTTGATAGTAAACTCTTTCCAACATATCGACTTGTTTTTCGAACCTTTTTCTTATCTCCTTTAATGAATATGTTTTTTTATCGCTCAAAGAATAATCAGGAATATTTGGTAGATCTGAAGACACAATCCTCCAAGAATTTTGCCCTGCAGAATTGACTGTTGGCTGAACTGTCATAGAAATATCATTCATTGTGAGTTTAATTACACTGAAATCTTTTGTTGATGATAATTGAACATCCTGAAAATATTTAATACATTGAATTAAAGTTGACATCAACATTTGCAAAAATTAAATACTTTATTACTGAATATTCTTCAAGTACTGTCTCAAGTTCTTTTAATAATTTTTCTCTCATATCTGATTGAATCAGATCATTAGAAACTTGATCTGTTTCTCTTTCATTGAACAGTTTTTCCTGAAAATACAAGATGAATACATTACACAAGAAAATTCATGACGGCCATATATCTTATCAACACACAATCAACGTTCTGAGTTCTTGCAGAAAAACAGGAACTGATTCAGAACTAGATGATAGCGATGCTATTTGCTTTTTAAACTTTGGCCCAAATAAAACAGCAATATTTCCTCCAAATAGAACTGATGCTTTATCCAAATTAGGAAATGATGGTAATATCAATTTTAATTTAACTTTCTTTTCAACATTTTTTATTCTATTTGAAATTGTTAAAAATCCTATCCAAGTTACTGGTGACTTTGATACAAGAATTATTTGTGGATATTGTTTGAACATCTGATCAAAATCCGTCATCTTTCTGAAAATGAAATTTTTATATTTATATAGTATGTGTAATTCAAACATGGTTATTTTAATTTGAATATGTTAAATATGAATATCTTATTTTAAATCATCATCACAATTTTTTATTTAAAGTATTAAAAAATTAGTACCATGTATAGTTTATGTTCTTCTTGTGCAAATAAAACACCAACTTAGTTCTGTCCCCACAATTTCTATGTCCGTAAATCAAAATTACAAACAAACTATAGACAACTTGTTACCAGAGGAAGTCTGTATTTTTCACGTTACTTCAAATCAGAATTTACATTAGTATTTACCTTGCACCTTAATAAGGATAAGAATAATTACGTCTTGGCAATTAGCATCGAAAAGACGTAAGCCACTATGATCATTCCTTTTATAAGTAATTTTTCCATAAGTAGTAAAGAAAAGAATCAACGCGAAAAAGCCGGATTGGAGGGAAAAACATTACATGTATTATATATGTATACAACATACATATGTACGTACATATATCTTTTTAGTGCGTGGGGCATAAATCAGCGGTTACTTTAGTCACACGTATCGTAATACATTGTTAATATAATATACTATTGTTGACAAACGTATTGTTAATATAATATACTATTGTTGACAAACATAAACTTTGTAATCAATTGCATGCATTTCAGATTTACTTCCACTAAATTGAAATTATAACTGCTAAATTAAGTATCTCGTTTTCACTAACTATAGAAAGCACGAATTTTCTATATATTTAAATCATTCAACGCTTTACTTATTCCTCTAATTTTATTTTAAATTACTAATTTTTTTATAGTGCTAAAAATGCACATAACTACCTTTGTAATTCCCAATTGATGCTAAATATGTATTTTAAATAGTTATATAATTTTTAATAGATATAAAAGACTAAAAATCACTGCCTACAATCAGTAGTTGCAAACAAATTAAGTAACGTTTTTTGCCATCACGATGTATTCCATCTGTACTAGAAACAACCTATATAATAATATATATACACATATATTCAGAACTAAATCTTGAGGCTTTCTTACATTAGTACGTGACCGTTCACGTCACATATATATGCATCAAGTGTAAGAAAATAGAATAATCAAATATATTAAAATTAGTATTTATTGTGCGGCGTCGTTTATCTTGAAGCACGTTCGCACCAACAGGATTTTTACGCAACCCTATACGTAACACATAGTTCGAGCAACAAGCGGCCTCTTATTATTTGTCAGCACTACGAGAGAAGACACCCTTGCATTCCCTTACGCAAGGGCAGCATCGACACTGCATCGCCGTTGGTTATCAATCCAACCACTATCTCGTTCTGATTTCCTTATATAAATTTTACATTGATTTTTATTATCTGTATTAGAGAACTTAGAATTTTCGTGAGAATATATATATAGAGACTTAGATAGTTAATCTAAGTTACTTCTATTTTAATTCTAATTAAGTTTTATTTAATGATATCTGATTTTATTTCACGCTATCTTTTTGAAATTGTAATAAATTTTTAAATAAGCTCGAGTCGTAGAGTAAATAAGCTCATATCCGGCTGGGGATATTACACAAGCAATTTCTTTATAAGAGAGGTCCTTCAATTGAGGCCGTGAATTATCAGAAGATTTATACTCTATAAGTGAATCCTATTTATATACAGGATTGTGTACAAAATTTCATGTTGTTATATTAATGATTTAAAAATGTTATTCAGCTACATTTAAATTTGAATTTCTCTTTTCGTTAAAAATGTTATTCAGCTACATTTAAATTTGAATTTCTCTTTTCGTTGTCTGTATAAAATCATGGAAAAAGGCAAGTTTCGTGTGCTTATCAAACATAATTATTTTCGACGAGGTAAATTAATCAACGAAACTGAACGAAAATTCGGAAATGTTATAGAGAATCACCTCCATCGCATGATTAGTTCAAAAGTGATTTACTGAATTTCATTCCGTTCGGCCGTAAGAGCACAAGAGCGTCTTGGTCATCTAAAAGAGATAATTATAATACTTAGGAAATGATCAATAAAGTTCATGATATTTTACTTGCCAATTATCAATTGAAAGTACGTAAGATCAGTGAGGCTAATTTCAGTAGGATACACATATGGTCCACATGAAACATTTTACATGAAATGTTTAGACATGAGGAGGCTGTCTGCAACATGGGTCCACGTGCTTGCACATAGTTGATAACAAGCAAGCTCGTGCGGTAGTGGAGTGGAATATACTCTAAATCCGTAGTTCGTCGTTTAAGTTGAAAGAATTCTTAAAAGTTTGACTAAAATCTTTTTATATTTAGTAATCAATCTTTGGCGTTATTAATTTCAGATCGAATTCGTTTTTGCAAATTTACAAATCGAAGCAATTAAAAAAATACTTTTATTAAAACTGTGAGTGAGATGTAACTTGCATAATTATTTTTAAACTGTATGTCAAACATTCAAAGATTCATTTTACTTTATAGTGAATTGGAATTTTCACCAACATGCTATGAAAAATATTGTAAAAAATGAATTTGAATCTGCAACTAAACAAACGAATTTCAAATATAAACATAAGAAAGTGTGATATACCTATTGTTCTAAATAAATCATATTCACGAACAATGTATATAATTCAATAAAAATACCTTTGTTTCAGATAGTATAATTCTTTATTGATGATAGGTATTATTCCTTGAGCAAAGGAGAGAAATTGTACATAAAAAATTTTTTTATTTAAAACAAAATATTTCAGAAGAGAATTTTTCATTTGATTAATAAAATAACTGTTGAGATTTCTAAGTTGTTTCTTTTCATCTTATAGCATGTACAACATAAAGCTGTATTAGCAGTCAATAGCTAGCGAGTATTTTACGAAAATTTACTTTGTTTAAGAAATCTTGTTCAATTTACATAAAGCATACGGTAAAAAAATGTTCATTAATCATGATCAGTTATTTGAATTTAATAGAATAGAAAAATACGTAATTAGTCATCAAACGACTACATATTCAAATAACCTATAGTCCAAGCATCACAGGATTCAATGTACACTGTCAAACACATTGTTTGCACTTGTTTTTTTTTACATTTTTACAATACACACATCGGCTTGGAGAACATCACTTGTCATAAACGTGTCACTCTTTATGCATATAAAACTTATTGCAATCGCACTATAAAAACAAGAAATATATAATCAAATAAGAAAAACGAATCTTACATTCGTTTTTAGTTTCGACAACAGACTTGTATCCGTTTGAAATAAAACTTATATTTCGTCTGAACATTTTACTACACACCCAGAATAGTAAAATGTGTAATATCTGACAATAACTCATTGCTCAGGATTACCAATTTGGTAATCTTATTGAATTACAAAACTTGTAATTATCTCTTTTGAAACCTGGGTTTAAGAATCGTTGAAGATAAATCAACGATATAATCGTGAAAAATATCGCAAGGCGTGAGCCACTTGCTTCGGATTTTCAGCCCTAAAATATTGAAAAGTTATAATTGATAAACAGTATCGAAATAAAAAAACTTCATAAAAAATGATTTTACTTACCCTACGACACTGCTGTGAAATTCCGAAAGTTGTTCTGGTGTTGCAGCTGGAGACACTCCTGTGTTTTCAGTTTGCATTTGATGTAGAGCTTGTCTCAACCATTCCGACATCAACTGTAAGTCACAAATATAGTATATTCTCCAAAAATTCAGCAGAATCATTCTTTTAAATATTTTAAACATTATCTTTTTTATTTACCTGTTGATTAGTCAAAGACAACTCAATTAAAACATCGGCGACATCAGATAGCATGTACGTCGACAAAGAAAATACAATGGCATGAATAAGTCTCCAAACTAATAGTTGTCCTTTTTCATGAAGAATATTATTTTGAACGATTTGACGCCGTATAGTGAAGTCAGATTTATTCTACAATCAAAATATATTTATGAATATCTACATTACGTATTCAAACAAACAAATAAATGAATGAAAATTTACCTCGCCATATCGACCAGTGTGGATTAATTCATAAAAAAATTTCATGACCGAGGCATTAGCATCTCTATGATCTAAACTACAAGCCATTAAAGCACAATCTACTATGTTGCCTATCATAGAAGCATGTAAAAATGGTACTGGAGTTGTTCGAAGAAACCTGGATAAACAGATAAAGGTCATTCAAAGTACTTTTTATTGTAAATATCGAGATTAAAATTAATTAAAAAATAAATTACCTGGAACACAGCCTAAATAAATCATCTACGGTATCAGGATGATTTTTCAACCCATCAGTTTCTTGCAAAATAGAAAAAGCAGGACCAATGAAAGCTTCTAACATTCCTAGTAACCCAGAAACATACTCCATGTCTGTACCAAATACATCAACGAGAATAGATCCAAGATAAAGAAAACAGCTATGTTTATGAGCTGCATATAACTCAATGATCTGAAAAAAAAGGAAAAAATATTATTGTCATATAAATTTTGAGTAATATGAATGACAAAAAATTTCGAGGCATTTACCTGCTTGACTAAAGGCTCTAAGAGATGTGCAGAATATTTCTCTAGGCGACGAACGATAAATTTTAAGCAACGACAACACCTTTCCATTATTCTTGCATCTTCTTGGTATAATGCGTAAGCGCTCGATATGACTGGCCACATCTAAGTAGAAATTATTAAATGAAATTTCACTTCCAAAAAATTGAAAGATATCAGGGCAAATTTTTCTTACTTCATTAGCTGCTGCTGTACAAGGATGAGTATCATTCATATCATTAACTTGGGGACTTGTATACATAAAAATGGAGGATAGCCTATCTAGCCACATGACAGGATCGGCTTTACTCCCTCTCTGAATAGGTACTCTTTCTTCTATTAAATGACATAAAGGTCTTGCTTGGAACCAACAAAGCTCCTTCATATACCTTTCAATTTCATCTTTCGGTAACTCTGATAAAATTTTAGCAACACCTGTAAAGTAAATTAGATATACCTGAAAATCTATTTCAGTGTAAAAAAATTTGGAAATAAAAAGAACATTTAATTTGTACCTTGTAGCAAATTTATAGCAGCATCACTTCCAATCGCAAAATTGTCAAGACAACGTGCGATTTGCATTAATCCTTGAAAATGTGATGCCATATGCAGAGGGCATGCTGCACAAATACTTTGCAATGCATTTGATGCTGCACTTCCTAAACCTTTTTGGCTCAAACAGTTCAACAGAAAATTGAGTGTTGGTTCTAAAATAATTAGAGACAATTTGATGAGAAATAATATTAATTCAAATCTTATTATTGTAAAAAATTAATTCTCTGCCATACCTAATGACTGTGGATGATTGTTTATCCATTCACAAAGTTCACCTAATAGAAGAATACTTGTATGCTTAACAGCTACATGAGTGTTTTCAGGTAAATTTAAAATAGCTTCAACTACTTTTGGCACAACATCATTTTCTTCACTAAAATGTAATCATCAGTTAAAATATTTTACCAATAGCATATTACATTTAAATTATACAAATACTAGGATATAACACTTACGGTAAAATATTTTTAGCTACTGCTACCATAATAAACAAAGCAGCCTCAGTCATTTCCCATGTAGGTGCTTGATTTTGTGGCCCAATCCCAACTGTTAATGTAGAAAACATTTGTCTAAAGCAATGACTACTTCCAACGACAAAAACTACATCTTTTATCAACTCGAAAACTTTAGCTCTAAACTCAGCAAAACCACAGCCATCTTCGATTAAACCAAGCTATAAAATAAAATTTTAATATTATAAAATATCTTTCAACAGTTAAGTTTGAACAAAGTAATAGTTACATGATCTGGTTCCATCTGACAATGCCGACAAAGAGCATTGATAAGTCTTTCTATGTAAGGTTTAAAGACACATGTAAGGTCATCACTGTTTCTTTGATAAAGAATTTCAGATAACCTGTACCATAAATTGAACGTAATAACTGCTACCTGAAAATCCATTTCATTCTTAATAAATTCATCAAAGGAACATTGATAAATTCATGTAATCAAGATATACTTGCTTCATAATCATGGTGTCCAACACATACTAAAGCTAAATCTAAAGCTTTTATCGCATAATGATGTTTACCATCATCAGATCCATGTACAATAGTTTCTAAAAAGGTTTCTGCCAATTCAGTGAAAATGCGACAATAATTGATCGATCTGCAAAAATGTATTACCAGCTATACAAATCTCATCTAAAAAGTTGAATAATATTTTTGTTTGATTCACATTCTTACTTGTCCATATCTTCATGAGCAACAGAAAAATGATAAGGCTGCTCTAAATTCAAGATCCATGCAAACAGAACCTTTTGTAGTTGCTGCAGTGGTAATATTGGCTCTGCAGTATTGGGATCTCTATTCCTTAATGTATCTTCCTCCAGTGTTTGTAAAGTTACTGATATAGTGTCTGAAGCTGCTTCATGCAATACAGATCCAGATACGTCATTTTGTAAAACCTACAAATGAACAATATTACATTTATTAAACAGTGAATAATATATTTATAAACTTACAAATCAACTGTATGGTTTCAATTTTACTCACGTCAAATGCTAATGCTATAACATTAGTAAATAATGAAGCAGTCAAAGTTATAGCATGTATAGTAATCCAGCTAGTTAAACACCTCAAAACCGTGACATAAATTTGAATGTCATCTTTTTTACAACATCCTAACTGTAATTAAGAATTTTGTTTAGTAAATAATCATAGAGTTGTAAATAAAACTGATAAATAAATCATTACCAAAAATTCTAAAAGAGAATTTCCATGTGAACAAAAATGACTAACAATCTCTTGTCGGCGATTTGTTCCAAGCCTAAGAAAACGCGAATGCACTTCTTCAGCTAAAACTGTCAAAATTTCTAACAAAGGCCACAAACTTGCAGGGTTGTTTCCAAACTTTTGTATTAGATCTATTATAGGATTTTGCCACGTTGGCATTTGAAGTATCAAATCAGCTAATGCTAGACATAACTAAAAAGCACATTATCGTCAGATTTTTCTGCTAATAATAGCATACATGATTTGAATAAAACAATGATTATATACCTGAGTAACTATGATTGCATTTGTATTTTTGTTAATTTGCGATATGTGATCTAAAAGTGAATCTCTCAAGGAAGTATGAGATTCTACTGGTAACTCATGAAAGGACAATTGTATCTTGGTACGCATAGTTTGTGCAGCAAAATAACATGACTCTAAGTCCTTTTTTTGATGGAGCATCTCATCTGCTATTTTCCATGCATAAACCTGAGCAAAGATCACAGTAATTAGGAAATTAATTTAGTTTTGATATCACTCATTTAATAGAAATAAACTTCTTCTATTTTAAACGTTTCTCTAGAAAAATCTTACACTACTAATTTAAGTTAGAGGTTATGACGTCTAGACTCAAATAGTCAGTAGTTGTTTGTTTACGACAGAGAAAAAATGTCTATATTTCAAATGGAACATGTTACAATTTGTTATTAAAAAAGAATGATTACTTTTCGAAATATTCGTAATAAACAAGAATATTCACCGATTTTTGAAGATCGTTCAGATACTGCGAAGCTCTCTCCTTTTCCGAGGGATTTGGATTTTTGTACAGCGAAAATACAGCCTGGTAGACTGTCTCTATAGAAGGTAACGAATTCATGTTTTGGCAACGATAACTATTGTATTTTTCACAGAAAAAAATAATTATAAAATAAACTGACGTTGCCGGGGATCTAACGAAACACACTCACTCACAGTACACACACACAACAGTAAATGAATCCATGATTGCCGTCGTGCGTCTCCGAGCCCAATGGGCCGCCCGCCGTCGACAAAAATCCGCGGCTGCGCGGCTTTCAGTGTGTCAATCCGCTCAACAAGCTTACAATATTCGCCACTACACTCAATTTGTACTAGTTTTATTGGCGCCACTGGTCCTTGCAAAGGTAGGAAACTGCTAGTTTACAGATTTGCGAACTTGATTTAGAGTTTTCTTCCCAATAATTTCAAATTTAGAAAAATCAAAGTGTTCCTTTTTAATATTTATATTAGTTTTAATTTTTTTAATGTTTTTAAGATGTTTTAAAATAAAAAATTAGGTCATTTCCAAGGTTTTGTTTTGTGGAGTCCACTGTGGTTACGTCACGAGATGTCAGCAGCAGTCGCGCAGAACAGCGTTTGCACTTTGGCTGAGATGAGATCGCTGTGCGCGCTGACACACACAGTTGTGTTGTGTGTTGCGTGGGCCAGTCGCTGGTTAAAGATGGCGTCGGTAGGCGACATTAATATGGCGTCCTCGGACATGATAGCCGAGGTGGAGATCCAGCCGGATATCCAGGAGGTGGAGATAGAGTCGATCCCTGTGGAGATACCGTGTGACGACGAAGAAGAGGAAGACGACGACGTCGTCTCGGCTGAAGAACAAATGATCACTCTGCAAGCGATGCCCGAGACAGGGCGCGAAGAGGAGATCATTTTGCAAACTCAAGAAGAAATTGTCGGCGGTGATCCGCTTGGAGTGTACGACCAAATACCCGTGCCCGATCAGGATGACATTTACGTTGAATCAAGTCCAGGGCCATCTTCTCGAACGACCTCATCGGGTAAGAAGAAGGCTAGAAAGAGTGCCGCTGGCAGTCAAAGATTCAGGCCTGCACCACCCGAGCACGCAATCTTCACCGAGATTCCTGGCGAGGCGAAGGCTAGGAAGTGGGAGCAGAAGCAGGTACAAATCAAGACTCTCGAGGGAGAATTTTCCGTAACTATGTGGGCTTCTGGCACGGATGATGGTAAGTCCCTTTTTATTTTTTTCTCATTTGTTGCTCAAATCTTTCTCTTTCTCCTCTCACGCGCTCTCGTGAAATGATGATCGTACGTTGACACGGAGCATCGGAAAGAGGCAAACGCACTTCCGGTCGCAGCGACTTAATCGATCGCCGTCGACAATACTCCGGTACGCGCAGCGGGGACGAATTTTTATTGTTTGTTTTGATTCGGGTGGCCGTGTTGTTTTGCTATCGCACCGCAACACACCGGCCATAGCCAACCGTGTGCGCAGCCATGTTACGAAGATGGCGATCACCAGGATGGCTCTCGCAGCATCCACCGCCAGGCATTCCGCCATGTTTGCTAAATCGCGGCCCTGTCATGGCGTCACTTGGAGACGACTTTCTTGATACCTTTTCACGCTATTACTCGTGTAGTCGATGCATGCATAATCTTTTCGCGGAATCGCAATAATGATTGATCGTATGTCATGATTAATTTTGACTTTTTACTCTGTAATTCTGTCCCAACAGTTGTAATACTTGCAAAATATTTCGACTTTTTCTTTGGTTTGCACGCTGTAATGGTACTTTTCAATAATGTAGCGTAAAGCGGCCTTTAAATATTGTAGTATAGGCAGCTGTGGGTTGAATACAACGTTGCCACATTTGAAAAGCTTAGCGTTCTTTTTTGACATTTATTTATAATATTTGAAGATTTCTTCGGGATTAACGTCTATCCGATCAATCACTGTCTTCTAAATATAGATATCAGATCAAAATTCAAATTAACTTGAATTTTATATTCCGAATGTTCCGTTTTTGCTAGTTTCATTTTATGCAATAAGTACAATTGTAATAAATAAATACTAATGCTTGATAAAAATTTAGTTTTCAACAATTAAAATTACTCGAGATTGGTTATTCATTTACAATTCGATATTGGATAATATTCTTTAATTACATTAACTCTGCTGTTGATCATTATAAGAATTACTTCAATTTCGATATTAAGGCATTATGTATTGCATTTACATTTTTATTTATTTTGGTAACATTGCAAAGGAAATAATCTTGCCTACAGGAATAAATTTTACAATAACTTATTCTTTGATCAGTTATATTTACTGATGTTCAAAATAAATAAATTATTTTTAAATAAAATTATTTTTATTAAGTCTTTTATTATTTATCATTGACAATTAGATTATTTCCCTATGTTCAAGATAGTCACTCTTGGAATTGCAAAAGATTTATAAATAATTAAGTTGCAATATGATTGATGCAATTGACAAACTATTAGTAAATGAATGATCAAACTGCCTTGAATAATGATATTACTAATGCTACATTATAATTGCTATATAAACTACGTAAAAAAATAAGCAAAGAGAAGACTGCGGTAGTATTTGTTTTGGTTTGCTTGTTTGTTGCTGTTAAAGGAAGTGTCCTATTAGCGTCTCATCTGGTGGATGTTCCAGATGAGGGCTCCAATCCAGAGCCTGATCCGGATTATACAGAATACATGAGTGGTAAATCCACGACAAAGTTGAACCATTCGGGTAGCTCAGTCTCCGATGGTATGCCAGGTTTAGATCTTTCCGACCCCAAACAGCTAGCAGAATTTGCTAGGCCTGGTCATAAACTGAAAGTCCGAAAACAACCAATTATAGATGGTGTCGAGCGTACAATTGCATGTCCACACAAAGGATGTACAAAGATGTTTCGTGACAATAGTGCAATGCGCAAACATCTGCATACTCATGGTCCACGGTGAATTAACATTTTTGTTTTTCTTCAATAACGAATATTATTTTATAAAAATTATTAATGTTGAACAAATTATTTACAGAGTACATGTATGTGCGGAATGTGGAAAAGCCTTCGTAGAAAGTTCCAAGCTGAAAAGGCATCAACTAGTACATACTGGAGAAAAGCCATTCCAGTGTACATTTGAAGGATGTGGCAAGAGATTTAGTTTGGATTTTAATTTGAGGACTCATGTAAGGATCCACACTGGTGACAGGCCATACGTTTGTCCATTTGATGGTTGCAGTAAGAAGTTTGCTCAATCAACGAATCTGAAATCACACATACTTACACATGCAAAAGCCAAGTAAGTTTTATTTAGTAATGCAATGTATTTTTTGCACAATTATACTTATGTTCTTTTTGTTCTTCTATCTCTCTTTTCAGAACGCGTAATACTATTGGCCGACAAGTACAACAGATTCAACTGCAGCAGCCACAATTTGTTCAAGTGGAGGTAGCCGATGTGGACAATCAGCAGTTCATCGTCTACGCTGATTAGCCCCCTTCACCGGCTTAATCTCCTTAATGTGCCCCATTAATAAATTTGGTAACTTTTGATTATCAGCTCAAACAATGTAAATATTTGAAGAAGAAAAAAAGAAATACGGTAACAAGTGACTGATTGAAGGACAGGTGGTTTGCTGAAGATGACTTATTTTAAATGATTCGTTCATTTGATTGTATTAATCTACGCTTAATAACGTAGTAAAGAAATACAAACGGAGACCAGAGTTATAAAAATTATGTAAGGAACACGGAAAAAAAACAAAAAAAATAAACAATATGAAAAAAGAAATTTATGAAGAATTGTACATGGGAAGCTCAGATTTTAAAAGTTCAGTGATGATTTGTTTCTTTTTCCAGATGGTCAACATTAAATTTTTAAAACTGAACCTTTCGTTATTATTCGTCACTGAAGATTTAACCAATTTCAACGGCGGGCGCTATAATGCGTTTCGTATTTCAATTTTTCTCGTATCGAATGTTAAGGTGTGTCCTAATGCGTGGCTCGTTATTCACGACTGTATATATTAATAAGTGAAGTAAAGTATTGTATACGGTATATTTTCGAGAGAAACTCAATGAAGAACTTTCAGCTCAGAAACTTTTCATCTGTATACACACATACACAAAACATGTACACACAATTTTCAAAATGTAACTACGCAAAGACACTGTGTTTAATAGTAAGATCGTATCACAAACTTTACGACTTTTTTCACTATCTCGCTTAGATAGAAAGTTGCGAAGTTTGCTGTCGCGCGGCAGAAAGTGAAGAGACGTTTATTACTACTTAAGTGTGTATCAATTCTTCAATGGAAAAACTGATAATGTGCGAGGACCTCGACTGTATATTGTTTTGTAATTTTTACAATTTAATTTTTACGAGTTAAGAGATTCGTCAAAATTGTAAATTGAGGAATTATGCTATGAACTCACGAATTGTGTACCTCTAAATTTTCTGTGTTTATTATAACAATTTTTTATTAGTTTATTATAAAAAAACAACAAAAAAAGAACATGCTAATGTTTGAATATCACCAAAAAATTGCTTGAAGCCATATTTTCCTAACTACTAATTAAGAATTTTTTTGTGTTTAAGATAGGTTCTAATCTAATTCAATCTGGAGAGTGCGTTAGATTTAACGATACAAATATATATTTCTTTAGAAAAAATCAAGATAAAAAAATCCCGTAAGGTATATCTGTCTACCGACCAATGATTTAGATAAACAAGCTTTCATACACAGAGCAATATACCATAATACGTCCGTAAAAATTTTAAAAGCTCTCGAGCAGCATTATGAAAGTTTGAAAGGCAAAATACCGTAGAAACAACCGCTGTGAAACACAGACGAATTATGGATTTCATTTTTCAGTTTTTGACTGTGCGCAATTAATGAATATTCAGGCAAACGATGCCTGGAACGTCATCGATTTTTCAACAATTTAAAAAGACACGACTACGCCCGTTTTAAGAGCAGTAAATGTCTTGCTAATAAATGATGATGGTTTTTGTTGATGCGTCGAAGGAAACGGATAAAAGAAAAGAAATTAAACTGGCAGACTTGGCCTATTGTTATAGAAGTGAGAAATATTTTTAAGGAACTACGTAAAAAACAAATAAGAGGGATGCTTTTTGTATACTATCACGGTCGATTTTACTATTATTTTCTTTTTATCATTTACATTTCTTGTAGAATGTATAACGTGTAAGTCTTAGGTTCTTGTATATCATTGCATTGCATTTATTACATTTTTTATCATAACAAATCGGCTTTATGAAAATTAGCAAGTCGATCAAAATGTTTTCTCTAGGCATTCTGAAGGCCTAGTGTTTTGTGCTCATGTAGTCATATCTGTAAGGAAAACAAGACATTTTTTGCCGGCAAAAATTCACAAAACAGCAGTCATTTTGAAGAAAAAAATAGAGTACGGTTTATTACTCGGCGACGTATTTATTATTTAATACTATATACCACTGTCGATGCTGAATGGTAACGTTAAGTTAGTCAATTTATATGAAAAAACTGATGAATGAAGTAAAATACAAATATTCTATAACTTATTAGTTTTTCTTCCAATATCCTACATTTTAATTTACTTATTTTTGTTTTTCATCATTTGTGCATAAATCATTTGTCTTTTTATAGATTTGTTGTAATTTTTTAGCTTTTTTCTTTGTTATTTTAAATTTTCATAATCTATTATCACTTTAAGTAATTTTCTAAAGAGATGAAACTGTACAGAACATTGAATATTACAATTTGTAATTTAAAATATCAATAGAGATTAATTTAAAGCAATACAATTGCTTTAACATAATGCTATAATAGAATAGGTGATAAAAGGCCGTCGAACCGACAAACTTTCACTCAAAACGGCATAGTTTGTGATGTAAAAGAAGTAAAAAGATCTCTCCCCACTCTTCATTTGCGTTTGTTTGGCCTGCACAGAGGCAATACAAACAGGGCGACAGTTGAGCGCGTGACAGTAGCAGTAGCTACTTGCCAAAGCCAGACCAAAGCAAAGATACAAAGCGTGTGCCACATCGACGACAGCAGACCAGCTGCCTCATTTCCCGATCACACCATGACCCGAACACTCAAGGTTATTGTGATGAGGTAGCTTCAACATCGGGCTGTCTACAGAATTCAATAATTTTTGTTGTCCGAGTGAATGTGAAGAAAAGAGAAAGTTTTAACAACAAAATATATATAAGACTATAGATATGGAGCAAACGATGGTTCTGTGGTTACTTGCCCTAGTAATGCTAGGTGGTTCTTACCTTGCCGGCTCCTTGCCACTTGTTATGAATCTCTCCGAGGCAAGTGTCACTTGTGTTTTTGTTGTGATTTGATTGTTAAGTGCAAACATAACCTAGATTGCAGTATTTGCTGTTTTGATTCGAGTGGAGAATATTAAATTATAAAGGGATGATATATTTGTTTTGGGTTAATTATTGAGTTTAATTGACCTACTGCGAGATGATTTATTGCACTATATTAGTAATTTTTATTGGGCACAGATTAGTTATAAATAATTATTCTATTATTTGATTTTAATTTAAAGCAATCTACAATACTTAAAATTTAATATTTCATTTAATATACCCAGTACCTACATAAAAATCATTAATTTATGAGATATTTGAAAATACAATAAGGTTCAAATAAAACATTTTGGATCAGGTACACTATGAGTAGTTCAAGATAGAGATAATCTAGAAGTAATATATTTTTGCAGGATAAATTACAGCTAGTGTCTGTCCTTGGAGCTGGGCTTCTTGTAGGAACTGCATTGGCAGTGATCATTCCAGAAGGTGTTAGAGCACTATTTAGCGGTGCAGCAAGTGTTTCAACTACAGCCCATGATACTGCTCATGAGGCCAATGAAGCTCATAGTAAAGCTGCATTTAATAAGTAATTGTATGACTTAGAAAATTCTATAATTACTCATTTCATTCCCTTTACAGATGATCTTCACAGTTTGATAGGATTGAGTCTGGTGCTAGGATTTGTATTCATGCTATTAATTGATCAATGCTCATCTAAGAGAAATGGTAACAAGGAGAAGAGTATGACAGCTACACTGGGTTTGGTTGTCCATGCTGCTGCCGATGGAGTTGCTTTGGGAGCAGCAGCTACAACGTCGCAGGCTGACGTTGAAATTATTGTATTTTTAGCTATTATGTTGCACAAGGTAGGTGCTTTATTGTGACACTTTCAAGTTCAGATTGATTTGGAAATGTATCTCATTATCAAATTATTCAGGCTCCTGCTGCATTTGGACTTGTATCTTTTCTACTTCATGAAGGTGTGGAAAAAAGGAGGATACAAAGACATTTATTAATATTCTCATTGTCAGCTCCATGCTTGGCTTTGGTTACATACTTTGGAATTGGAAAGGTTAAATCTTATGAGATTCTTTCTTCAATTTAAGTGTTCAACAAAAGCGTTATTTTGATTGTAAACTTGCTTTGTAGGAAGGCAAAGAAACTTTAAGTAATGTGAATGCAACTGGAATCGCTATGTTATTTAGTGCTGGAACATTTTTGTATGTAGCAACTGTACATGTCTTACCTGAATTGATGACAAGAGTCAGTACAAATTACTCTCATCTTCCCACTGACTCTAGTGGATCAACACCATCGCATGGTTTAAAATTCAAAGAAATTATAGCATTAGTTATAGGTTCTTTTTTACCTGCTCTACTCACAATGGGCCATCATCACTGATGTATTATGGAGAGAATCTGATTTTATCGTGATAAAAACATTTATTTTCGTGCCCTATCAGATTTATACTAAGTTCTTTGTTATTATTGCTGACCAAAAAGCATTTTCTTTTCCAATTATAAGTTTATTAAAATTAGATTTAATTGTTATTTGTAAAAAGGTTATGTATACAGATTTTTTAACTGTGACAGTATGAAAGGGTGTATGTTTTCAATTTGGTATTGGAGAGTTGAATGATAAACGAATATTGCATAATAATCATTTTGTACATAAATCTAAAAAAAATTTGTAGGTTTAAGAATGGATATTCTTAATATTTTTTTACTCATTGAACTGTAAATTTAAAGTTAAAACACTAGTAATGTAAATCCAACAGACTGTGTTTTATTCCGGTTTAGTAAGTAGCCTATAAAATAAAAAACTGCAAGGATACAAAACAAAAAAAAGATTATAATATATGAAAAGAATTTTCAAATTATTGTTTCAATTACACAAGATATTAATTGTAATGTAATAACCATTTGATAAAAAACGAGTTAAGAAGAAAATTATAATTGATTATAGTATCAATTATATAATTTCCTCAAATACTCATTACTTACATTTCGATGTAATATACTCTAAGAAACTTTTGTACTACTTTGACTTATATTATTTTCAAATTGTATAAAATTTCATTGCAATCAAAATATCTATATCATTCATTTTCATCACAAGATTCATCGTCGATGATTTAACTAACGTAGTAAACAGAGGGAAGACAGTCATAGAAAGCTGAATGTTATTAACTTAATTTTTATTAAATAGATAAATTTGGTTATTCTTCATTCTTTTAATTATGAATATTAATACGTAGTACTATTCCTATATGTATTAAACGTTTTTAAAACGAAATGTATTTATTCAAAAAAAAAACCAACAAAAATTTTATTAAATCATTTATGAAATACAAATAGTAATAATCACTTTACGTTACTTGCAATAAATTAAGCATGAAATGATTCGCTTAAAAATTTTTTTCTAACTCTTTCTCTTGTCGGTAAATATGAATAATTCAATAAAAAAAATAATTACTTTTTATTATTAATCTTGCGTAACTTATGTATTTACAAAAATTTTTCAATACAGTTTCTTACAGAAAAAATTAAAAATGCATTAAACCAAGAAAGTTTATAAGAAAAATCTTTACTTCAAGTCGGTATTTTTTTAAATGCACAAGTAAAAAGGGAGAGAAAGAGTCAATGAAATCAAATTTTCGAATGAGGAACACATCATTAAGTATCTTGATAGATTAGAGCGTAATAATTTCTGTGGCTCTGTTTTCAAGAAGACTTTCCATCGAGTTGACATCCTTACACCAACTCTCGAGACGTTGGATCATTCCCGAGATTTGCGTACGGTCGAGAACTCGCGGTTGTACCCATGTCATGTTTACTGTACCTGCAACTTGATCGATTGCTCCTCGTACGAGTCCTTGTGCAAGAGCTTTCATTACCAAAAGCTCCACTTCACCAATTGGCAGATGTGTCTCTTGCGAAATTTCAGCAAAAGTCAATTGTCTAAAAAATGAAATAATTGAAACATTTAACCATTTGTTGATATCAATTTCAAAAATACACCAAAACTTACCGGTTATTTGCTTGACGTTTAAAAGTCATTTCCATCAAACAAAGCAATGAAATCTTCTGTCTGAGTTTCAGTTCTTGAGCTGCAAGATCTGCTACTTTACTCCACTGTGGCTTCAACCTCTCCAGTGCAACAATGTCACCAGCATTGAAAGCTTGAAGTAAATCAATAAGCCACGAGTTGGGAGTTCCTTTCAGAGATTCTAAAACAGGATGAGCCAGAAGTTCTCCAAGATTGTAAACACCTTCTCCGAGAAGTGCTGCTAGACCAAGGAAGAAGGCATGTTGCTCTTGTTCAGGTTTACTTAGAGTATCTAATTCAGTACAACCCAAGTACCTATAATCAAACAAATCAATAACAAGTTCTTAACATTTTCTTACAACTTTAAATATTTACCTAAGAGCTGTTCTATAATACTCAGCATGCTTTCCTTGCAACCGGTATAGACGGCTAGCTAACAGGTAAAATCTACCATGAACAGATGTGACTCCATCACTGGAATCAAGCATCACCTCAACATCTTCAATGATTTTCTTGGCTTCATCTTGGATGTTCAATTCATCTAAGAGTATTTGTCCTGCTAGAACTTTACAGAGAGCAACTGCTTCTTTGTTACCCTTAACTTTTGTCTCAGTTTTCTCAAGGAAATTGATTGCACTGCGCTTATCTTTGAATTGCTTTATTACGTGAGCTAGAATTTCGACAAAAGACAGTGGGTTGATTCTGAAAATTATTTACTTATTAGTAATGTACCTGCATATTATGAAAGGTGCATATTATTGGAAAAGAATTTTAAAAAAATACAAAACATTATAACGTGATTACTCATATAATGCAAATGAGGTTATGTCAATGTTTACCATTGAAAAAATGATAATGCACTTACTTGTTTTCAAAAGTAGACAAGAAATTGTTGTAAAGATCCACTAAGTTCTCGTCTTTCTGGAGTGCAGGATGTGTGACGAAAGTCTCCAATTTGAGGGTCAACTGATGCCAAAGCCTGCAAGTCACCGGGCAATGACATCGTCAAATTGAAACTTTCGGGTGATAATTGTCGGATTTTCGTAAATTTTTTTATACTTACTTTTTGCTGTAAAGCTCTTCAAGTTTTGCCCACTCGGCTGCCAATTCCTTATCGGCGACATTCTGCTTTTGATTGAGATATGCGTTAACGTCTTTTGGTGCGCTGGGAGCCGCCATTTTTTATAGAACACAACGGAATACTAAAAAGAAACAGCAGTGGCACTAGTGGCAGATGTGAGATCCTAAAATCCAACGCAGTCAGCACTGTGGGCACTTCATGTTGGCATAGATATTGTGTCGATGTATGGTTGAAGTGCCTGTGCAAGCCACCTCTTTCACCTTTTAAAACTCAAAATTTTCCAACCGATTTCATGATGTTATAATTTTTAAGTAAAATTAAAATGATTAATTAATATTATACTAATAAATAGCAATTTAATATTATATTAATAAGAACTACCCCTACTAGTACATATGCAAGCTGACGTGGCCACTATCGTGATTAACATTTTATTTTGGCTTATTACCCAAAAATTATGGACTGAACGACGGTTCAATTGGAAGACAGGATGAGTATCCTAATTACCGGCAGCTTAAGGAATTACCAAGCTGATTACCGGCATATTAAACTGTTAAAGTTACAATAGTAGGACGTTCTATATAACATCACATTGTTTAATATATACTGCAACACGATTTAAAACGGTTACACAACTGAAAGAAATGGAAAAAAACGTCCCTTATTCGCATTATGGCCAGTAACAGATTTTAAGAGAAAATCGAATATATATATACGTACACTTTTATAATCTTATTAGATAAATTTATTTCATATTTTTATGTGACAAAACAAGTGTCAATCTGTTAAATAAGTTACATAGATTAATGTTAATAATCTATAATTATTTTGCTTATACATTGCCTAAACTTATTAAATTAAATTAAAGGGGCCGGGTATAGCGCGGGTGGATGCCGGTAACAGGAACATCTTACCTTATACCTTCATTTCGAGTATTATTGGTAGCTGAAAGAACTCAAACAAGAATCATTAAAATTAATTTAGAATTTTAATGAAGTTAAGCAATAAAACACTCAATATTTTTTCATCATTAGCCCTTCAAGAAATGATTAAAATTACAAAAAATTAGCATGTATATAATTTTTTTAAGATTATACCTATTATATTTATATAAAAATATAAGGATTTCTGATTTTTTGAACTTAATTATAGTAAGCACAAAACGCTATTCTTATAGTAAATAACTGTTTATACTAAAGAACAATTTGATTGAAGAAATAATATTGAATTTTATTTACACAACAATAAAAAGTAAATGAAAATTGTTATAAAATGATTACAGCCTTATGACCCATCTATTCGTCAATGAACTCAGATTTGCGGAGTCATAGAGACAGATATTGCTGCAGCTTCGATTGAGAAACCGAATTAGATTTTAAGGCTTGTTCAATCCTACTTATACACTGTCCATGTGTGTGTGCAAGACAATTGGACATGTGAAAGGGTTGTCACGCTTGAGCGGTAGCAGTAGGTAGAACCGACGTGCAGCTTTTTTTCTTACAGTTGAAAAAATTTGTGGTATATGACCTGTGACGACAAATTTTTCGTGTTGAACGTTTATTAACTCTTTTAGCGTGATCCCCATAACATGGGTACTGTCTACGCTAAGGTGAAGATTTTAGTGTTATAATACGTATACATTATATTAAAAATATTCTAGGTTTTCGTAATGGTATTGTATTGTATAACCTATGTGCAGCAATTTTGGCCTGCTTGTGCATTTAGCACGTGAATAACGTAATGGCCTAATATTAGTGTCGCTTTTCTTGGACCTTAATTTACAGCGTTTTTATTAGAGTGTTGTTGAAAAAACAGTCTGTATAATGTTCAGTGGTCAGATTTGGTCTTTCACTATTAGTGATATTAAAGAGCATAATTTATCATTATTACTTGATTTTCATTTAATCAGAAAAATTCATTTTCTTTTTTGTCTAATAGTTTATACAAATTAGATTGATGATATTTAGGCTTTCTGTCTAGAAAAAATGGCATTTTTCAAAAGATGATATTATTAGTTAGAGCATGTATTGCTTGTACTTAGGAGATTACTGAATATTTCGCTACAAATGTATTACAGTTAATCTCAAGGTTACAAATCAGACAATCTATATAATTTTAAATATTTACTTTCATAACAATCATTGGATTTCTTGTCTCATATAAAAACAATTTCATGACTAGTAATTAAAGTAAAGAATTCTAAAACACTAAATTTACTTTTATTTTTTTAGGAGCCTGACACTGTAAAAGCTTTTGACTTCTCATCTGAAAACAGTGCAATGGATGACGAAACAAAATTTCATAAAACATGGAACTGGGTATGTAATCATGTACTCTTCCATGTATGAGAAAAATTTTCAATTGTTACAATAAATTTTTGTTTTATTTGCAAAGGGAAAGGACACACCCCTTGCAGAGGAGAAGAAAAAGTCTCAGCCTGTTGTAGATTTAAAGACCGTTAGGGTAGGAAGTTATTTGTATCAATATTTCAACTATTCATTACTTGACTGAATATATTTAGTAGCACCTGTGTGGAATTTTTTTAGACACGAGTAGACAAAGTTCACATTGATGGACTTTGTCGTACGAAAAATGATATTATCAAATCACAAGTTAAGGAACTATTCAAAGCTCAGGATTTTGAGGATGTTATTATAAATACTTACACAGTGCTTAATAAACTGAGGTCTCTGGGATGTTTTAAAAATATTGAAGTTTATATTGATGCTAGTCATGGTCCTGGTGCAACACCAGAAGGAGTAGAAGTAAGTTTTATGATATTTGTAAAATATATTTCTAAAATTTAAAATTATTCAATATAAAAAAGTTAATATTTTTATGATATCTTTTTAGGTCACATTCACAGTTAAAGAACTAAAGAGAATAATGGGTAGTATACAAACAATGGTTGGGAATAATGAAGCTTCTCTTTTGATTGGAGCAAAAACTCCAAATTTATTTGGTAGGGGTGAGAGACTTCAAATGGAGTACTCATATGGTCATAAAAACTCTTCAAATATTAATATTTCTGCCATCAAACCATTTTTTACTGGCAGACTAAACAAAATGTGAGTTAATACAAATATAAATTTATATTACGAATTTTCAATTTATGTCTGCTTTTATCAGAATAACAACGAGTATTTATACTACAAAGTCTGAGTTCCCCTGGTCTGGTTACAAAGAGAGCGACAAAGGTTTCCTATTAGATTTTGCATTTAATGGTAATTCATTAGGCACCATCAAGCATCACTTTCAGTATGAAGCAGCTGTAAGAGACTTGGCTGCAACCAAACAAGTAACATTCAAAGTAAGGGAACAGTGTGGTCCCACTTTGAAATCATCTCTTAGACATATTTGCAGATTGGATAAGAGAGATGAAAAAATCTTTCCATCTACTGGAACTCTTCTGCAGTGCACAACAGAATTTGCTGGACTTGGAGGAAATATTGGTTTCTTCAAAAATGAATTAGCATTTCAAACAAATTGGTCACCACATGAATGCCTTGTATTTATTTCTCATATTTCTCACTAGATTCTCATGGTTTTCAAAAACTAAAATTTTAAAGGTATATTGATTTCATTTAATCTTTTCTTTTAGACTTTCCAGTTAGCTGCTCAAACTGGTTTTCTTAGAGGGATCAATAACGATATGAAAATAAGTATTGCCGATAATTTCTTCCTTGGTGGACCATTAGGCGTCAGAGGTTTTGAAATGAGGGGTTGTGGACCTAGAGAAGAAGGATTTGCTCTTGGTGGAAATACATATTGGGCTGCTGCATTACACTTCTATACTCCGTTGCCGTTTAGGCCAGGCCGAAATAGTTTCGGAGACTTATTTAGGTTACACGGGTTTATTAATGGCGGCAATGTCAAAAATACCTTGTTAACGTTTGGTAAACCCAATATTAATATTAAAACTCCAAACAAATGGTAAAATCAAAATTCCCTAATGAAAATTCGTTTGTCTTTCAGGAGGTAGTTATGAAGAAAATCTAACAATGCTTACGAAAAATCTACGCTGTGCAGCTGGTTGTGGTATTGCTATGAAACTCGGAAACATTGCGCGGGTAGAGCTTAATTTTTGTCTCCCATTAAAGTTCTTGAGAACTGATGTACAGCAACCAATACAATTAGGTCTAGGAGTTGAGTACTTATAAAATAAAATACGTATAATAATTCAGTTAAAAGTAGAACGCGGATTCATCATATTTTCGTTCCTGCGTCACTTATTTTCATGAGTCCTTGTTCAGAACAGAAGAATAAAAAAAATAGAATAACAATTTGTTGAACGATCAAAAAAAGAATTATTTCAATATCTTCTTATTTTTGTTTAAAAATTCAGAGCTTAGTTAAAATAGAATAATGCATTTATAAATAATTAGTTTCATCAAAAGTTTTTGTTCAACGCTTATCTTATAGATCGACGCGTGGATTATATATTAAATGTTTTAAATGTTTCGGCTTTGACAACAGATTTTTCTTTCAAAACGATGTGAACATCATATCTTGAAAATATATAGTTTTCTTATTACTTGTTATGATTTGCTTGCACGAAGATAATTAACTGTGAATAATGAAATTCTTAGTGACGATTCGATACGATATTTGTCAGCAAGTGTACAAGGTGTAAAGGCGTACGAAAAGATGTAATACTATATCTTAGTATAAACTGCCGGAAACGTAAAATTTTTTAGAATATAAAAACATCATAATTTTTCATTTTGAACCTAAACAAAGTGATAATTAGTGAAACATTTTTTATTGTACGAACGCAGCAGTTATGTGCTTGAACAAAGTCTATATACAACTACAAGTCATTATCCCCCCCTCCCCAAATGAAGAAAAAGGCAAATGTAGTCTCACGAATTCGTTGCCGATGTTGCATCATGCTATTAACTATACAAGTGTTAGCGCAGAGCGCGACAAGTTTAGGGCGTGTAACGGGCAGAATAAAAGAGAGAGACCCGATATATTTTCCAATGTAGGGTGTGGATTACATCTTATTACAATCTGCATTTGATTGAAAATCGCATCGTTCATATTACGAACAAAGTGTTCACGAATAATAGTACATATGTTTTTTTATTTGTGATTCGTCACGATTATCATGGTTTCTTTCATTAAAAAGCCTTTTTCAAAAATTTCCAATTTCCTTGCAATGTTTCCAAATCGTTTACGTTCATCCCTATACTCCGCGATAATTGCAGCGGGAAATTCAATTTTCTGTGGTTTGTTATGTAGAAGAAACAATATATTTATAAATAAAAAATTAATTCAAAACTATGATGTGATTGATTTTTATGATTATGTTTGTCATACTATAAGATTAGATTTCATATTCGTAAAAAAAAAATTTTGCAGACCATAGATTTATTACATATATATGACGAACTCAAACAATAAATCTTAAAAGACCGACAGAAATTAAAGTATAAATTATTTCTATAGCAGAATTAAATGGAGTTCCCTTTTTATATTCTATATTATAATACCATTGTTAAAAATAAACAACTTTAAGATAGATTTCGGTACAAATAAATTCTTTAACATTAATTTTTCAATACCTAGTTGGTTCAATCGAGCAAGAATTAAATAATCAAAAAGTACCAAAAAGATCAAGCATATTTGAATAAACATTAATGATAAAAAATGCTCAATTAGTCTATAGAACAGTTCTTGATAAGAAAACTATCAGAAAATCCTCAAGTTATTTCAGTGATATCTCAAGTTTATAGTTAGCATGTATTGCATAGCATTTTAAGTGTTTTTATCACAAGCTGTATTATAGACAAGGGGTAAATGTGTCATTTTTGTATTCGTTAGTGTGGTATTTTCGCATAAATTTAATTTGTCTAATGATATTACTGAAGAAACACGTAGAAAATAATGAATATGTATGCCGCGAGTTACTACATTTTTCTTATCAAAAAAGCTATTTGATAAGGCGGGTTTATTACAGGTCGACCGTAATTTCCGGGCGTAACATTAGTAAATTTTGAGGAAAGATCTTACGAAGCATACGTTGAGAAGCAATCAACGAATCGCTCGGGCAACAATACGGTCCGGGTAGCAGTTCACTTGGCACATGCCTAACTTACGTAAAGTCAGATTGATGTGCCATGATGTGGACGGTTGATTTTTTCCCCGAATTATCAACTGATCATCCTTCCATAAAGATTGGTTGAAGTGACAAGTAAACATTAATTTTTTTCCAGACTTTATCATGGATATGGATGGAATTAAGAATAGAAATAATTCAATAGGTGAGTTTGTCAAAATAGTAAAGCAAAAATTTAGGAATATATCACATATTGATAAAGTATCTCTAATTACTGCACACGTATGTGACGAAAAAATTCTTGAAAATAAGTTACCATATAGGAGTTGTTTCTGCATAATGGGTTTAATTTCGTAGACATTACAGCAGTTGAAAACAAAAATATTGTATGCACAAATAACTAGATCGAACTATATATCGTATGCATTTAAAATTAATCGGACAAATATTATCGCAGTATAAAAAAATGAATATCAGAATTTCAATATTACGTGAAAAAATGTTTGCGTGAGCTTGTTTATATTGAGTTGATTAATATTGAAAAATATGAGTGTCTGTTACTATTAGAAAAGTATTAATATGGAGTATTAACAAGTGAATAAAGAATTATGGTTGAAATTGACAGAAATCAAATATTTACATAAACTCTATCAGAACTTTTCCCCTCGTGAGCTGTTAAGCTCACAAAAATATGAGCTGTTTTTATATTAAAAAGTTGTAACCAGATAAATAAAAACAAAACAAAAATATTAATAAACTAGGCTGAGACAATGCTAAAGTAACTCAATCTAGCGCTAAAATAATATAAATTGACGAGAGAGAAGAATCTCTTATGACAATTGTAAACAAAACGCTAGATGGGCTAGGAGCGGCAACGTTGCACAGAAGCAGCTTTCTCGATCAATCACTAGAGGGCGTCGGGTACGCGAGACAAAGACAGCAATTGCGAGCGAACCAATAGCGTTAGAGGAAAATTGGTGGGCGAAGAGATAGTGTAGTGGTGGGGATAGCTTATGGGTAGAGGGTACGCGAACGAACGCGCCAGAGCAAAGCGACATTCTCAGTTAAAATGGCCACTTGAATAGTTTAACCAGTTTCTTGCACTAATATTGTTATTACAAGATGTATTTTACTACCATGGAATCTAAAGTATCAGTTGAAAAATCATTGAAAGTCGCTGTTTCGTTATCAACATTCTCGACTGAGTGCGCGGAAAGATTGATTTCTAAGTGTTTTGCTACAAAAAAACAACACGCATTGAGACATCACAATCGCAGAGGCCGTTCTTGTTGTAAGTAACTGTACGAGCGTGTGTGTGTGGACTTATGCTTTTTTTTGGCATCGTATACGATTCACGCACGCAAAAAAGACTAGTGGCATAAGAGATATGATGCCGCGTCTTTTTTGCGTTGATGAATCAACAAAATTCTCAAGGATCCATGAGAACACGTCGTAAACAATAGGCGTGACGCATCCATCGATTTTTCTCGTAACTTAGATGCGTGAAAACGTAAATACTGCCGCATGGCGACGTGCTACTGCAGTTACTTATTCAAACCGTTGATTATTTTGTCCATTTTTGAAGTGGGTAACCAAGAGTCGGTTTAATTTTTCCTTTTTTACCGTAATAATTAACGGTTTTACATCGTATAACTTATTTTTGCGCTAGTGATCCATTCGTAATTAGACCGTTTCGCATGATGTTTAATAGCTTACATCCACACCAATATTCCTCTGGTCAACGTTGCCGCTGAAAACTTTTCTAAGGGTATCTAGAAATTATTCCATTGAACATAATGCAGTACTTTCAGAGGAACCTGGAATATTTAAGTTCACGCACTAAAAAAACTAGTAACATAAGAGATATGATAATGCACGCTTCTTTTTTCGTAGTTGATTTTGCGAGTTTTCCAAGTGCGTCGTAAACAAGGAGTGAAGCGTCCATCGATTTTTCTCCTAGCTTAGATGCGTGAAAACGTAAATATGGCAGCATGGCGGTGTGTTTCTTCAAACCGATGATTGTTTATTTTTTCCACTTTTCAAATGCGTAACCAAGAGTCGGTTCGATATTTTTTTTGTCGGCAACTGTGTGTATGCGTGTGCGCCTCTAATAGTCATCACAAGCTACTAGCCTCTCTCGCCCGTCAAATTCCAAATTTTTTTGATGTTGATAATGCCGGCGTTCATTAGAAAGTTTCGAAGTAGCGATCACGAGTCACGCACGAGACTTGATTTTTCTTCAAACAACTTCTGAAAATGTCATCGTCTTGAAAAAAAAAACGAAAACTCGTGCAAATCAAATTCAAGCGATTTTATCACGTTATTCAATTATGAACGTAAAGCGATTAGCAATATTAACTTGTTTTAAAACGCGTCATGATAAAAGTCGTTTAAGTCAAAGATTCCTTTTTGTATACGTCAATCAATTAGAAAATTAAATTTAAGATGGTTCTTGTTTGGGAAACGGCGACAAAATAACATGCCAAGTGGCTGACGCAAGCACAATACAAAAAATATTGTTTGCACTGTATACTCTATGCAGTAGCTACGTAGTTCCCTATGATTCACTTTCCACGCGGAATATTTCACGATCGTTGCCTCATTTTACTTCAACTGACACTGCACCTTACTCGCGGGGAATGTTGGTCGATGCGACAATTGTTCCTTAATTAACGAACAGGAATATCACTTTCTAACGATAATTTGTGTTCGTTATGTTTAGTCACTGATACAAACTGACATAAATCCAGCTTAGTTTTACAAGTTTGATTGGATAATTATCTATTGAAATGTTGGAAACAATATTTGTTTATTGTTCGTAACGTTAACTATGTTTGTTTACTTGGAAAAGAATGAATAGGGAAACAAAGGCGAGCCAGGTTTTTAAAAAGTATTCGATAATAAAAAAAACTTGGTAATTTTAAAGCGCGAATATTAATTTTGATGAAAGTTAATTAAGCAATATTTAGCGACTCGTGCGTTTTGGTTTGGAAAAGTCTATGCGAGATCGAGAAAAAAGATTACGTTGCGAAAGTCGACCGATGCCCTCGCACGTCCCACAAGTTTGTCTCGCGCAAGCGCCGGTCAAAATGAGATTCCTCGTGGAAGGTGTGCTTGCCGCATATAGGTGTATGGAAATTTACAACTGAAAATTCGTTCGTTTGAACATTTTTTCATTCTATATATATACAAGGCGAGGTTAATGATTGTCAATTATTTTCCTATTACATCATGTCGTTTATCTATGCACTACTGCGTTTCAAAAAAGAAAAAGCATCAGAGATAGTTACGTGCACGGTGCTTTATCTCTTGTCTAATTGAAAATTATTGATAGCAGTCACTGCTGGGAATGTGCCTTCAGGGTACTGGATATTTCTTCAAATGATCGTTGACGTAATGAAATCTGGATCGCTTTCTTGTGCTGTTTCATGGAAGAATACGGAATGTTAGCACTATTTTAATATGCATAATTCATTCTAAACTCAATTTTAATATTATTGAATTCCTGTCTGTGCAAAAAATCTTAAAATTCCTTTCATATATACAAATCAAATTTGTTTTCTACACGTGTGTGTTTAAAAATGAACATTCCAATATTTCCATTGCCTTTTTTGCAGTGCCACACAGCAGTGGTGTCAAGTTTCGAATAATAGGAAGTGGTGGTAGAAGAAATTACTGAATAGTTGCATTACTCTACAGCAATGGATTACCAATCAAGGTATCCAGTACGTTCAAATTCAGATCTGGTAACAGCTATTTTTATCAACTCACCCGAATATCAATCCAGTTTCAAAGCGCATTGGTCTGACAACATGTATTCCCAACAGCAATCACAGTCTAAGAAGCACCTCTTAGGTAGCAGCTTTGATGAAAACAAACAAAATCACAGTTTTCGGTAAATTTGATTGATTTGTTGAATAATAAAAAACATGTCATTGTTACAATTCATGCTTAAAATTGAAACTATGAGTGCTTGATAAAATACTAATATAGAGTACTTGTTTATGCAGTGTCATTTAATTATGTAACTCATTCAATTTAAAAAGTCATTCGCAATTTAATTCAGCATATTTTCATTTTCAGAAAAATCTGTTCGACCGAGCAATCACTGAGCGTTGATAGCTTGCCCAAAAGAGACGGTTTTTGGCAAAGTCTAACGAAAAGTGCAAGAAATTTGTTAGGCAACCATCTCAACAGTACAAGTTCAATTCTGAAAAGCTGGTCAAATATGAACACACCATTATCTGTGACAGTAGTCTCGCCTGATTTATATAAATCTCTGCAGGGAAGCAAGGATCAACAAATGATATCATCCTCAAAAAACTTCTCCGCCACCTTTGCATGGATCAAGGAGATCAATCAGACAAGGGATTATTTGTTGTCTCATGATTTAATCGATACTGAAATTATGAGTAATAATATGGAGAAGGACACTGTTCTTACTGATGCCGAGAGACAGTGGTATGAGTACAAATGCATGTATATCAATTGTAATGAATTAAAAACTAAGGACCAAGACTGTATTGATAGTATAAAAAAAAATGAAATTGAGGAACTAACTTTAGATTTTGCCCAATGGAATAAAGGTACTTGTTATAAGGTCTTATTTATTAATTTTTATTAGACTCAAAACATGAACTATATTTGTGACTTCAAACTATTTGTTTTAGATTTCGAGACTCTAACAAACTTTAGTAAATCAATGAAAGTTGATGAGTTAGTGACGCTGGGAAAAGCTGAATCTCCTATGTTTCAAGCAAAACAACAGCAAGAATTCCCAGATATTTCTGGCAATATGGCGAACACTTTATTCACAACTCGCAACAAATTGATCAATTGCACATGTGATCTTCACCGACGCCCAACATCACCGGATTCAACTGTCTTTATGAACAGAGCTTCCCATTCTAAACCGATGCGTTTGAAAAAACTTCATAGTGTGTCACTAGGTCGCGGTCGCGGTCGTGGTAAATCACAACTACGACGTTCGGGTGTCAGTCAAAAACGACACAGAAAAGAGCAAGAAAGATATACAGTGGAAGAAAACATAAAAAATGATATCGACACGTGGGAAGAGGTGGAATGTGATGAAGGTACTGATGAGGATCAACTAGACAATATCGACGAATGCGATTTTGTCAAAGATACTACACCTTCGTACGATTTGTCTCAGGAAATGTGTGCACCGATAAAATTTGAGCAAGTTGAGACTGAATCGAGTTCGAGTGAAGATGAGGGCAGTAAGGATGAAGATAATGAGTGCGATGACGGAAATTCGTTTAGGTCAAGACTAAACTCGTGCAATTCTGAGGATAGTTACTCTATTATTTTTGACGAAGACGCCCCCTATCATTCAAGTGAAAGCGATAGCTCGGGCAGCGAATCTGAATCTGAAAGCGAAGTCGACAGTTCATCAAAGAAGGTAACATTTAAATCTAAGTTTTCAGCGAATTTTAATAGTTTTACTGTGTTCTATAGTATAAGTTTAATACACTTGAACTGATACATTATAACAGCCATTATTTACGAGTTTAGGTTTGTTTAACAAATCTTATATGACACAAATATTAATGAAAAAAAATTAAACGTCAATTTTATGATAATATACGTTTGATTTGCGATGATTTATTCTGTCCACCTAGATAGTGTATTATAATTGGACTAGGTGAACAGAATCAATCGTCAACGAAGGTACGTTTATAATACGTTTTTGTTTCATCTTGCTAGAGTGAATCGCTCAAAATAACTCTATTTAATATAATTTTTGCATAAAATGATAAAATATTAAAAAAATATTATATTTTTTTTACAGGTTCGTTTTAACCTAGTACCCACAATTCACCGTATGATCACGTGGAAGTTTGCCTACAAAGCTGCTCGTAAGAATGAAGACTATGCTAATAGTCAACAATTCCGGTGTCGAATTGCTCGGACGGCAAGGGTGCTGGATCCCATATTGAAACAAGAGTTACGGAATCGTATTTATCATGAACGTTTCGAAGAATAGCATTTTTTTAACCTGACGAATTTCGTTCATTATAAAGTCTTGTGATACGTCGCTAAAAAGAGGTTTTAGATCAAAGCAATGATTAAAGATTAGGAATAAAAAAACAGTGATTTATGAAGTACATGCCACTGATTTGAAGTTTTGTAGTGACGTGTGAATGTCTAATAAAAAAATTGGACTGATTCATAAACTGAATAGTTACAATAGTTAAATATAGAAAGATTGCATTTTTTGAGAATAAAACTTTAGTTGAAAAAATCCATTTACTGTTGTATATTGACGATAGAAATAGAAAATCCAACGTTCATTGAATCAGAATATTTTACTATTATATTTTTTCAATGACCCATGTGTGAGGGCTCGATTTATGCACGCTTTGGAAAGCAAACTTGCTTTAAATCTTGTCTCACACACGTCATTTACGAAAAAAAAATTTAGATACAAGTACGAGAAAATGATTTTCACTGTCGCTTCGCTCAGACGTAGATGCCAGTGTGAGGCTCAAATGACTTTCTCGAACTAGTATTAAAATCTACTATTATATACCTTATACTAGAAATGATATTTTTTTAGAATCATAATCTATAAATATTTGAAGATTCCTATGTATATATTTATTTTTGGAGTATCACTAAATTGATTTTTTGCACGTCACTCAAAAGTTCGAACTTAGATATAAATAATAAAAATTTAGGGATGAAAAGAAACTAAAATCTACAAATTTTGTTATAAGAGTACTTGAATAAGTGCCGGAATGCTATTGTTGTACAGTAATTAGCTAAACATGTGTAAAAAGAAAGACCAACTAGTAAAAAGAAGGAATCGCTACAAGAATAATCGTGGAATCTTAAATAAGCAGTCTCGTGCATAGAGTGGCATTTTTTTACAATTTCAAAGCTTCATGCAAGATAAATTAAAAATAATAGTCTCTCACTCGTCTTTGTGCCAAATGCTTATTTATCAGTTGCATACCGTGCGATGTTTTTCCATTTTATTCTCGCGACTGACTGTTTTGTTTTATGCATATTTTATGATAGCTTGTTTTTTTTTCCTTACTTGATTGACTTCGTCTGAAGTCGTACGCAAGGAAAAATCATTCCTATGTAGACGAGCTTGAACTTTGCCAATATGCAGTGCTTCATACTTTCTAAAATCTTGCATATATATAAAGTGAATTCAAAAAAATTTTAATGTACACAGGACTTGTGAATCTATGAAAAATCTATACTAACATTTTTGGAGTTAATTGCTATAGTGTACGCCACTCGAGAAATAAAAATTTTTTTTTTTATATAAAAATGCACAGACAAGTATGTTTAAGTTTTTTTAAAGTATTTTGATACAATTGCACTGTCAAGTAGCGTCAAATTGGTGATTTGATAAAAGATAGTTACCATAGTGTCTTGTCATCAGAAAAAAAATTATAATCGAAGTTGCAATTAATGTACAAGTCTTAATTTTAGTATTGCGAGTTATGAAATAAAATGAAAAGCGTTTTAAAAGTTTTGCGTCATATGTTAAATTAGATGTTTTTTTGTCCATAACTGATAAAAAATATATCTTAAAATCGAGTTTATATTACAAAACGATAAATATATAATTAGTATATCTTTTGACAATGATTATGCATATAAAGTTTAGGAAATTAATCAATCCTTTGTTTATGTAATTAAGTTATAGGCAACAGAATTTATTTATTTAGGCCATCATTTTGAAACTCGTTTCTAAATTATTTTCTTTTTATAATAAACGCTACTTTCTTTCTAATATGTCTAATGATCATAATTATCTAAAATTTTCAACGTTTATATATATATTGATAAACGAGTTTCTTCATGTCAATAGTTAAATAGTGTTTTGTCTGTTTAGTAAATAAATGAACGATATAGCAACAACGTATTTTTAATTAATGAAAAAGTTTTTATTGGATTTAAATGTTTTTTTTTCAAATTCGATGTCAATTTATGGTAAGAAAGTCTTTTGTAAATCCAATTTTTAAAAGTTGATTTCAATTGGTAATTTTACTTCATGCTGGCTTTCAAAATAATTTAAAATCGAGTTAAAGAATAAAACCTATTTTTTCCTGTGTTACAGTTTAAAAATTTTAAGCTAGCATATTTCTATATTGGGTGCATTATGTATATTAAATACTTATTAATAAATTATGAAATTTAAAAAATAAATGTTTTGCTAGTTTGAATTTTTCACCAAAGTTTCTCATTTCACAATAACAAGTCATTTAAAATAAAATGCGTATTATTTTAATAATATAATTGATTTATATAATGATCAATTAAACACAAATAATATCAAGAAAATACACACCTTATCATAATATTTTGAATATTTTTTTATGTTTCGAATTTTTCAGAATGCAATAATTAAGTATTGTTGAACCAAATTTTTGGATATCGATGTTGTTCACTGTCTAACAACTAGATTTTTAATGAAATCACCTTCAATTGTAATGCTTTATTTAGACAGCTTGTGTCCGTTCATTAAATCTACTGAATTTTTACTAATCACGACAGTTTTCGAGAAGCATAGGTAACTTAAAATCGTTAATTTGTTTATACGTTTACAAAGAAAATCATAGGACTGACGGGAGATGTTACATTATTTGGTCATAGACATGAATAAATTAACGTTACGCAAATGAATGTAAAATTACAGCTTTTATGTCTTAGTATTTTAAGAATGAATTATTTTCGTCAGAGTTGTTTTGCCAACAGCTGTTTACGCGATTCCAACAAGAAGAATTCGTTCACCTTTGCCTTCTAAAAGTAACTTACGATATTAATCGAAAGTACGGCAAAGCTGTATCCAACGTTATTTTGTGATATAAAAGACACATGTCTTTTTTTAGATTCTCGGTAACATAAGTAATCTTAACTTATACATAGTCTTGCAAAGTTATATCCAGCAATGAAATATTAAAGCGGCTAAAACGAATCACAAACAATAAATATAAAGTACTCGCAATACGAGGGGACCATTCTTCCAGTTGCGAAGCTCGTCGACGAGCGCGCGCTCATGTATTGCCTTCGATAACGAGAACCAAGCCGAAGCTAATGAATTGCACAGAGAATCGCGAACCAGTGATGCGCGGAGCTGCGTGGGAAACGTGGTTGTCGCCGCCGCCGCCGCCGCGAGAGGTACAAAATTGCCGGGCAATTATACCGCGCGCAGGTGTCTTCGACGCTGCGACTCGATTTTCGTAATGCTCTCGCCGGTAATGACGCGCTCGAAATCGTGTCAAGGCCGCGTATCGCCGTCTCGTTTGAAAATGCTCGTCGTCGCGTTACACGGTCTTACGTGACGAACGCTCGTCCGCATCTCATTTACTAAGCGCCCAGATGTACGCGCGGCTGATTATATATTCGCTGGGACGCACGGGAAGAATCGCTGACAAGCGCGCGCCAATGACTTCTCGAGGATTCGCCTACGCTGCTTACATTTTCAGGAAGACGGAACACTCGCGCGTGGCGTAGTTCGTCGCTCGACGACGCGCAGCTTTGGACTGACGCTCAGCTGGATCTTCGCGATGTGAAACGAGCTCGAAATCAAGTTCCTCTAATGCGCGAATGTAGCCACGTTTTGTGTTACTTTGCATCTTTGTCTTGTGCAAATCTAACGAAACCTTCACCGTGCACTACGAAACCTTCACCGCGCCCAATCAAAAAAATAAAAAAAAAAAAAAAAAAAAAATGAGTTGGAAAATAACAAGGTATAATGCCCACGCTGTTCTTTATCGTTCTGCATGGAAAGGATTCCAAAAATCATGGAGAAAAGAGCCAAGTCCTCCCTTCACTCCTACGTAACTTGCGTGCACGTTGCGACAATCGTAAATAAACTTGATTACAAAGGAAACTGGAAAAAGGAATAAAAAAAAAACGTAAGAGAATGATTGCCTCGCGCGCTCGCTCGGGCGGAGGTTCTCTCGTGCACGTGTTTATAGAAAACACCGCATGCTAAAAGGAAGTCGAGGACGCGCATAGGGCGTGGAAAACTCGCTGCTCGGCTTCTTTTTTCTTCTCGTCGCGTTTGTTCGACTTCCAATGAAACTTTGCTAGGACGATGTTTTTTTGGGGGACAAACGTTGCGTCGACTCACCGATAGGTTTCCTTTCTTTTTTCCGAAGTACGGCAATATAATTGTATAATACTCTTGTGGAAATCACGAGCGCGATTTGCCGAATGAAAGGATTGGTGTAACTTGTGCCAAAGTGCGTGTGCGACTTATCTAGAACGACCAGTAACGTAGCGGGGTAACATTAATGTTTAGTGTTGTAATCTTTAAGATATTTAAATGTTGATGTTTATTTTTTTAGCAACGATATCACTGGACATTTTTATATATTTCAGTCACCTAGATTTCTTTGACGCTAGTGTGCGTTGGAAAAAAAAAAAAACTTATGTCAATAACGCATAACCGGGCGTGATTATTTCATAATCAATTTTTTTTACTTTATAACGATGATAAGTGACTCAATGATTACAGAAAAAAAGTAACGAGCGTTTCATTTACTTGAAAAAAAAAGTAATTTATAAAATTTTTTTGCCGAAGATGTATAGAATGACAAAAGCTCGCTCTAACATCATTCACGTTTAACATTTCCTATTATTCAAACAAATTCAGGTAAAAATAACACCTTAAATCTCAAAGTTAATAAGTAAACTATATTCCAACAGAAAAATAAAATTGGCAAACCATCCTAAAAAAAGCAAGAAAGCCATACGTTCTAATTGAAACCAAAATCACGTGATAAGCAACGATGACAACAATCATGCCAACCAAAGTTAGAAAGTGTGAATCCCGCGCAAAGGCAGAAATAGCCAAAGAGAGTCGTCACGAGCAAGTGCAGCTGGATTGAAAAAGGGTCATTTGCACGCTGCTACTACCGGAAGAGGATGGGCAGTTCGCTGGCTCATGCGGGATGTCGCAAGCGTTATGGGCCGTCGACTATGGCATTATTGGCACGTCGCGCTCTTTCGCAACGAGTCGCACGCATTTTCCTTTCTTTTTATAAGCATTGTTCTTCCGACGGCTAATTGATTTATGAATAATCAACGCCAGGATTATAATTTTAACAACAGACGAGCTTGAGATGGCAATTAATATTTATTTGTAACAAACAAAAATATATTTACATTCGTGTCGATGCACTTTATAATGTTCAGATAGCAAAATCTTTTAGTTTATCAGGAAGGACAAATTTTTCTGGGTTCTGCTCGAGTAGACAGCCTAACAGCTTTGGTACTGATATTAAGGTTCCAGTGATCACAGATGTGTATTTGCATCTGTTCGATGATTGAGATCCAATTAATAATCTCTTGCTGAAGTAGTCTCCGCACGCAGAGACGTTTCCTACTTCTATATACTGGTTTGAATATGCCGACCACATCTCGAAAGATACCCTCATGCCGTCTGATAGATTTAGTTCTTTAGCAGATCTGAGTACTAAACGATAGTGACAGCCAATGGTATCATATATTCTGGAGGTCAAATCTACTAAATTTTGAAATTCATTTTTGTAGCCTTCACTGTCATTGTCTTTTAGTAATGTCAAAGCTTGCACTGCTGATGCTTGACATACTGCAAATAATCCATAGTTAGCTGGAGTATTAGGGAACGGTATGTATTGCCTTCCACTGGTGAAAATTTTGATAGGTAAAAATTTTGTTTTGACAACCTGTTTTGTGAAAATTGCAAGTAGAGCAGGAAGACTGGCACCACCTACTAAATGTAATCTATTTAATACATGATCTTTCTCAGTGTCATCTGCACTTTGCAAAATAAATGTATCTGTTGGATTTTCATGGTCTAGACCACAGCCTTCTACAACAAGGCTACGACTGAAGTCAGGACCTGCAACTTGTATCACTCCACCTTCACTCATTGTCTTACATGCGTACCTGATGATGCCAAGTTCAAAAGACACTGCATCATTGCATAAATAACATTGAATTGGATTCCTGTAATCCAGTAGATTCAAACTTTTGCCAATTTCTAAGTGATTTTTCTTTTTATGGTCAGGAATATTAGGCTTTTCACCCACACTTTTTAATACTACAGGAGCATCCAGTGGTGTACACTCATTGATTTCATTTGGTAATTTTAAAAGTTGAGGTACAAAAGTTTCTTCGAGTACCCAGTTAGCTTCCTTTATCGTTTTTAAGTTTTGTTTAATCATTTTACACTGCATTATTAAAACTTGTATTTCCTTTTCACATTCAGGAGTTAAATTACCTTTCATTTGGATATTTTTGATTTGACTACTAAGTTTATTTAGTTTCTCCTCTAAAATGCTTTTATTGGACAATACATATTGATAATAATCCCAAGTATCTTTTAAAGCTTTAGTATCAATATCTAAACCTCTGGAATTGAGTTCTTTTTGTAATTTTTGTAAGTCATCAAAACGATGAGCGAAATCTAGGTCTGGTGACAAAAATGCAAATGACTTGTAAGCTAATTTACCAGGAACATACAAGGCAGATGTATATGATCTTGAACTAATAGATATTTCTTGTAAGAAACTAGATTTCAGTAGTTTCAAAATTGTAGTTTGTTTAGTGTAAAAATGTCTTACAAAACTTGTCATTTTGTACTTTTATTTCAATAATCAATAATATCAACAACTTACAACTTTTAATCCTCATCAACTTTCATAATTTTAGCATCCTCATTTATGTCATTCTCACTTACTATTGTTTCTATTTTACGCTTTTTAGCAAATATGAAATTTCCTTTTCCTGCTGCTCTTTCTGATTCTTCAATTGTGTATGGTTCCAACTCCAGTGCTTTCAATCGTCTTTTATGAACTTTTGTTGTAAAATGATCTTGTAAAGCTCTTTCGTTAACAAAATATCGTCTGCAAAGTAGTAATAAAAAAGTGTAAAAGTATCAAGTGATAGCTACGTTTTGTTTACTATAATCGAAAATTATTAAACTCACGCGCAATGAATGCAATAGTTTTGTGCAGCACCTGGCTTGTCAAAGTCAAGTTCCTGATTAATCAATTTTTTAGCATTCTCTTCTTTCAAATCTTCATCGATCTATAACAAAGGAACACCCAAATAATCGTTGACGCAATATAACAATACAACCACGAGGCTACGAAAATATCGTAGGTTAGAAAATTATCTGACCTCGTCAAGATCTTTCGTTCTCCTTTTTGTTCGATGACTTTTTTTCAGGTGCAAATTTTCTTTGTGGTGCTTTTTGCGTCGGTAAACCATTTCACAATCGCACCACGACTAGAAGGTTTTATAGTCTAATATCGTGCGATATGCGAAACGCAAATATATATTCATTCAACGCAAAATTTATTGCGTTGTAGGTTAGGTGACAGCTGCACTCCGCACGTGAAATTGAAAATTGTAGTCTGCTATAATGATCGTGCATGAGTAGACAGTAAATAAATAGCAATTTTAAGTGTATCCAGAAATTGATAAATACTTTTGTCTAATAGTAATTGAAATTACAGAAACATACATAGGCTCATATTTGTAATATTAAAATGCTAAAATACATTCTACAATTATAAATTGAAAAATAAAAGTAAAATTGAATTTCAACAGAAATTATAAGTATTTATTTCTCGAAATTTCCAATTGCAAGATAATCTATAAGTTATTCCGAGCCGATGTACTGATGCTTAATAAAAATTTACATAAATTATATCGATCGATCTTGCATACATGATAATAAAAAATATTTTATAATATTTAGCATAGCAATTTCGATTACATTCTTAATTACCGTAACGAATTATTGATTACGTTGTTTCATGTCATTTCCAAATAGCAAGTATTTCCATAGTTCCTGGTATTCGATCGAGGATAAAAGCTACAAAGATACTGGCATAAAACATAGTTACAAAATAACACGCGCGGAGAGGAAGACGACCACATAATTCTTGGAAGCCCGCGACAGTGAAAGTGGTTTCTTGAATACACGTTTTCGCGCACTTGACAAACATTCGTAGAAAAAGAACTTATTACCGTGTTGGCCATGAATACACCGTCTTTGAGGAGGATAAGCTAACATGCTTAAATTTTGCTTAATTTATACACGCGCGTCCAAGTCTTTGTGGTTATGCGGAGGGCATTGAAAATTAGAGATATATTTGTTAAACGTTAAAGGGCGGTATTGGGCGATCTGTTTGTTATCGGTGATAGTGGACGAACGAAATATTTTATTAGCGTATACTCCATGATGCAAAATAGCAAAGCAATGCATTTCACGAAAGGCATTAAATTGCAAACGCATTGCTTTCAATTACAAAGTCGCTCGTAATGTTATTTTTTATTTACTTAAAATTATCGGTGTGTTCGAACATCGATGCCATTTTCAAACACCTCTTATCGACAGATCAATATCAAATTTACGCTATCATTCGAAACAATCGTATATGAAAAGCACTGTTCTGAATCGATGAAAAGATCAAAGCCACAACTCACGCGACATACAAAAGCAAGCCAATTCGTACATTTGATAAAGGGAACCGGTAGGCGAAAGACTAAAAATCTCGATTTACGAAAGGTGACGCGCGAGTGAAGCCGATAAGTGATAAGAAACCGACCTCGCGACACTCGAAAGCCCACTACGAGACCGGCGCAAGTCCCAGCATCTCGGGCAGCTACGAAAAAACGAAAAAGAAAGAACAAGCGAAGCACAGTTGCACAATAGCCTCGAGAGCCCGGGCGCTCGACGCACAAAGAGCTCGTCTCGTAAAAGCGGCCCGGTAAGAGAGAGAGAGAGAAAGAAAGAAGTGTCGCCGCGCGGCTTTCACTCGCGCGAGATCGAAAACACGAAGAAAAAAAAGGCCGTGCGCGCGCGCGCGATGCACGGTTGGACGCACGGGAGCTGTAACGAAGCCGAACGTGGGCGAGATGGATACGCGCGCGCTCGCTCGCTGTCGTTCCAGATCACACCGCCGCGCGCTCGTCGCTTTTTTTTCTTCGATTATTTTTTTCTTTTATGCTAATGCGCCGCTCGCCGCGTATTACAATCGAGCGATTTAATACGGCGAGGCCGGATTTTTTTTTCTCACCGTCGCACGATCGAGCGACATCTCTCCGCGAGTATCAGTCGTTGAATTGCAGCTCGGTAAGTGCTGCTATATAGGCGGTCACGCTGCATCTGTTCTGGAAAGGCGAGCAAGGCGAGCCGTCGCATTAGGCGCGCCAAGTTATGTGTCTCGCGCGTTTGCGCGCGGACGAAAAATAAAAGGTCGACTGGGCCCCGGCGGCGGTTGAGCAATCGATCTTTAGGGATCGAGCGGCCGATCCGTGGATCGGTCTATCGGGTATTTCGGAGGCCGACCTTCGCCGACCGATTGGTCGGCGAAAAGCCTTCTTGAAAAACCAGCGCGCGGCGACGCGAGGTCGAACTACCACGTGCTCGGCCAGTTCCGCGACACACGGCGCGGGGGGGAACGGGTGCGCGTATAAACACAAAACTGGAGAGAATGAAGGCGAGTGGTCGCCCCTCCCCCTCCCTCCCGTTAGGCGCCTTCTCGAATGTTCGTCGATCGCGCGTGTACGCCCGGTTCCGTCGAGGCGGCAGCTCGCTTCGCATTAATTTCGCGCGCGCGTGTCCACGCCACGGGAAGAAGCGACGCGCGAGTCGTTTTTTTTTCCTTTTTCTCTCGCTTTATCATTCGTTGCCAAGGTTCGTCTCTCCCTTGACGTACTACGAACGAATGCGTAACCGACGCAGTCCCCTACGCGCTCGAATCGATTAGTATCGATTGCGCAAGACCGGCGAAACCGCAAAATGACAGCCCTCGACCCCGGGAAAGACCCTCTGGACGCAGCGAATTCCTTCGACATTCGACTTTCAGAAAGTTATCCTACCGTTTCCAACGAGGCACCGTAGATCAATAAATTAAAATGATATACCCACGCACGGTATAAACGAATCGTGGGCAATAAATCGTAATAACCATCCTGTCTCTGTCTCTCTCTCCGTATTTTGCGTTCGCGCAGCACGTAAAACATGAGTAGCTGTCCCATCTAATTATCCGCGGTAAATCCATCAGAAACGCCAGTGCGCGAAAGATGGAAAAAAAGGAAAACACAAAAGACAGATTTATTTCTCTCGCGTTACGAGTGGCACTCGGCTTCGCGAGGCAAGTGTCGCGGGCGAGCGCGCGGGCGCCGCGTCCTTCGTCGGCCCTGGGGCAACGGGGCGACGCGCTCGCGCTCCTCGCGGAAGGACGAGCAAGGACACGCGACTCGGCTGGGTGGCGCGTCGCGCTCGGGCGCGCTCGCCTTTCGCGGTCCTCGTTTCCCCGTATAACACTTGGCCACCCGAGGATGTCGGCGATTCCGCGCGGGCGAGCGCGACGATTGCCCGCTGATCGGCGAAATCCCGTTTAGACGGCGGGCGGGGGGGGGGGGGGGGGGGGGGGGATCCTACGTCGGCGAGTGGCCGCGAGGGTGGCGGAGCGCGGGGCGAGGCGCGCGTGCACGCGACGAGAGCCGCGAGCCCGATTCGGGGTCAGTAAACGTGAAGCGGCGACGGGGGCAGTATCGTACGGCGATCGCGTGCGACAAAGGAGCCGATGAGGTAGGTGGGGCGAGCGCCTCGGGCCGCGCCTATAAAACCGGGCGCTCGCGCGCGGTCCCAGCCAGTCCACGAATCGACCGTGTTCCCGAAGGCAGTCCGCACACGCGCGTCCCTGTATCTCACTCTCTCTCCATCTCTCTCTCTCGCTCTGTCCGGGCTCGAAGCGAAGATGAAGCTCAGCGTGGCACTGCTGTTGTTCGCCGTCGTGGCCGTCCTCGGCGCCGACGAGAAGGCGGAGGAGCGCCCGAAGACCTTCCGCAGGCTCATCCCCGCCGACGTTCTCAGGGGTAAGGGAAGCTTATCTCGTTTCGTCGGGCAAGCGTATCGCCACCCTCCGAGCGCGCCGGCTCTCGATCCGACTCCAGCCCGTGCCTCCTCTCGCGCACCGGCCGGCGGACGCACACCCGCGCCGCGCTTCCGTCCAGCCCGAGGGGGAGCATGGATTCCGCGACGCGCTCGCGGAACTGGTAAACGCGGCGAGCGGCAGGTTTCCGCGAGCTACGAAACGAACGAACGACAAAAACAGGCCGCTTTCGCCCGACGCTCAAGGCGGCGCAAGTCGTCCGCGAGCAGGAAGCCGTCGATGCGCGCCGCCGCTCAACCTGCCTCTCTCGCGCCGCTCGTCGCGGCTATCGCGGGCAAAGAAAAGAAAGAAAAAGAAGCCACCGGCCACGACGATTCCGCTGACGCGACGCGTGTCAGCGCCCGAAAACGCGGCACGTCACAGCTGCTGGTCGGCTCCAACATCGGAAGCGAGCCCGTCGCGCCCCGACCGATCAGCGCCGGACGAGATAGGGGTTCACCTTGAGCGTAAAGAACCATGCAGAACGGCCAATCGCGAGACCGTAGCGATCTCTCTGTCTTCGATGCCTGATTTATGCGCATCGTTATAGTACATTGTGAATTGCCGCGCGTTACTTTTCATCGCGTTTCTCAATAAACCAGCCGAGTGGGGAACGATATGGGGGGAAAAAAACACGAGCCCACATGCGGATAGATTTGAAAGATTTTGCGATCGTTAGTACCCCCCCCCCCCCCCTGCACAATTCAAAGCGGTACGCATTGGCGCAACGTCGGGAACGTCGAGCGACTTGGTTATCTTTTCAGATTGTCCATTGTCGAGGCTTACATAATTAAACTTTCATAACGCCCGTTCGCGTCGGCATTGATTATTAACAATAACAGTCACGTACGCGCGGGCGACGACGATTGCAACATCTTTGAAGCGGCGCGAACGTTGCGCGCATATACGGTCGATCGACATCGTACGATAGATCGACGGCTTAGCGACGACGAGCTTCGTTGTGCGCTCGAATTATCTCAGAGCGGTGCCAGGCAATCCTCGGCAAAATTCGCGTCAGCGCTCGCGGACGGATGCAATTGCTAACCCCGTTGTAACGATTCCGTCGGCGACGACGAGACGCGTCCTCCGGTTTCTCGTTTCAAAATTATTCCATACATGCACTCGAGCGCCATTGCCGTGCCCGTTAGATTCCCGCGGACGAAGTGAACGCGTTTGGCTCCCGCGTTGGTTCGTCCAGCGGGGAGCTCGCATTGGAGTCGACGACGGTTATTCGGCAATCGAGCGCGCGCGTCACCTCTCGCGCGAGCAATCGAGCCAAGACGGTCAGCGGCACGCGCCTAGGGGGGACAAGGGCGCAATCAAAAGTCCTAACAGGCGTTCCGCGCGCGTGCATCCTTAGTCACTGCTGCTGCCTCGCGCGGACTCCTCGCCCTGGCCTACTTGCCGCGCGCCGATCTAGATATCTAGACGCGCGGCTTTATTTTGTTTTTTCCGCTCGAAAAGAAAAACGAAGCGAGAGATTAATCATCGCAAGCGCGCGCGCGGCCTTATCCTTCTTTCCCCTCGCGCGGAGTCCCGATGACAATGCTGCAATTAACCCGGCTAAGCTTCTCCTCGCGCTTTACAATGAACACGCGGGGGGCCCTGCGTTGAAGTCTCTGCATATGCGTCTCAAGGATACGCTCGAGAGCTCGTCTTCGCTTCCGTTCTGCTTTTGTTTTTTTTTTTATGCGTTTCAGGCGAAAGGTCGCGCAGGAAAAGCGCGTCGAGTCTTTTTGGCGCGCGACGCGGTGAAAGTTTTTCGCATTTATTTATTTATTTTTTTTTCCGACTGTTACACATATATATCTTCTCGCGACAATCGGGCCTTTCGCGAAAGCGATGAAAGTTTCCGATTGACGATGGCTCGCTCGCATCGGGATTTTCATCTGCGATTGTCGTGCATTTTTTTTTGTTTTTACCTTTTTCGAAGCCGGCGTGGAAAGTTGTTATCGACGATCAGAATACGTTGAAAGCTATTGCTATAACAACGAGATGCACGATACCGCTTTTGTTGACACTTTGGGAAACATATTGGCGATAAAAAATGAAGGCGCTGGTGTTTAAAGATTTTTGTCAGTGGTTTATTTTTTCCAGCAATATGTTGAAAAGTCAACTTGTAAGTAAATCGTTCAGAAGTTAGGATGGGTTGAAACGAAAGTTCACGGGACATTAAGCCATTGTTTCGACGACAGAAGTTTACTATCATTTATTGGAAAAGTTTTAAATAGAATAGCTTTCGAACGGTTCGACTGTTGCTCTTTTTTCAAAAGGAGAATTGTGATCTCAGGCCACTATTAGTGAGGCTCCCATTGCAACAGATCCACGTGACTCGAAGAGCTATTTGTGTTTAAACCGCGACTTGCTTGTTAATATATTAGATACGAGGCCTTCGAGTCGAAAGCCAAACGTACGCGTCTATTTGTCTTTCGCAATTAGTATTCTCCCGAAGTTTTCTAAAAATCGGTCTCCCGGCATCGACGGTTTGGTGATCTGCTCGTAAGCGCGTCGACGACGGCTTGCCCAATAACTCGGCGAACGCGGAGGAGCTCGCTTCGTGTTCTTAGAAAAGCAAATTCCGACGCGACGCCTCGGCGAAGTGAGAAATCGAGAGGAAAAAAAGGAAGGTTAACCTGGCGCAAACGCATTTCGTAAAGTACGTTACCACGGTTGACGAGACGAAAAGGGAGAACGGAGTACGAGGCGCGCAAGTGGCCCGCCGCCCGTCGATCGACTCTCGCGATAACGGTTGACGACCCCCCTGCCCTGCCTCGGGATGTACCGGTACGCCTGCGGACGCGATCGTGAATGCCGATGTCGCCGAGTCTTCGCGTCGAAGACGAACGAACGAGACGAGCGTGCAATCCGTCGCGCGGCGACGGTGAAAGTGTAGCGCGCGTCGTTCGCCTTGACGGCATGCGCACATCTATATACGCGTATCTTTCGCGAAGGGCCGTTATACAATGTCGCCCGGCGTAGCGCGCACGCGCGCGCACCCGTTGCGCAACGATCAGCATCCTCGGAGCCGGGCGCGCCGATGATCGCGACACGCCGCCGCCGCTCAACCTAATTAGCGCCTCGCCGACAATCCTTCTTTTACCTTTACGCGCTATCCGGTTGTTTCCTTCTCCTTCTTCTTCGTTATCTTTTCGCCGAGAGAACGAGAGAAAAAACGTTAATCGCAAATCGCGCGCGTTTGTTCGCAGACTTCCCGGGCATGTGCTTCGCCTCGACCAAGTGCGCGACGATCGAGCCCAAGCAGTCCTGGGAGCTGACGCCGTTCTGCGGGCGGTCGACCTGCGTGCCGGCCGACGACAACAGCGGACGCCTGTTCGAGCTCGTCGAGGACTGCGGCCCGCTGCCCAAGGCCAACGACAAGTGCAAGCTCAGCGACAAGACCAAGAAGGAGGCCGCCTTCCCCGAGTGCTGCCCGATCTTCGAGTGCCAGGACGGCGCCAAGCTGGAGTACCCCGAGATCCCGACTCTCGCGCCACCGAGCGCCGAGGAGGCCGAGGCCATCGCCAAGGTCGCCGGCAAGGCCGCTTAGCTTGCGCGAATCCACGCTGACGATCGTGGACAGTTCGACTTGTTTGTTTGTTTTTTTTTCTTCTTCTTTCTTTCTACGATCATTTCACTTAACCCGAGACCCTCTTCCTCCTTTTTTTCTTTCGTCGCCGCGTGAGAGGCAAACGAAACGAGTATGATAATGAGAGCCGAGCGTACGGCGATCGTCGCGCGACCGCTACGTGCGCGACAGAAGTGAAAAGGCAAACGGACGCGAAACGCTTGCGGTGCGTCACGTACCACTTATACACGTGTAACACAGAATCGTCATGGTTTTTGTTCTTCCGCGTTACGTAACCGAGATTTTTATACGTATATAGCCGACGCCAAGATGCATACAGAAAAATATATGTGTGATTGTAATTTTTAAGTGATTCTATTAAAAAAAATATCAGTATTTAATTTTATCCAAATCAGCGACTTGTCATTGTGTGCTTACCTCTACCATCTCCGTATCCTGCTTTAGTAGGTGCGATCTATATGTAAACCATTTTGTTGAATTTTTATCGAAAGCTCATTGTACCCCAAAGTCAATCTATAAAGATGAAATCAAAACTGCGATACATTGATTTAACATTTCGTTAATTATCTTTTTCATTCAACAACAGCTCGCGATATCGATGCGCTTGGAACTCTACATAGCGCGAAAAATATGTCACGCGCCTCAAATATTTCGCGTACGCGCTTGCATAGCACATGCACTTGTCAAATAAAATGTGTAATTTTTTTTCTTTCTTTTTAATACGAGTGGCGTAAATACAACGGAGCGTTCGAAAATACATAACGTACATCCGGTAGATAATAAAATCAATGACATCGACCGATTCGCATTTTTCTCTTGCGTGAGTGCAGTGATCGCGGACAAACCGTGCGCCAAAGTTACGCGGATGAATTTGCTCGAAGACGGAACACGTCGATATGCCCGATTCTCGGATCCCATTGAACCCCTTGCCCACGCGCAAGGATGACTCTTCGTAGCGTCGTGACGATTCAAGACGACGTCAACGTGATCCTTTCGCTTGGAATGGCAAAAGCTCTCGGTAGTTCCGGAGCACCCAGTCCGGATTCCATGGAACTTTGGATCGTCCGTCCGATTGTCGGCGCGAGGTCGACAAGTGCCACCGCGGTCGTTGTCATTTCCGGCGGCACTTTCGTCACCGCCACTACGAGTCAAAGTGAAAGACCGACCAAGATTGTGGTTGGAATAGTCTTGAGTCCGACTCGATAAGCCGGAACGCGCGGTAAACTCAGTTCGTCTATCTGTCGAAAATCGATAAATGACCAAAGCTCGTACGAACGATCCGAGCCTGTTCAGCGCCGCGACCGATTCCCATTCGGCCAGCCACGAGATCGAATTTTGCCGCTGCGCGCGGACGGCGAGACACGCGCGGAGCGCTCACGTCGCCCATATATGTGTGTGTGCGCTTCGCCCGAGCCGATAGGCCGGCACGCGCGCGCGCGCTCGCTCGCTCGCTCTCCTCGTATCGCGCGATCGCTCGCTGACGTCGTACAACTCGTCGTCCGACCCACGCGGAGTCGCAGCAACGACCCGTACGTGCCGAAGCCCTGCCGAAGCGCGCTCTCCTTCGAGAAGGCTGCCGTCGAGCACTGCTGCCTTCGGACGATCGCCCAAAGATCCCGTCGACTTGAGAGTCTCGAGAACAGCTGGGATGTGGCGCGAGCGGTGAGTCGTCGATTTTCCAGCGCTTCGCTCTCCGTTGGGCCACGCGTGTACGTGCGCGCCGCGCTCGCTGCGCGTAAATTTCTTTCTTTTTTTTTCCTTCTTCATCGGTTCGCTTGCACTCGTGTATTTTTCAAAATCACTTTGATTCCGAAGCCACCTGGCTTCGCTGCATTCCCGATCGAATCGGGCGAAATCCACGCGAATCGACGTCCAATTCCAACGAGAGCGTCATCGAGAAAGACTCGCACGGCACGTTCGGCCATCAGATGAAGGCGACTGGTAGGTGATTCGCCGAGAGCCAAGAGAAGCGAGGGTCAGGACACTGGGCGGCAGGATGAACGGGCTCCGAGCGATCCTCAGGCTGCCGCTCCGGTCGGCCGGGCGCAACTGCCAAACGGCCGCCAGCGAGCCGACGCTGGTCTACACGAAGGAGCTGCGCTTCGCGAACGACGCGTTCCCGCGGACGATCCCCACCTATCGGGTGCTCGACGATAGCAACACCGAGGCGCAGGACTGCCGGATCGGCGACGAGCAGCTGGTGAAGATGTACGAGAGCATGGTGAAGCTGAACGTGATGGACGCGGTGCTGTACGAGTCGCAGCGCCAGGGCCGCATCTCGTTCTACATGACCAACTACGGCGAGGAGGCGTGCCAGATAGGCTCGGCGGCGGCGCTCGCGGACGAGGACCCGGTGTACGCGCAGTACCGCGAGAGCGGCGTGCTGATGTGGCGCGGCTACGACTACCAGGACTTCGTGGACCAGTGCTACGGTAACGCGGCCGACCCGAACAAGGGCCGCCAGATGCCGGTGCACTACGGCTCGCGACGGCTCAACTTCCTCACCATCTCGTCGCCGCTGGGCACGCAGCTGCCGCAGGCCGCCGGCGCCGCCTACGCGCTGAGGCTGCGCGGCGAGCGGCGCCGCCTGGTCGCCTGCTACTTCGGCGAGGGCGCGGCCAGCGAGGGCGACGCGCACGCGGCGCTCAGCTTCGCCGCCACGCTGCGCTGCCCGGTGCTCTTCTTCTGCCGCAACAACGGCTACGCCATCTCCACGCCCAGCGGCCAGCAGTACGCGGGCGACGGCGTCGCGGCCAAGGGGCCCGCCTACGGCATCCCGACGCTGCGCGTCGACGGCAACGACCTGCTCGCCGTCTACAACGCCACCGGCTTCGCTCGCGAGTTCGCGCTGAGCAGCCAGCGGCCCGTGCTCCTCGAGGCCATGACCTACCGGCTCGGCCACCACAGCACCTCGGACGACAGCAGCGCCTACCGGCCCGAGCGCGAGGTCCAGCGCCGCCGCGAGCTCGCGCCCATCGCCAGGCTGAGCGCCTACCTGGCCGGCCGCGGGCTCTGGGACGAGCAGCGCCAGCGCCGCCTGGCCGAGGCGAGCAAGCGCGCCGTCGTCGCGGCCGTGGCCGAGGCGGAGAGGCGCGAGAAGCCCCACTGGCGCGAGCTCTTCGCCGACGTCTACGCCCGGATGCCCGCGCACCTCGCCAGCCAGATGGCCAAGCTCGACCGCCACCTGCGCGAGCACGCCGACAAGTACCCCACCGTCGGCGGGTGAGCCGCTCTTCCGTGCGCCGATTCACACTTGAGCCCGCCACCCGCGAGCCTCCAAGTTCGATTCTTCTCTTTGCCGAAGAATCGCCTTCCAGCAGTTGCGCTTCGATCCCGTGTCTTCCAAGTGCTTGTAATGGTTATGGGAAATAAATAGCCGATGTCGGAACATCTTACTTTCTTCACAATTTCTCTTCCAAGCCGTTCGTCCCTGGAAAACCCGAAAGTCCCGGCCTCCCACACCTCACGTCCGAACAAAATAATTATCGATTCGACGATACCTAAAGACTCGTGCACACATTAGCGAGCGCGATAACGGTACGGTTGCACACGCAAACACGGCATGAAGAACTGCAGAGAGGGGAGAATTAGAGAAGGATGGCAAAGTGCGAATCTGGTGCGAATGCGAGACAACAGAGAAGCCGTGGCCGCCGCGACTATACCTATGCGTCCCGAGTAGCGTCGATTCCGTCGGGTTTTCGTAAGCAAAGGCTGTGAAACAATAACAAATTTTTCATCAATTATACAACGAACAGTATGAGCGAACTCGTGTGGGGAATTAAAAACGGCGACCTCGATCAGGTTCGCGATAACATCGAAAATAAGGTAAGTTTCTTTTGGCAACATTTGTAAACTCGATTTATAACCTCTATACTATAACGAATTTCCAATTGACGGTTCTTTATGCAACGATAAGCTATTGTTAGTTTTTACGCTCGCTTCGTTTAATTTAATACTGTTCTAATTTACATCAACAACGATGGTTTTCGATATTTACGTAACGATGTATAATGAAAACGGAGCATGTAATCTGATTACTTATGAAATTAATGGAGGGTAGGATTCATTTACATTTCCTCTGATTCATTCTGAGTCTTGAACGCCGTTAATTATGTGGGCCACATTTTTTAAACTACTGATTAGTTATAGCTATATATTTTTTTAATTCAATGTCACCAATAGAATAGTGTTCCTCTTGTTACTGTTATTGTAAATAAGGACAAGTTTATTTTTAAATTTGCAAAGAAACACCAGTTATCCATGTATATTAGTGTTATGGTTTTCTATAATTATGAAAAGCATCCATATCAATCTTTCCTAATATTTTTGAAAAGATGTAAAAGGCAGAATGATTTTAAATGCATCATGACTGAACCTACAGTTTAAGATTGAATTTGAACCAGCAGATATAGGTGTTCCTATATTATTTACAGGATATTGATGTCAATCAGATGATTGATGGCAGGACACCGCTGCATTATGCAGCTGATTATGGACAAACTGAAGTACTGAGGTACCTTATGGATAAAGGTGCAGATCTCAATGTATGTATCACTTTGTGAACGTTATAATATAAGGAACATAACTGAATATTTTGCAATATTCTGTGAATAATCCATATTGCAGGCTACAGACAAGCATGGAATAACAGTACTGTTAGCAGCAATATGGGAAGGTCACACCAATTGCGTCAAGTTGTTATTGGAGAAAGGAGTGAAGACAGATGGGAAAACTCCAGATGGTGCAAGTTACTTGGATGCCGCCGAAAAAGATGAAATTAAGGAACTTCTCAAAACTCACTAGCACCAAAGCAAACAAAACAGAGAGACATGTGGATTTTGTTATTTAAGAACATTCATGTTCCTTATAGGATACTTGCAACTGCTTCATTCTTAATTATTACTGCATTATATGGCTAAGACCACTGATTTCTTTCAAGTTTACATAGTAGGGAGTAGTGTGCTAATGATTGTGAGATACAATTTTAAACAAAAATCAAGAAAAATAGAATTTTACTTCAGTGTACTATAGAAGCAGATTTTAATAATTGTAAGCAGTGATTTTAAAAAAAATTGTTTAAGACGAGCCCTGATCAATATTAAACAATTTTGTAATACCTCAGATTTTAAGGAATACTCGATAATGAAACGAATTTTTGTTGTCAAATTAACGAGAGTTATAAAAAAATACGTGTTTTTGAGTACAATACAAGTAGTATGTGATTTAATATAGGAAACAGAACTAACGAATTAAGCATTTGTACTTTCCATTTGTCTTAAAAAAAACCAGCATCATTTTTACTCTTCCATACGTGAATGACAGACTGGTCAAAATTTCTAAGACATTTTTCCAATCTATATTTTTTGTAATTCACATGTTACTTGTTGTAAACTTATATTTTTAATGTGTATATCAATGAAAGTTTGCAGTAAGTATTCGCGAAACTACCTAGAGTCAATACCTTTAATATTGTTTTACACATTTCGTTAGCAATTAGATTAAGTTCTATAGAAGATAAGATGCGTTCAATTAATTCGAGTGCAAGTAGCACCTGCAAAGTTTTAAGTGAGACAATTCAATGTTATAAACTCCCGATATCCTTATTATTTCTAATATTTCTTAAATTTTAAATTATAATAAAAAATGATCTTTAAAAAAAAAAAATGGAAAAGCGGAAAATTGTATAATAACAGAGTATAAAAATTATAAGATAACCTATTTGTTAGGAGCCTAAATAAAGAATTATTTGCTAATTTTTGTAAACTTTAAAATTCGAGTTCAATTTATCCAATGATCTTTTTATTTTCAATGCAAATTATGTACAGTATTAAAAAAGAATAATTTGAAAGTAAAACTAACACTGTTTATAATAAAACGTTGAGATCTTTACAATAAACGTCCCCTGCAGTTACTGGCACCACATCTGCAAATAATAACTTTACCAGGTATACTTCCCACATCGTAACTATAATTCCAAGTTAGCTCTTGGCCAGCTCGGATGTAACTAAGAGCGAAGAAAGCGACCCACGGAAAGCGCACATCGTGGGTATCAACAAATACGTTCTGGACAAAAACGTTTGGATCGCAAGAGTGCTAATGTGAAAAATATATATTAGACAAACGATTGAAAACTCGATCAAATGTAGACATTTTTATTATACTTACATTAAGATAACGTCCAATATTTCCAGTAGTCTTAGCATCCATAATATAAACAGCTTCGTCTTCTCCGAAGAAGTCTCTGACTGATTTGAACTGTGCTTTGTCAATTTTCGTCGTGTCGACTGCGAGATCAAATTTACTCGGTTCACGAACGGCTTCTTCCTCATCGCTACCTGCTTTATCTTGTCCATCCTTAGACACACTGCCGTCTTCTGACTTGTCAGAAGTCAGATTATCTTCAGCTTTCTTTCTCTTTCTCAGTCTGCTCCTATTTTGGAAAATTAATATCATTTAGTAATTTTTACAAAACGTTTATCTGTTTGAACCGTAAAAATTTTAGAACCTGATAGAAGACGACCTCGAATCTTCATCTTCGTCGACGATATTCAGATTTTTCTGCAGCTTTTTATCAATACTAAAGTCATCATCAGAGTCATTAGAAGGAGCCTTTTGCAAATCTGATCCGTCGTCCTTTTTCTCGTTCTTCTCTTTTTCAGAGTCAGAATCTTCAAGAGCCAATTCGGGATCCAGCACGTCACTCTCGTAGCCTTCTTTAATACCCTCGACGACTTCGACGTAGTCGAGTTCAGCCAAGTACTCGTCTCCGTAATTTTTGCCGCCTTCGTTGGCTCCTTGTTCCGTGAGCAAACGTCCAGCATAAATGCAAATAAAGGAACCTAGTGGGATATCATTGAGGCAACGTATTCCCCAACCTCTTGGTGCAGTTTTGAACACTTGAAGTTTCAAATTAAGTGGGTGCTGAACTACTCGATTCAGGCACGTTTTCACAGAACACTTGCATCTGAAAATAAATACGCGAAAAATACAATCTTGATTATTCGCTAAAAATATATGATAAGCATACAATCTCTTTCGTTACCTAGAATTACACTCGTAAATACCAGTAGTAACAGCCTCCGGTAACCTTTTATACACATAGCCGACAGCAGCATTGGGTACACGACCACCAAGTGTAGCACCTTGGATGGTGAGTTGCCAGCATTGACATTTGTTCTTGTCGGCGCAATCGTCCTCGCAATCACAGCTGCACAAGAAGTTCGGATCGAGATTCATGTGCACATCTTCTGACGGTTCACGTTGCGTTGTGTACTTGATAGTGTCTGGGTACGCGTGATCAATCTCATTTACACAGGGTATCGGTACGTTTTCAACGCCATAACTTAAATCCTAGCCAAACGAACGATTTATTAGCTCTTTTACGAGATATTGTTAAAAAAAATTGTCGAAAATAATTTACCTTAATATTGACAAAGCACTTGTCAAGTACAAATTCTGCCAAACAATGCACCCAGAAATCAAATTCGAACAGATCCACCGACATCGGACACTTTGTCAGTCTCAGATACTGATGAAGCTCTTCCATATTCCTAAGACGAACGCCGCAAGGAGCTTGATAAAGAATGACCTTTTTGTTCTTAGGGAACTTGCATAGTTGTCGATTCCAACCGCATAGCAGAGGAATAGACAATGGCGAGTAACCGCGTAGATCATCTGGCGTGAAGGAGATACTTTTGACACAATCAGATCCACAACGGTGTGGTACGAACTTTTTCGTTTGTATCTTATTTTGTGTCTGGTAATACTGTTTGAACATAGGATTGTTAATCGTACGTGTTTGCTAGAGAGAATCGTAACGGTCATAAGTTCAGTAAATTTACAAATAAAAGAGAAATGATTGAAAGAATAAATGTTTTGAAAAAAAAGAAATTATTTAGTCATGAAATAATTAATGTATCGTCGGCAGTTAAAGTCACAAACAAAATTAATCGTGTTTTTAAATATATGTGAGTCGTGTTAGATTAAAATAAAAATAAAAAAGCAAAAGGTAGAGCAGTCAGCAAGGGTAACAGTTAATGTCAGTATTAGCGAACGTCGTATCAAATACACAAAACTCACAACAATACTATGAGAAGACTTTGTCTCCATATTAGCATTGTAAGGCGTTGCAGCTGGAGATTCTGGAAGACTTGGTTTCTTCGCAGTACTTTTTCGGGCCACAGCCCGGCTTTGTTGTGGAACTGCAGCTTGAGTTGGGGCACCCTCGACTGTAGCAACTTGTTTGCTCTTGTCGGACATAAGAGCATCGCGCTCGTCCGTTGCATTCGACGTGTATTCGACATAAGGTCCGTTTTTCTGAAATTTACGATAAATCGTCATGTAGCACTAATTATCCAGAATTATTGAACTTGAATGTACTGTCGAAAGCTCAACATTTCAAAATTACATTAATTTACACATTCCTTCTAGATAGAATTCGAATATAAGAAATAAAATTGACTAACGTTATTGACAGCAGCTCGTCTAGGTGTATTGATTGATGAGTGACAACCCTGTTGTCTAAGATTAGCTTTCATTAATTCCAAGTACAACGGTCCCAATCTTGCAGATCCACGATAGATCCATTCGGTTCTGTTATCCGCGTCAAAGTGCATTTGTACCAAACTTGCATCGACTTCACGTACACGCGCGATCCACCATTTGCCATTCCATTCGGTTTTCACTACTTGACCTTGTTGTAACTTAACCATTGGTCGCTCTGGATAAGATTCGAGGTACTTTTTGACGAAATCACGAGATTCCATAGGTATATCTTCCCATACGCGAGGAGAGCTATCGCAGACTAAATATATGTCTTTGTGTTTGACATACTGAGCATATCCGTCATCAAAAAAAATTAAGTATCTGTACAAAACAATTTTTTACAATTTACATGAATGGATGTGTTTGTGGTATATAATTTTAAAGGCAAGGTTAATGTACCTGAATTTATTGACTATCTTTGGAGGTTCAGCAATAACTCCACTGTAGTAGTTACTGGAGTTGAGATCTTGGAAAATGGCTACCACTCGAGTACCAACAGGGATAATAACTGGACTAGGAGTGTTAGAGGCCATTTGTTTGCCAGATAGTGTTTTCACTTGACCAGCATATTTCTTTTGGAGTAATTTGACTTTGTACTGCATAGGATTTTTGGAAATAATTGATACAACCTGCAAATAAAAATTGAATTAAATGGAATTAAATTTATCTAGAGTTTTACATAAAATGAGTTCTAATTTACCTTTCCTTTAACCCATGGAAATAATGGATGCTTTATAGTGAACACAAAGTCGTCAATCTCTGGTACAGGTTTAATTAAAAGACCACTAGGAGGTAAGTCCATAACATGAATTAAACGATTATCCCTTTCAACTTCTTGTAAAATCTCTGGTTGACTATCGTGTGGTTGCTGTTTAATTGGTGCCCGAACTTGAGTGACTTTCTTAGTTGCCACCAAAGGATAATTGGAGGTATTTGAAACTGTATCATCAATTATTAACTCTTCTTCCATGGTAATAGTTGGTTTGAATTCAGTATACAATGATGCACGCAGTTGATCTAGCTTAGTCATTGTGTCTGCAATGTCTTTATCCAAAGCCTTATTTTTTTCTGAGAAAGGTAGGCACAGTTATTCAAAAGATTTCAAAAAATGTTCTATTATTTCAATTATTACCATCAATTTCATCCCATTCACTTTTAAGAGCTGTCGTTGCCTCTTCAATTTGATAATTGATGTCATATTTTTTCATTACTTCTTTCAATGTTTGATCTACTCTTTTAGAAAAGTCTTCTAATACATCTTCTGTCACGTATATATCTAATAAAATTGTAATAAAAATATTTGTATTATTAATGGGTGGTTGATTCATTGAAAAGTCTGAGATACCTTTAATATTTGATCCATCGTCAGATTCGTCACTATCAGAAATCTCAACTTCCATTGTATGATCTGGGAAATCACATTGTAGCAGTGGTTTGTGCTCCAATAGTGCATTTACTAGTTGCTATAAAAATTAAATAAATTTAGTTTCAACATAATTCAAAACATTACTAATAAATCAACTTGACAATCTACTTCTTGATGATTTAAGGCGATATCAAAACAAATCTTGCAGATATGACGTTTCTTCTTCTTTTTGGTAGTGTTGACTCCATAAAATGCAATAGCAAAGGATGGTGCAGGCCTCATGTCCTGACCAGAGGTACATGTGAAATTAATGCAGTTAGTATTACAACTTTTTTTCTTGTCTTTCTGCACAGTTTGGACGTCATCGTCGGAATCTAAATCGATGACTTCTGCCGGTTTGGTATTCGACATTGTTGTAAATTGTGGATCGTTAATTCAATAACTAACTTTCTCTTTCAAAATCAACAAATTGTCAATAAAAGTGTAAACACATGCTAGTTTAATCGATCAATACACTGCAAGTTTAATACTTAATTTGTAAAATACTCAACGCTTCATTTTGAAACGTTTACAAACGTACGAAAGAGTTACATTTTAGTATTTACATTAAATTAACAAATATCGTTTTCAAGTGTTTTTGATTTAGAACAAAGATAAGGAATGAGCGCAATATCTTACCGCTCGCGTCTCCACGTTTCGCGGATTAGTGATTACTGTAATGTGGTTTGAGGGAGACACTGTTCCTTGGACGCTCATGCGTGCCGTTCATTCCGCGAAATTTAAACCATCATTTTGTCATGTAGAAAAAGGACTGACGCAAAATAATTTTTACTTAATTTTTTTATATGATGGATCTTCATGTGAACTATATTAGTTGTACGTTAAATTAATCAAATCATAAATTAAAAAATATAAAAGCAAAAATAATTGGTAAAACAGCATATTTAGTTAGAAGCTATTTAGAAAAATGGATATTATTAATAGCAGTGTCTATACTATATAAATTATTTACCATGTTTCAGATTAATCAATTATGACATTGTCTATCAAGTCAGTCGAAGAAGAAGAAAGTTGTGTATTAAACTTACCTGATTCAAAATTGTACAGAGATTTAAATGTAACTCACCAAGTCAATTTAGGAATCGATTGTGATATTAAATTCTACAAATCAGTTGTATTAGGAATATAAATACTAATTTAGACCTATTTACATAATAATTACTCTGTTTAATAATTATTTCATATTTACTATATTAAGAAATGTAAGCTTTCACATGAAAAATTTCATTCATTTTCGTGATTTCATTATTGATTTTAAATTTTCCCACATTTATAGCGCCCATGGAACAATGTCGCCTCTATAAACAGCAAAAGTCAAAAGACCAATCAAGATGTCCAAGATTCGTCAACGTCAAAGTGTGAAGTGTCAAGACTTAAAATATGTCGTGACAAGAGGTAAACTGACTTATCTACTGAGTTTTCGTGCTTATTTGAGCCAGTAAGTCGGTCTAGATATATTTATATATATATCATATAAGTTGCTCCATATATATTTGGTAATAGATATATGGCTAAGGTAAAGCGGTGCTTTTGAATATTTCGTCGTGCAGCGTCATATTTTTCTGCCGCGCGATCAGAATCTGCTTTGTTACACTAAAAAGTTTTCGGTCGTTTCGAATTTCGCTTCACAGTAAAAAACAGCCAGTATTAAAACAACGTGTTATATTTTGGTGTAAGTTTTCTTTTGCCTAACGTACTAAAAGAATTTTATTTGCGTTACTCAATGGATTAAAAAAAATTTTGTTTTTCGGACATGGTCGCCAAAGACTGCGCTGCTTCGAATTGATCCAATAAAGTCGTGCAATTTGATCGACGCTTACTTCGAAACCGATTCGCGTAAAACGAGAGAACCTCGGCAGCAAAGTATCGAAAACTCTTCAGCAAAAATAGGAATATCCTGCAGCACCTCTGCGATTGGAATTTCTACTGGGACTCGACTGGCGTCTTTTCATCTTGATCTCGTTCAATTTATCCCCTTGAGTAGCCGATCCGTCATCACTTTGAAATATCTTGTTGGTCGAGCTCGTATTGTAAAGTTTGTTATTCTCGCGAGCTGACGAGCATTGGTTTGCATTCAGCATCGGCAGTTTTGCTGAAGCGCAAACGAGTAAAAGACTTTCCGTTATTGCTCGCATGTATTTGTCAAGTGAGCATAGTTGAGAATGCAAATACCGCTGATAGTTCTATTGAAATGTCTCTTACTGAGATAATCTCTAAAGCGAAGCTTCCGATCCGATTTCTCTTCTATCGAGTATATTCCATGCTTGTGATGTAAAATCAAATTTTCGTCCCCGTAGTGTCGTAGTCTTAAAGAGCGAATCGGCAAGCTGATTCATTGGCGTTTCGCGCGATTTTGAGATGTCTATCAACGAACCTGAACCGTCGACCGTCGCGCCAGAGACTGTCCTCCATCTCTTCGAGCCAGGTTTGCTGATAACCAATGACGGAACCCGGTCGGCAGATTCTCAACCAGGCGATCGCCTCTTTCGCCGACATTTTGTAGTGTTTCATTATGTAAGCCGCGATCAACGTGCCGGTCCTTCCCAAACCTGCCTGTGCTCGTTCAATTCGTTGCGATCACCGGAATGATCGGAGAACAATTGGCACTGCTCGAGTGGGTAGAATTACCTTGCAGTGCACGGCTATCGCTCCCCTGGTGCTCTCGGCCACTTGCAGAAATTGCTTCAAGATTCTTTTGGGCGGAGCACTACCGTCCGGGAAGAACATGTCGTAATGCAGTATCCCGGCGTTGGTAAATCTACGATCGGAATTGCCATTAGAATGAGAAGCAGGCGACCGGCAGGTAGCAGGTCCCTTAGGTGGGAACAGCAACCTGAACGTCTCGTAAGTGCGTCCATTGAGCCTTATCACGGCCGCGACCTCGTTCTTCATGAAGTAGTTCAAGTACTTCTCGGGATAGTGCGAGCTGCTTCCGCGCTCGGTGCTCGGTCCGAGGAAGGCAAGGAACTTTTGCGGAACGATCCAGTTCAAGTCGCCGTTCCGTAGCTGCTCGTAATTCTCGTACTCGCTCACGTCGAAGTCATCCAAGTTGACAAAGCCCAACGAGGCTGCCTTGCTCAGGCCCTTCAAGCAATCTGCAATGTCGAGGAAGCGTCCAATCAGCGCTTATCCGCCTCGAATTGCCGTCAGCGTCGTGCGCACCGATCAGTTTGATGTTGTAGCAGGAAGATCCGATGGAGGCGTCTTGAAAAGGCTTCAATGGTGGAGCATCCTTCGGCGCGATCAGCTCGAAAGCTTCGATCGGCGACTGCTTCAAATACAAAACAGAGTACGAGGTTGCCAGAAAGGCCGCGTTCGCTCGTTTGTCTGGGTTCGCGCGGCTAAAATGGCATATCTGCTGCAGTTTGCCCTCGAAATCTCGCAAAATTTTGTTGACGCCCCGGCAATACCTGAACGAATGTGAATTTTCAAATGGTGTTCATTGGGACGAGATGAGAGTACAAGTACCTGTAGAGACATGCAATGCTAAGCGGCCCAAAATCGTTGTAAAAGTTATCGTAGACTAAATCATCGTCGGTGTTGAAAAAGTAGATGTTTGAAGCGTCCTTCGGCACGAATTTGCCCGGTAACACGGTCGCGAAATAAAACCGATTCTCGATCAGTTCACTAACCACCATAAGATCCGGGTGACGGTAAATGTTTACGTAGCTGGCTGATTTATCCGATCCTGGTAATAATAAAAAAACACGCGACGTTAAAAAAACTTGTGAGACATATAAGAAAGCTAACTTACTTCTATAATTGAACGCGGAATTTTCAGGATCGTTAGAGCGTACGAAGTGATTTAGAGATCGCCTGAGCATGTTTGCGTTTGCATCCAGAGCATAATTTTTCAAGTCATGCTCGGTGAATTGCTTGAGTCTCTTTAGAAACGCTGAAAACGGTTTGACTAATGACATGAAATTTGTATGCAGTCCAGACATTATATCTTCGGTAAAATCTTAATTGCAAAGATTGTATTATTGTAACCTTAAATTATCGAGTTTTTAAGAATCATCTTAAATGACGATTTTCCCATTGCTTACGGATCAGTCAGATTGCTTCTTTGAATAAAATACACAGCAAGATTTTATTACAATAATTTTTTCATTTTTAATTTTTTAAGTTTTTTTAAAATCTATATGAAATCCATTATTTACTTTTACAGTCTTTTATTTTTTTTCTTAGTCAAAAAAGTAAATAGAACAATGAAAATAGGAGGTGTATTACGTATGAAAACATCAAAGAAAACTCATTTTGTAAGAGATAATACATCATGTATTTTTATATTAATAGGTTTTAAGTTCAAACTTGTGACTTCAAAGTATTTCCATCGTCAATACAAGTCATACATGTACAGATAATCGCCAGTATACACAATCAGTTTGTTTCTTTTAAACGCTTATCTCACATAAGTTTTCTGTGAACGGAAAAAAACTTGAAGAAGAAGAGTAGAAACAATCAAAAACGTGCGCAAAGAAAATAATACATCATTTTTTTAAATATAGGAGATACTTTTTTTCAATTTTTTTTTAAATTCAAGTGCAAATTTCATAGTTTTAACAAACTTTATAAGTACGTCATTAAGTATATAATGTACAATTTTCTTCAAGAAAAAGAGAAAAATGACAAATATATCACGCAGCTAAACATCTTCATCTAAAATATATATAATATATAGATTTATCATAGCTTATCTGCTCGATTTTTTCTCATTTAAAAAATCGAACACCTGGCCTTTATTTGGCATAATTGCAGAGTTAAGTCACGGAAAAAAACGAAAATCAATTTTTTTGTGACTTCATATCAATAATTTGAACTATACATACACAATAAATACTTATACACTTCTAGACAATGAATTATTTTTTTATTATCATTTATTGTTGATTAAATGCGAAAATTCTTATGTTTTTTGTTGTTTTATATTGCTATAAGTTTGCCATTCTCATGTCTATAAAAAGGAGGAAGTACACTTGTTCTAAGTGAAACATTTACAATTTTTTTTTTCGAAAATGAATTAGGTAACATTCTCACTCTAGATATTAATTTTTTTAATAGCTACATAAGTAATCATACGAAAAATGCTTTTGACTTACTGTTACAATATTGTAGAATAAAAATAATGAATTCACTTTATACAAAAATTCTTATACTTGTCGCTATTCTCTTGTTATCCAAATAAGTCTTACAACATTCATACTACAATTTCAAGAAAAAAAAAATTTATAACAAAACTAATTTTTCAGAGAAAAAAACAAAAACAACTGCAATTGCCTAAAGAATGTCATTTTTTCTTTTAAATTATATATCTTTCAAAAGATGACTTGTCATTACACATTTTAATCTATAGTCGACATTTCGTATACTCGTTTTAAACGTAAAGCATCGAAAGCCGCACGAAAAAAAATAAACAACGCTATATGAAAAAAAAACAGATTTACATCCATTTTTTATCTTGCTAAAGCACGAATTCCGCATCTTGCGGCATACCGATGCAAATCAACAAAAAAAAAATATCGCGCGCAAGTTTCGTTTAATTATATAATAAATAAAGAAACTTAGGAAAATAAGTTCATTTTCACGCTATCTATACACAATTAGTCTAAGATTCTTTAATTTATGGCGAAACGTCAATTCGTTGTTCATACTCGGAAATTGATTTGAAAGAAAGAAAAAAAATTAATTAGTATTAAATATATAATAATTAATGAATATAAATGACAATGATATACAATTAATAAAAGTGTCAGGCATTCGATTGCCTGTCTTTGGTTATGGACCGACGCTCATCGTCACCTCGTCGTCATCGTCGACCTACATGTTAATAAGGCCCCATGGGCTGCCTCTTGTTTATTTGTATTTTTTACTTACATAACTAATAAATCTTACGGCGCTGCTTATATCGCAGAAAAACAGCTCTACTTGTATATATAATTACAGCTTAAGTACTAGGAGCACATAATGTCTTGTATTTTTAAGTGTGTGCCTGACGAGAGAGAACAAAAAGTTGCATGCTATTTACACACTCACATTAAAAAAGGAAAAAGAGATAGATAAATAGAGGGGGGGGGAGTAAGAAAAAGAAAGAAAAAATAAGAAAGAAGAAAGAAGAAAGAAGAAAGAAGATAGAAGAAGATAAAAGAAAGAAAACAGAAGACAGAAGAAATAAGAATGAAGAATGAAGAATGAAGAGAGAAGAGACTCACTCTACTCGCGAGATATGGAGTAGGTATACCAGCACTTCTGTCTTGTCAGCCGAGCGACAATAACAAAAATCGCTCGCCCAACAAGCAGCACGTGCACCAAGTTATAGCAGCTACTTAAAGAGTGCGCCAGAGAGATATATAAGTACTATAATCATCACTAATCGAAAAGAAAAACGAATAGAAAAAAATTATCGCGAACCCTCTTAACGGCAAATGTACAATGCGCGGTTCTCTTCAGTCATGATTGCCTTTGATACCAATGAGCTTTGCCGCATCGTCGATCGACGATTGTAATGCTCTATCAATGATACTTTTATCCCTGATACCCAACAGGTTCGAGATCAAATCCGTGTTGTCCGTATTATCGTTGGCATCCACGTGTATCGGTGACATACCAGCCGACAATTTACCCAAATTGAACCTCATCGCTAGACTAGGCGCTGCGTCACCAGTCGCAACACTGGCAACTTGTGGAAGCGATGCACGATCCTGTAGTGGTGCTTGTGGCGCTGCTTGCTGCTGTGACATCAATGTCGGCGGTGTGTTGTTATCTTCGTCGCCGCTTGTACCAACGTACATACTAGAATCCGCACAGCCGTGTTTCTTACGATGACGCAGCATACTATGCTTCAGGGTGAAGCGACGACGACACACGTCACATGAGAATGGGCGCTCTCCTGTGTGAGTGCGCATGTGACGACGTAGATCTTCCGCCGACCAGAAGCGACGCATGCAGAACGCGCACACGACCTGCAAAAAATTCATTTCACTGTTATCAGACGACGATTGTTCATGTGTTTGCTAGAGGGATTATGTTTGTTTGCCGAGAGGGTGAGAGAGAGCGAGAGAAAGAGAAAGAGAGCGAGAGAGAGAGAGAGATTAGACAAATGAAACATTTTGTGTGTTTACTTTTCCTTTTCAAAGCTTTCGGCAAATATTTAATGAAACTCATAAAAGAAAAGTTACAATTGCCAATAAAACATTCTAAAAGAATCAAAGACATTTACCTTTCTGTTGCTGTAATCCGGAAATCTGCCGCGTCTCTCTTCGCCATCGCTGGGTTGAGGTTGTGGTGGTGGTGGTGCAGGTGGCATCTGCTCTTCTAAACTGTCAATGTCCATGTCCAAAGCACCTTTGGCAACGAGCATCTCATAAGACTGCTCATGATTGTCCTTGATGTGCTCGAGGCAATCTTGTCTCTCTGCAAAACCACTGTCGCAAAGATGACACTTGAACGGCTGCGACTCAGAATTGTTATTTGGTGCGTTGATTGGATTTGCCGACAGGGGCGATTCTGATATCGGTGACGTTCTGCGTGACCTACATGCAGCATCATTAGACGATGTCTTGGAAATATCCATGGGCGTCGATTCAGATACACCGGATGATTGACTCTCGTAGCCACTCTGATCATGATTACTTTTGGTTTCTTGATCGTGATGCGTCGATGGACTGCAGTCTTGTTGCGGACATTCGTCTTGTGCTGGGCTTAGTTGGGGTTCGCTTGATGCAGGCGATTCGGGTCGGGACTTGCTAATGACGACGTATTGGCCGTGCTTCGTCGAGCGGTGCTTCTTGAGGTTGCTCTTCGTTGAGAAAGTTGAGCTTGGACACTGGTTGCACTTGTATGGCCTTTCCGGCACGTTTCTGATCGTAAATTGGTTATTACTGTTATTCTGCTGCTGCTGTTGTTCTTGTTGTTTTTGTTGTAACTCGTGCTGTAACCGTTGATGTTGCTCTTGTTGCTGTACCTCTAGATGTTGCTGTACAGGGATGATGCTCACTGGTGGTGGTGGAGGCGGTGGTTCTTGGATTTCCGGCGACGATGTGCTCCTTGTTCTCCTAATATTGTTGATTTTGTTCTTGTGTTTTCTTAGCAGATGACGATCACAGTTACTCTTAGTGGTGAACAGTAACGAACAATGCATACATTGATAAGGCTTCTGTCCGGTGTGCGTGAGGATGTGTCTTCTTAGCGACGACGTCCAAGGGAATGGTCTCTCGCAGTAAGGGCAGATCACACGATTTGGTGCCATCGAATAAGCCGACTTCTTCTTCTTTTTCTTCTTCATTTTCTTCTTTTTCTTCGAGGTCGTCGACGAGTGTCCTGAATTACCAGAATTCACAGAGTCACTTTTTTCATCGCTACCAGATTGATTGCAGTCACTCGTCGAGGCGACAAGGCCTTCCTCATCGCTCATGTAGCGTGGATGAAATTGCGAGTAATTCTGACTCGCATTGTCGACAATCTCGGATACACTTGCTAAATCTTCACCCATCAGATGTTCGTCCTTGAAGTCTGGACATATTTCCATCTTCACTGGCTCTTCATCTTCCTTATTAAAACAGTCCAACTGTTCTTTCTTCACCTCATCTTTGACCGCCTCATCGTTAACAGCCTTGGACTCGATGTTAGCCTCTAATTTGCCTCTCAACAAACTCAACGTTCTCTCCGACGGCTCCTTAGCCTCGGCAGCAACATGCTTTTCCTCATCGATAACCAAGTCCTCGTCCGACTCGTTATTATCCTCAACCTTGTTACCTTTCAACTGTTGCGCCAAGATAGCGTACTTCACTTGATCCGAGATTGCGTGCTTGCCGTAATCTTGACTTAGATTCTGGCCTGTTGGTAACAAACTAGAGTATGACTGTTGGTTTTGATTCCAATGATGTACTAACGTTGGTGGATTCGCTGGTGGTCGGCCTCTCGTCGAATGTCCACCTCTTGGTCTTTGGGACCAATGTTGTGGATGTTGTTGCTTCACGTGTCTCTCCATATTACTTCTTAGAGTAAATCTCGCAGTACAGAATTCGCAAGTGAACGGCCTTTCAGTTCTGTACCTCCGTTGCTTTTGCTTCGGAATCAAGACACCATTCTTAATAACCATCTTGACCGAGGAATTCTGCGAGACTGGTTGTTTCTCGCTTGGACTTTTGCTTGGCAATTTGCTCAGCGGCGTAAAATCGCTTTGCTCGGGATTCCTCACCGGTGGCTGTGGGTAAGTCGGATAGCCAGGTTCGACTAAACTACCACCGCTGGTTTGTAATCCACGCACGAGCTCTTTTTGCAAGCGATCTTGTTTGATGAAATCTTGGCCGAATAGATGAGGTCCAAAAAGATATGGCTGCAACGGTAGACTGAAGTTTCTATAAAGCATGTGTGCTTGCGAAGCGTAGTAACTTTCTAGCGAACTTGGCTGTTGTGCATTAGCCTTGAGTAACGCTTGCGTGAGAAGCAGTTGATTGGTCGCGCTGTAGAAGTCTTTCGGCTGCTGTTCGGTGGTCGTCTTGGCTGCTGCGGCTGCAGCCGCGGCTGCTGCTTTCTTACTGAGATCCAGGACGTCCATCGACAAATCCAACGGAGCATCTTCACCATTTATATTAGAAATCTCGGATTTCTTTGGTTCATCATCTTCATCGTTAATCTTGGGTTCATCGACCAACTTCACGCTGCATCCATCCGATGATCTTGAGTCGGCTTCTTCATCCATCGGTTTCTCGTCAAGTCTACTGCCATAAGTTAATTCCAAAGGTTGTATCGGTCGTGGAAACATACTCTCACCAATCGGATGCAGTGCCGGTATATTACTCTGCGTTCGCAATTTAGCCTCGTCCTTGATGCGGATTTCGCCGTAAGCCGGTGGATCATCATGGTAAACCAAACTCTTTCGCGCATCCGAAGACGTAGAACTTCTCTCGAGGCTGCCGTCATTCGTCGAATCTTCACTCGGATGATAAATGAGTACACTCTTGATCTCCTCCCTCGACAATTTACCATGGCGATTTCTCACATGTCTCTCGCAGTTAGCCTTGGTAGTGAAGGCATAATTACAAAGCGAGCACTCATAAGGACGATCGCCGTTGTGCGATCTGAGATGCCTCTGCAATGTGGCCTTATCCATACTGCTGTAGGGGCACATGTTGCATGGATACGGCATACCAGGCCTCACGTCCATGTGCTGACGATTGTGTCCTTTGAGCGCACGCAAATTGGGGAATACAGCTGAACACAATCGACATGGGAATTCACCCTTTAACTTCATCTTGCGGAATTCGGCGGCGAAGGCGTCTTGCGCTTCCTCCTCGTGTGCGTACTCCGACGAAGGCGTACCCGAAGATCCCGACGAGCCGAACGTCTGTTGCTTGATCTTGCAGTTGTCCGGTGTGCTGGCATCCGACCGCGAAAAGCTTTGTAAAATCGGCCCCGACGTCACCGAGATGATACTCTGAATGTCGGCCAGATCTTTGCCCTCTTTAGCCTCGACCATCGCGGCTTTGTTTTGCAAATCCAAGCCGGCGAAGAAGTCGTCGCGGGAAGAATGATCGCGGCGCTCGGTCAATGGCAATTGTCCGCAGTCGATCTCGTGCGCGTCCAATGCCGAGCGACACGGGAAGCCACGCAGGCACTTGGAACATTGGTACCTCGTTGTCTCGCCACTGACCGGTCGGTGAATCGATTGCTCGCAGACGGCACGCGCGATGGCCGGGAATTTGCCCGACGAAAAGTCGATGAAGGTCAGGTCGTTGAAGCCCACCACGGAATTGTTTCGCTGACTTTTCGCATGATTGCGCTCCACGTGCGCCTCCAGCTGCGCGTCCGTGGCGAAGTCGCGTTTGCCGCAAACGTTGCAACTGAGATTCGTCGTCGCTTCGATTTCCGTTCGTGAATTGTTCAGCAGCACTTTGTGCCTCCTCGAGCCGTCGCTGTCGTCGGGATGTTTCCTCTTCAGTTCCGGCGATGTTCTCTTGGCAATTTCGTTGTTATTGTACTCGGCTTTCATCGGTCTTTCGGAATCGCTGCTCGCTTCGGAGTCGGTGCAACTTGTCGGACCACCGTGCGCCGTGCGTAGGTGTCGGTTCATGTTGCCGTTGGTGGTGAAAGCCATGTCGCAGTATTTGCACTTGAATGGTCGTTCGCCCGAGTGCACGAGTATGTGGCGATCGAGGGACGACGCGGAGGACAGAACTTTGTGGCAGACGCCGCACGAATAGGATTCGTCCTCGTCGGTTGTCGCCGCGTTGCTGCTGCTACTCGTCGCGCTGTTGTGGCCACGCAAGTGCGTCGTCAACTCGCGAGTACTACCGAAGATCGCTGGACAAGCCGGACAAGTATGCTGCTGCTGCTGCTGAGGTGGTTGCTTGTCCAGGCTGACCTTGAACGAGTAAGGATACTGTGAACAAATGGGCAAAAGGAGAGGGAGAAAGACGTGCGTTAGTGCTCTGAAATTCGGTGCTGTAAAAATATTTTCTATACGCAATGCAGTGTATAACTAAGTAATAGCTTACAAAACGTTCGTTAGCGCAATGTGACTTTCGATTTTTATTTTTTTTATTTTCAAAATTTACTATTAATCAATTTAATTATACATAATATGATAACTTCACACTATTCTTTCTGGACACTTATGTATTTTCATGTTGAGCGTTTCGGTGGAAACCTACTCAGTATGCAGTGTAAAGGACGATTGGACGTATACAAGTAAAATAAAATTAAGAGAATGAAATGTTGACAAAAAGTAGCGAACATTCTGTTTATAAACGTGAATTGATGAAAACTCTGTAACCGAGATGATAATTGTTGCAAAACATCGCACAAATCACTCGATCGATAACATCGGAGATTGAAAAGAAAATTATCTCTCGCGTTATAATCACAACAGAAAGCTTTACACACAACGCTTCCACGAATGTGAATACGACTCTCTTCGAGATGTCGCGCGATTGAATTTCCAAGAAATATTGCTTTTGCCTTTCAATCTCGATCTCCTGTCGTCGTTTAACAACAGCAGCAACAACACAAAGAAAAAATAAGGAAAATACAGCCAGCATAACGACAATTATCATCTTGCGAAGGTCTTTCGTACGTATGACGCAGAAGACTGAGAGAACCTACCAGTGGCGACGATGATGCAACATCCGCTCGACTCTCGTCGGGACCAGTCGTCTCGGCCGTCACTGCAAGCAAGCAAACGAATAAACGGGTTAGGTCTCTTCGAATCGCGCTCGTGTGGGTGAGCTTTTACAGGTTTATATCCCACGCTTGGAACCGCAGAGCCAGAGCCAGAGCCAGAGCCAGAGCCAGAGGTAGAGGTAGAGGTAGAGGCAGAGACAGAGAGAGAGAGAGAGAGAGAGAGAGAAGCAGCATCCGAGCCGGATGTTGCGGCTACCGGCTGCTGCTCCTCTCGCGCGCGTGAGACTCGAGTTCCTCTCGCATCGCGCCCTCGAGAGCGACAAGTCGGAGGCAGATTTTTCACGCGCGAACTTGACCCATATTCCCGAAAACGAACAACGAACATCCACGTTTGTTGCTCCTGCGGCGGAGGGACGCGCGTGCGCACTGACCTCGCGGCTTTCGCGTGCACGCGAGAGAGAGAGAGAACCGCAGCGCACTCGCGGCGGTTCACGGCCGATTCCGCCGCGCCAGCGATAAGCGGCAGACGACGATCGATCGAGCCAACCAGCCTTCCGGGAAACTACGGCGCGTAGCCGCGTCGCACCGCGCAGATTCCATTGTCCGCGAGATGTGCTGTGTCGTGAGCTCAATTCCGCTGACCGACGCGCACCATATTCGAGTTCGCGGAAGGGCTTCGGCATTGTTATTTTCAAGAGAGCTCGTCGATATTCCACGGTGAGACGTCGGACAAAGCTGTTTTCCTTTTTCGTTCGCAGGACGGTAAGGGCTCACGGCCTTTTCCTGCGGCGATAGCCACGTTGGAACACATTAACCATATTCGTGTATTATCGTTCGAGCGAACGAGCCTTCAATAGCAACGAAATACACAGACGAAACCTGAGCCGCGCGTCTTTCTCTTTCATTGACGTGCCAACGATCTTCGGAAGAAAGGAAAAAAAAAAGCAAAAGCGAGGGTGGAATAACCCCATCGAAATTTGGGATACTCCAGCCGCGCCCTATTATCGATCGCTTCCTCCTGCCGCGCACACGCGCGCGTTCTCTCCCCGTACGCGCAAAACTCCTGCACACACGAGAATCGCAATTGAGCCATCGCATGATTACACATTATTATTCCTCGATGGCCTGCAACCTCTCATTTTTAATCGAGCGCAGCCGCGGTTTTTGCGGTCGCTGTGGGTTTTTCAGTTTGTTTGCTCTTCTGCCGGGCAGCAAGTTTTCCCGCGCCAGATGGCGGCAGGGAGGAAAGAAGGAGGGGAAGGCTGAGATTACGATAATGGACACTCGATGAAGTTATCGCGGCCGTGCGGTCGCCGCGCCAAACTACCGTCGTCGTTGTTTGTCGCGCGTCGAACGCCCCAGGGTGGCGAGCGAAAGAAGGCGGGATGCTGCGTAGGATGAAAGAGCGGGGGCGTAACCCCGACGTCGCCGCGATTGGTCGGCCGAGAGAACGATCTCCCTGCCCCCACCATCCAATCAGCTTCCGATGCGCGCACGCGCTCGACGCTCTTCCTACTCTCTCGGCAAGCTCGGCGAGCGCGCGATGGGATTTCAATATGTTCGTGAGCAAAATTGTTCGTGTGAGTTTTTCAGGGAAAAGCGAATTTCCGCTCGAAATCGTTACTTTCATTCGCTCGCAATGCGATCCACCCAAAAAAAACACCGGATCATCATACGCTCGAACGAAATCGCCATTTAATCATTCCCTGCATTTCCAAGCCAACGAGAGAAAGAGTGAACGAAGTCTCATACACGTAAGGCAAAGCCGTCATTACGTTTCCAAAAAAAAAATCGTAATTACAACCGAGACAGCGAGCAAACGAGCGAGCGCAAGAGGGGAAGGCAGTCGGACGCACAAGCTGTGTATGGACTTTGGTTGCCGTTGGCAACGCGCTAAGAACAATCAGCTACGCCTGCTCTCCCCTTTTCTTCGAGCGGAAACACCACCCGCACGCCGCGCTTTCGGACGCAGCGCCGGGAGTAAGATGGCGCGTGTTAGTGTGTTTCCAGAACTCCGTAACCCTGACAACCTTGGACTTTCCCACCCCGTGTGCGTAGATGTGACGAACGTGATAGTGGTGAGAAGTTTGGCAGAATGGTGTGTCGATCGCGGCTTATTGCTCTTTCTAGATGACAGATGAAGGAACGGAAATTCACCGGATTCATCGAGACTTCAAGAGAATATCGAATCTGACAAAGTTGTTCGAGGTTTGATGTCGCTGGCGCTCTTGGGCATCGTTCAACTTGACATTGATTCGTGGGAGAACAACAAGGCAATTCATTAAAGAGCAGCTTACATAGCACTGACCTATTTACTTTTTATTTCAGTGCAGTCTGTACAGCCTCATGACATGGTATGCATGTGCAAATCTGAAAATACAATTTGTTCATTTGCTGATCCGTACTCCAAACTGTCGCTCTTGCAGTTCCGAAAAACAATCAATCGACACCCGTCTATATATCTTTCCCTCTTCATCATCACCTTAGAATAAATGCCAATTACAAAATGTCCTTTAAAACAAAAAGAACAGGAAAAAAGCCAAACTCATTAAAAGTAAGAGTAACATATATACGTGTGTGTGTGTGTGTGTGTGTGTGTGTGTATATGCAAGGCTCTACATAACTCTCACGCTTAGCAATCGAATGAAAAGTTGCAGTCTCTAGAGCTTTTTTCTTTTTTCCAAGAGACAGATAGACAAGACGAAAAGATATAGCGGAAAGGTCAGAGCATTTGCGCGTCGCTTATACTCGGCGAGGGAGAGGGGGTGGCAAGAAGAGAGCATAATGCATACGACAGGGTTACGTGGCCCAACCGCGCGACTCCGCATAAGGGATAAAAAAGAAGCTTGGACGATGACGACGAGCATTTATAAGTGCAGAAACGGTGGCGGCGCATATCGAGGTCGCGATGCGTGTGCTGTCGCGCTATTTTGTAGGTCGCGCTGTGAACTCACGAAAATTCGCGAAAACGCTTGTACGTCGCTTGTGCCAGGTAAGAAGTCGCGCGAGCACAGGTGTAAGCGGCGAGATAATCATCATCGTCGCATCATTTTGAGAGAATCTCCGCGCCAGTGATACGTGTTTGTAAACAGGCGCGTGTCTCGCGCGGAGCGAGAAGGACCGGTAGCGACGGCAGACAGGATTTCTCGGAAGACACTATTAAGGCCAGCTTCTCACTCGCACTTGATATCTGGTTTTGGGCGCGCGTGTCGCGAACGAGTTTCGCATGATGAGACACCTGACATCTCGACCGCAATGCAAATCTCCGCAAGGCGTGCGACATAAATCATTCATCTCAAAAGAGAGAGAAAGAGAGAGAGTAAACGAAGCACAGCTTCGTCGTGTTCCCAATACTTTCGGGGCGCGGCGAAGGGAGAGAGGATAAAAGACGTGGGTGGGGCTCGAGAAAGAGAGACGTTGCGAGAAGGGATGATGATGCACGCGAGAGACGTGAGGGTGGCTTTTTGGTAGTGTGCTACAATATTGCCACGCCCTTGCTAGATTTCTTCCGTTTCTATTTCCAAGGAAAAAGATATATTGTTTCACGTTTCGAAAAATGAAAGGAATGCACATCTGTTTGTAATGCTCAAGAAGGTCAGATGCTGTTTAAAAATCCGAGAGAAGCGCGCGACGGACGAGAAAAAAAAACAAAGTGCGGTTGAAATAAAAGCGAATCAAAGTCCATCTTTCCCTCTCTTTCTCTCTCGTGCGGCGAAAAATTTGATATTCGCGATTATCACGCTCGCGGCGAAAACATGGATACATAGACCACGGCTGCCGCATCACCACAGAGTATGAGTTGTTTTGAGAAGAGCTTATTTTTAATGCACGGAATCTGACTGTCGACACAGTCATCTCGCTCGCGACATTGAAAAATCGAGCAACGTATTGTCCTCGCACGAACGATGATGAAGGCGCATTTCCTCTCGTTGCATAAATATTGTAAGTTTGTCTCACGTGACAATCGAAAGATAAGAGATGCTGTTGTTTATCGTTATTTTGCTCACCTTTGGCGATAGAAAAGTCCATGCCGAGAGCTGCTGCTGTTGGCAGCGGCGTGTACTGCTTAAAAGCTAATCGACTCATTCAGCTTCTTCGTGTCGGTCGCGCACATCACGCAATAAATCACACAATTTTTCCTCTTTCTTGCAGTGGATCACACACTCGGATCGCCGCGAACTTGAACGTTGTAGCTGTGCAACCAAAACGGACTGGTATGTGTATATGTATGTGTCCGAATGCGGAAAAAATGGTGTAGATGGTATATGTGTACGCACACCTCGGCGACGCCGCTGCGACTGCTGGCAACAGCTAGAGAGAGGAGTGACTAGCGCTCTGTGCTGTGCTCGGTTCAGATCAACTCTCCCACCGCCAGCGGCCACCGCACGCGCCTGGCCTGACTCTCTTTTTCTCTCTCCCCCTCCCCTTCCTCACTCACTCTCTCTCTCTCTCTCTCTCTCCCTGTTCTGCTCTGCTCCGCGCTCTCCCTTACCTTTCCTTCCCGCTCTTCGGGCTTCCTCATCTGCTCTCTCTGCTCTCGCGTTCGCCCCACGACTACGAGAGGTGGAAGAGTGGGGACGCAGACGGACGCGACGGAGCTTTCTTCCCCTCTTCTCTTTCTCTCTCTCTCTCTCTCTCTCTCTCTCTCTCTCTCTCTCTCTCTCTCTCTCTCTCTCTCTCTCTCTCTCTCTCTCTCCACGGCGGCGGCATATAGAACTCAGGTGCAACCGGGGACGCTGCGGCTGCATCGATTTTTTTGGACGATCGCCGCTGCGCTCGTGCGCTTACGTGTGTCTGCCCATCCGTGTGTTACTGCGGGTGGGAGAGATGCGATGATCTCTCGGCAAGAAAAATAATCGCGTTAGACGATGCTTTCGTTGAAATTTGTTGTTCGAGAAGCGTTTATTGCTGCGCAGCTCTGCTGCTTTTATCTCCACACTCGAGACATTGATAAGCTTGGAAAAAGAATTATGCACACACACACGGAGATTAAAAAACCGCCGTGGATTGCGTTTTTTTTCTTCTCTAAAAAGCAATGTCGTCGTCGAGAAATGGTCCAGTCACGTACACGCAAGATTTCTCGGTAAAAAACATCTTTTCACGTGAAACCCTTTCAAAGATGCGCGACACACATGGCTTCTCTCTCTCTCTCTCTCTCTCTCTCTCTCTCTCTCTCTCTCATTCGGCTCGGAAAGTATACGTGACTTCTGTTACTTATTCTCTTATGCCTATAGTCTCCTTTCGGATGCATGCATTCTCTTTTCACTTGAATTTCAATGATTACGCTCGATTACGCAGGAGACATTTGAGGCTTTTTTGTGCGATAAGTTCTCTCACGCTTTTTCATGATAAGTTCTCTCTCACTCTCTCTCTCTCTCTCTCTCGTTAATTTTCAGTGAGATTTTCACTGTCTACCGCGTATACCCGTCTGCCAAAGTGGACTTTACCCGCATTGACGTCACCGGTGTAGCTGGGCCGTTGGCGCGTTTCTCTCTGGCGCATGATGAGTAAATAAGATCGCTGTGTACTTTTATAAATTTGGAGGGCTCGTTGTTTCACGCATTAATTTATTTGGAGGCGTGATAAACAATATGCGAAGCCTGTCGAGAATGAGAGAACGTTGGTTTCTCACGACGAACATTTCTACCTGTAAAACGTCGATGAACTTTCTACAAAAGGTAAATCGATATCCATCTTACTGCCACCAAAAGTGCCCTCCGATATCAACGTACAATCAAGCGGCTCGCGTACCTTTCCCGAAGCCCAAAATCAACGCGAGGATCGAAGCCTGCGCGCGCGCCCGCGTCAATCTGCGTCGCACTAAAGTATGAAAATCGCGGCGATTCTCGGAAGGGGATCCCACTACTCCGGGCCGCGCGCACTCGCATCTGAATGTCCGATCTGTCGGGCGGCGCGTACCGTAGCGAGGCGCGTCGGGCCATCGGTCCACTTTCGTCGGCCGGCCATTAAGCTCGCCGTATCACTTGGAGGGTTGACTCCTCGACGGTTACGCGCGAGCGCGCGCTTCCCTTGACCTGCGCGGCGATCGGCCGCCGAGCGAGCGCGCCCAGCTGCAGCGACTTCTCTCGCGCCGGCAAAAAACCGAGCGCCTAAGTAGGCTCCGCTATCTCTCGCGCTTTCTCGCCTCGAGCGCACAATGCCGGCGCGCGCCGATGACGACGTGCTTTCTTTCGGCACTATAACGAATTTCGCGCTGGACCTTTTGCCGTTGCCGTGCGCGCGCCGATGAGTTTTGCCGCCAAAATGAGTCCGCGACTTACGGCATTCGGACGTTCGTGCGCGTGCGTAACTCCATTGTTCGCCGATCAAGCATGCCAAATAACCTAATTGTACGCGTCCTTTTTTACGAGTCTATCGTTATTACGACGACCATCGGCTTGCTGACCCGCACGCGCGCGGCCCTTTCTCGTTTCACATTTGTCGGATCGTTCACTATTGAAAACGAACAAGAGAAAATGAAAAAATTCAACTTTAAAACTTTCGCAATCGCGCACACAGTCATACCGCAGTAGCAGCTTGTCCCGTCCAATCAAGCAACAGCCCGGCAGATAATCGTCAACATTCGAGAGCAGTCAGAGTAGCGATAATCCCCACTGACGTCGCTTGAAAGAGGAGGAGATGCGCACTTTGCCGCCGACGCCAGCAGCAGGCGATCGATAAACTGAGACTCGCCGAGTGGCGAAGGACGCGGATAGGCCAAGGTCTCTGCAATACACACGTACGCATGTGTGGCGCATTTGCCTGTTTTTTTTCCTTATTGCTTTCGCGACGCGATGCTGCACGCCAGCCGAGGGCGACTTTCACCGGGAGACAATTATCGTCGCATTTATTGGTCCAGGCGCTCACGAATTGTCTGCCAAACCCATTGGAACAGCGATCGGTTGGGCGACCATTGCATCTATTCAGACGATGCGTCCTTCGTATTGTCGGCTATGCTGATTTGCTGATTATGGAATGCATTAGTGGTAATAGATTTAGTTTGGCGGCTAATGGCGTGTCTCGTTGTTTCACTTAATGATGGCAATGCGCCATTCCGAAGAATAATTTTTTTTATAACAGAAGCCTGTTTTTATGTTCTCGAGAATAAAAAATAAATAAAAAGAAACAAAAATTCTTAGTTAAACAACCGAACTTCTCGCCTGAAGAAAAATGTTCTTCAGCCACGAAAGTTTTTTTCGCTAAACCGTTTATTTGAAAACAGTAACGGCAATTTCGCTTGCTTCACGAGTAGCCAAAAAAAAAACAAAAGAAAACTAAAACTTTATTTTTCGCAGCTACAGCAGTCAAAGAATGGGAAAGGTCAAAATGTTTAGCAAGTCAAAATCGAAACAACAGACAAGGAAAGAGCTCGACAACGATGCCCGGCAGTCAGGTGGTCCATTTATCAGCTTCACATCTAACCATCTGACCCCTCGAAAAGTTAAGCACCGCGCCAATAATCGCATTATACGTTTGCGGGCCGCGTTCGCATGTGCGGATGCGCGCCCTTTTGTAGCAAATGACCTGCCGACCGCGTGCGCGCTGTCCCTTCAGGTAGATTTCGGTCGGAAGGGGTGCGAATTTGGGCGGAATACACTGCACGCGGAAGGGCCGTTGTGCAACTGGACAATGGACGAGATATATAAAATGTGAGTGATGACGGCGAAAGAGCTGACATGGGGACGGTGTCTCGGATTTTTACGTTTTACACGGGAGATTTAAATACAATTTTTTCTGCTGTGCAATGGTTTTTCATGGTAGATTCGAGAAGGGGTAACTTCCTATGAACTGTTGTTAGGATTCGGCATCATTAGATGTTTTAAACGTGAAATATATATTTTACATTGATTAAATAAATTTTCAATGTTTCAATGAAGGCGAAATATATAAATGAATAAAAATGATTGGAATTATTGCAGACCATCCGATCAACTGTCATATATAATCATTTGGAAGACCAAGTTAAATTACCAAGTTGAATATTCAACCGAACTATATGACGAAACGATCCTACCAAGTTTTTTTTTCTCATTTAACGACTGGACGATTTTTCATCCGGAAGTATCAACTTTACACCAGCGACGTTTAAAAATACGAAAATATATTAAAGAGAAAAAAAATAATGATCATCGGGCACATAATAAGCATTCCCAAAGAAGCGAAGGTCCGCGCGCGCACAGGTATACGCGAAGCATATGAGGCGGAAGCGCGCGGCGCGCCCGCTCAAATAATACGAGAAAAGGGGTGGCTGCACGCGGCGTTATATGGCCATTGTCCTTTCCTCGTCGGGGGGCTCCGAAATGTGTTTATCGTGGACCGCCGGACGTTTCTCCGCTCTTTTCTCCGGCGGGTCAACGGGCGATATGGTCGAGGAGAAAGTTTCGGTTGTAGAGAGGCCGAACGATTGTCATTTTAATTAGAATGGGGTGCGAGACGGAGAACAAGACGAAGAATAAGAAGAAGCTCTCTTTCGAGCGATAGTTACATTTGGATCTGCGCGAATCGCGATTCTTTTCAGAGGTGAATCGACATCGAGCAGGGACGAGGATTTTGCGAAATCGCACGCCCCATCGAGGATGACTCACCGGTCGGCACGCTCACGACGACGAAAGGAAGCAATTTTCCAAAACATCCGAAGCTTCGTCCGCGCGCAATTACCAGAGAGAAGGTTGTAAGCTAATTACCGTCAACCGAGATACGCAAGCCTCACATGTGTCGGCACCGAGCGAGAGAGAGAGAGAGAGAGCGGACAGACTTAATTGCCTCCTAACGAGCATCTAAGCTGCTACAGACGGTGCTTAAGATGCGCGCGCTCGAGTCTCTCGTTTGGCGTGTATTACGGACTTTAGTATTTGGGAAACACGAGTCATTGGGAGCGATAACAATCGGGGTACACCATCTGGATTAGGCAGACTCGCCAACGTTGAGTTTCACTTCATCGCTGATGAAAGAGAAAACTCGTCTTCGGGGCTGACCTCTGACGTTTATACCTGACTTCTCGCTCCTTAGCAGATGTTGGCCGAGGTAGGCCTAGACGAGTTACTTCGTACTGCAATTAGCACGTTGATAATTCGGCGCTGATTATAGAAAAGTTTACGAGAAGACGAGCGGACAACGTTTAAAATATCATTGATCGCAGATTCAATAATTTGATTAATTTTTACATTGGTAGGTGGACATTAAATTCGTTTCCTTGCAGCTCGAAAAAGATGGTCGAATTGATAAAGATCGCATCAAGTTTGTTCTCACTGATGCCAATGAAGTTCGAGCTTCGAATCCGATAAAAGTTCACGTTAGATTTATTTCACAATTATTGTAAATACGTTAAGTTG